CAGCTTGGGTGTTATATGCCCCAAGCGCCGGTGAACAATCTCCTCCCTGCATGCCGTCATGAAAGCGGCGATGTTCCTTTGGAGCCTTACAATGTCGCCGTTGCTGATTTGGTTGCAGTGGGAAAATCAGCTCGACAGGAGGCGTATCCCGTCATCAGGCCTTCATACAGTTTTGAGATATTTTGAGCGTTCTCCAGCAGTTCAGGACAGCGAAACTGGGCTACAGGAACACTGGCACTTGTTTTTGCAGTGACAACAGTGGGCTGCAATGCTCGATGTACATGATTTCCAACGAAGGACCCACTGTGGTACACTTGGCGTTTGATGAGGTGGTCTTGAAGGACAGGTTCAACTGAGGAATAACATGGCCCTTCAAAATCCTTACTGCCAGTGACCTTCTGGATGTCGTTTAGCAGCCTGGTGTCCTTGGTGCTGTGCAGGTCGTGCGTTTGGACAGCTGTCTGGTGGAGCTGCTGCAATTCTGCAACAAACTATTCTCATGACATCCTGGTCCACACGTTGCTGCGCATGAACTGCAACGAATTGCAACTGCTGCTCGATTGCGTGTTTCTGCACAGCGGCATCATTCATGGCCAACTCTTCAGACCGCGCTTCAGCATGGAGCTGGCAAAGTTTCGAAAATGCGGCCAGGTCACTGTCAGCGGCAGCACACTTTGCGGCATTCTGGGTGTCAAGCTCACGGATCTCCTTCAACATGGCATCCAACATCCACTTGAAAATCCCAATATCCAAGTGCAGGATCGGTATGATTGATGGCGTTGCTGATCTGTACGGGCAGAATGCAGTGGCGGATGACGTTGTTGTAATGCTTTGCATGTGAGAGCCTCGAGCCAGCTTCAACATACTTTCCATGGTCGTGCGCGAGGGTCTGGAGTGAGCGCGGCTGCTTGTCATCACTGCATCTCTCCTCTTGGCAACGAGCCAAGTCCGTCTTTAGACAACGGCAGTGGAGATATGGACGCAGACCGCCTGCTCTCTCCAGAGAGACCATAGTTTGCCGTTTGGAATTCATAGTCTCCAAACAAGAAGACACGTATCTGTTTTCTCTCCCAGTGGGTCTGCTGCAGTTGCTCCAGTTGGGGGCAGCACTGCCCAAGCGCTGTCTCCAGGTTTGCTGCACTGTCCTTCTCGTTGAAGATGTGCACCGGGATCGTGTTTCTCGTCGCATTCGGGTTGTGAGTATTCGCAATCTGCATGCTCAACTTAACCCTCATTCCGGGTTGTGGGGTCCAAACAGACCCCAGGGGTATGACTTTTGAAATATGTTTACTTTGCTGCATCACATCTCCCTGAAACTTCATGTATTCCTCAACAACACGATAACCGAGATAAATAAATAGTCTGGGTTAGAGGTTCCGCCGCCGTGGTCGCCACCGACTTTAAGTCGGTAGAGCATGAGACTCTTAATCTCAGGGTCGTGGGTTCGAGCCCCACGTTGGGCGCCAATGTTAGGATCGGGAGATCTCACGAAAGCAGGCACGGTCACAACAGGACCAGGATCAAAATAATAGTTCAAGTCGACAACAGTTAGAAAGAGAGTCTGAGAGGTTCGATTGAAAGACAGAGAGAAAATGTCCCAGCCAGAGCTTATCAAGGGCCTGGGTAGCTATGGAAATATATGTGCTAAAGCGCGAGTCCAGCTACCCAGGCCAAGTGAAATTGCGGAGGTGGCTCCAGAGTGCCATGACAGTCAATCGCTCTCCTTTAGGACATCCAGAAAGTGGAGAACAACGCTGATCAAATCAGGGAAGAATACAGCTGCTGCCATTGGTATCTCTCCATCCTTTTGGGTGAAGGGTAGCGCTGTATACTTCGGCAGTGCCCTAGCTACGAACCTCCAACGGCGATGCTACGCACCTGTCTGCACTGGAAGCATGTCCGCTGTCCTGTCCATGTGTAATCTTCTGTTGTTGTACATCGGGAATGAGTGGCTCCTGAATGTTGACTCGCCATTATGTGTTTCAACAGTAAAGCCTGCCCTGCCTGGACGCCCTTGGTGCAGCGGAAACTGTCCTGATATGACACGATTCCGCTTGATTCAGGGATGCATGTTCGATCCACAGCACTTTGGTGCATGAGAATTTGTCCTGTCAATACAGGATTTCACTTGGAACAGGGTCTGGCATACACAAGTTTTACTGTACTACAGAACGGAGCGCCACAGAACAACCAGGCTAGAATTTCACCAAGCACAGCATATCAATGTACCGTATTTTACCGGTTGTAAGGCGACCCCGGTTATAGATCGACCCCCGTATCCGGAGGTCTCAATTCTGCGTTTTAAAGGTTTCACCCAAAGAAGCACTACTAACCACTCCCTGCTATTAACACATCAACAAATCATGTAAACATTCCTTATTGGAGGTTATAACATCCCAATCCTTGAAAAGGCCAATAAACTGGAGAAAAAAATGTGTACACATAGTGCACTCGTGCATGCAGTGCAGGTCATTTTTCGTAAGATACTGATAGTTCCCGGTTATAAGTCGAATCCCGGTTGTAAGTCGACCCCCACCCTTTCTCCTTCTATTCTAAGTCGTAGAAGGTCCTCTTACAACCGGAAAAAAATACGGTATACACGGTGACTCACTGCGTATAGACTGTAATGCATGAAAATAAGAACGGTCTAGGCTAGGAGGCTGACCCCCCCCCCCCCCCAGTTCTTCGGTGACCAACAGTGCTGTAGTTGTGATGTAGCTGATTCATTGCTCTGCTTCCTCCTTAATGTTTTCCTGCTTTTCTCCGTGCAGATCATTTCAGAGAAAGGCTATCAAACGGGCTGCGGCGGCGGTGCAAGGAGATCGCTGACAGTGGCGGAGTTTACTGCGCAGGTCGGCCAGCATGTCGCACACATCCTTCAGGCGATCCCGGGTATCAGTGCCTATGAGGCGAAGGTCAAGGAGCTGGCAGTAAGCGTATGCTGTTTATGTGATGTGTGTGTGTGTGCGCGCGCGCGTGTGTGTGTGTGTATGTGTGTGTAGCGGCTATCACTTCGTAACATAGACAACGTCTATATGCAATGTGTGTAGTGACAATCACTTCATAGCACAGGCAGCTCAGCTATACAATGTGTGGTGAATAACCTTTTACGCAATGTGTCGAAGAATTTAGTTGCTCCCAACCTGGGCCCCACGCTTCATGCCGAGTCGAGTGACACGTCTCTCCGCTACTTCTCAGTTTGCAATACAATGGATTCTCGCTATTTCTAGTCAGAGAATAGGCAATTATGGCACACACACCCATCCGCTGCCAGCACACACCAGTTTGGTACAACAGACACTGTTTTCTCCAGAATTCATTGGTGACTACTTCTGGTTGGGAGAGCCAAAGAGAATGAAGCAGCTCGAAGTACTCGTAGTGCAAGATCAGCTTTTCAAGAAGTGGAAGATAGGAAAGTGGAGCCAGTGAAGAGGTGTCACATGCTAGAATGGACAGCAAGTGAAGTATATTCGCTAAGGAGTCCATTTTCACTGGGTTGAAACATGGCTGGGTACACACTTTGATCTGTCTCTAAAAGGACGAACAGTCAATACTGGAGTTTGATGTACTGTATATCACCTTATTTTCGGTGTTGTAAAATTTCGGTAAAAGCCAACCCCTCACCTTTCGGTGTAAGGATAAATTCGGTATGCATGGCACCAAAAAAAACAAAACAAAAAACAGCTATTGCTCTAATATCTCCGGCTAGGCTCCACATATATGTACATGTATATGTACATGATTGTACTATACATGTATATACCAGTATACAAGTTTATTTCTTTAATTTGACAGGGATTTTCATGATGTTTATATATTTTTGGTATTTCGGAAAATTTAGGTGTAATGTTAAATTAGGTGATCCAGGACCAGTACCGAAGTTACCGAAATTTAAATTACACCGAAATAAAGGTGTTATACAGTATCCTGCATTCCTGTAGCATCATCACTCATGCATCGTGCGATGTTGTGTTGTGATGTTGTGTTGTGATATGATGTTGTGCTATGCGGCTGTGCAGGACCTGCTGTGTGCCGATCAGCACTTGTTCATCTACGGCACAGTGCTGCTGCAGTCAGCAAGTAAGCAACGCCACGGTCACAAGCTGCGGCGTATTCTACAGGATGTGCTGGCTGCTGGCCTGGAGAAGTGAGTTGTTACTTGCCGGCTACTGGTCATGGCGACAGTGCCTCTGTTACAGCTGCTGCTGCTGCTGCTGCTGCCACTGCTGTCTGTTGGTACTGGTGCTGATGCTAATGCAGCTGGTGTTATTGTGCATGAACACTTTAAGCACTGAACCTTACTGTAGCTGCCTCTCAGATTTCATCACGTAATGCTTATCGTATGTGGACATGTGACGCGATGTGTCGGCTGAGCTTGTATCGAGACAACAGATGTACCTGGTGTAGCTCTAGTTTAGCGGTCACATCACGTATCGCCAAGAGTAGATAAACAGAGAGCGGCAGAATTTTTTGTTGACGTCACCTTTTTTCAGAAAAAAACGTGCATTTTGCCGCAGAGCAGTGTGAGAGCACGTGCTGGGCACCAACCTTGCAATGTAAAGCCTGGCCAAGTGCACGAGGCAAAACTTTCCAAAAGACTCGCAGCACGTGCGTCGTCGAAAAGATTACGTCAACAAGAAATTCCGCCGCGGGCCAACCCATCCCGGAGTTGCACACTCTTGTTTTTCTACTCTTGGTATCGCGTCTAGTGAAGTGACACATGATTTGAGCTTGTATCATTTCTTTGCCGATGTATTTTACCTGAGCTCAGTAATGTCAAGTGAGAATTCAAGTCGGCAGGAAAAGCGCGAGCTCCCACGTAGGGAGCGACACAATTCCCTCAGTAATAGCGTTATAAGCATTGATAAACACGAGGTCAATGCTCTTGCAGAGTGAATGGGAAAGAGCAGGTCTGCTGAGCTCTGAACTTCTGGTTATCAGTACGGTACCAGTACCACCGTTCAAATATTCCATGTGTTCTATTGGCTGTGTGGCTGTGTGCGTGTGTGTGCTTCAGGAACCATGACGTGCTGCAGCTGAGCCTGGTGCTGTCCAGCAATCCCGGCCACCAGCGTGCCGTCATGTCACTGCGCTCCATGATCAGTCGCCAGGCACTGAACCCCTCCGACATCACCGTGGTAAGTCTAGTTGCCGGGGCAACACGTTACCAGGACCCGAATTAGATGATTCTGATCTGCGAAGGGCAGTACCAGTCTCGATGGCTGTGTGACGTAATGTTTTAATGCGGCCATGGGGGGGGGGGGGGGGGGGGAGGACACAAACCGGTGGTGAACAGGTTTGGAGTGCTCGTGGAGTAGAGAACGAAAGAAAAATAGGGAATAGGGGTGAAACGAGTATCTATTTTGACCAATCGATCACTCGTTCATAATATTCGATGAGTATCCGATTATTTCGAGTATTTAATCAAAATTCAAAAGCGCTAGATTTGTGAGTTCTCGACCAATTCGGAAGAAATTATTTGTGAACATAGAACAAAAGTCGCCAACGTCTTGTACAGAGTGTAAAGTAACGATTTTCATCAGTACTTTCATATCTCAGAACGTTAACTAACGTTCCTTGCCGTGGTGATCGCATCGTCCAAGTCATAAAATACCGACCCAAAGGCATGCATAACGCATGCGCACAGTGGATGAGTGGTACAACAAAAGTTTTTGAAAAATAGAATGCCAATACTAAAAATAAATAAATAAAAAACGATCGTGCGCAAAATTTCGAATACTCGCTCGTTTGAAATTTTCGAACGAATGCTCGAATATTCGAACTAATCGTTTCACCCCTAATAGGGAAGAAAGGGCTTTTTGCTCTGATTTGCAATTGTTTTGGTGAGGCAGGAAGCTGTTTGACACCTAGCGTGCAGTGTTCTGCATCTCTGTTGACTGTGAGAATGGTGACACCGTAACGGTGGATGCCATGAGGAAGCCAAGTGGGTCGAACACGGACATCACGTAGCGCAGTACTGTCCGCTTGGTTGCTGAGACGCTGTCGGACTGTGCTGTTAACTTTGCTCCAACGGCAAAAACTGAGGCAGTCGCTGTTCGGATTCCATATGAGGCCAAGTGCCTTCTTTGTAGAAGCGTTCCCGGTGGCGAGATTCACCCCTTCAGATGAGCGAAGTTGGGTGGGTATTCTCTCTAGAACCTGGGACGAGTTACTAACCCAGTTCCGGATCTCGAATCCTCCCCTCAAGAATCACCGCTGCTGAACGGCTGATGGCATCACACTCAGTAGCTGCACTGTCAAAATAATCATCCATGTAGTGGCTGTCAGTGATGGCTGTGACAGCTTCAGACAGATCTGGACGAAAGATGGTGGCACTACGGTTCTTCGCATACTGAGCTGTGGTCGGAGATGAGACTGCACCAAACGTCATTACTTGCATCTCGTATACATCTGGTGGGCGACTGAGGTCGAGGCCTCGCCACAGGAATCGTTGGGCCGGTCGGTCCTCTGGTCACACACTAACTTGATGGAACATCTCACGAATGTCACCACCGAAACCGTACTCAAAGCGACGAAAGTTCAGCAGCACTTGTGTCAACGGCGTTAGCAGGTCGGGTCCAGGCATCAGGAAATCATTGAGACACTTGCCGTGCGATCTCCCGGCTCCATCAAACACAAGTCTCAGTTTGCCCTTCGTCGGGTTCACCACAGCAAAGTGCGGCAGGTACCATGTGTTAGGTGGCTCACATGCGGCCTCTGCTGCTGACAGGATACGTGCATACCCGTTCACCAGGTAGCTGTCGATCTTCGCTGTATACTGGTCGTTACCTCTGCCAGTGATGGCAAGTCAATCTGCGCCAAATGTGACCACTGTCGAGCAAGTTTCTGTTGGTTAACAAACTGCTTCGGCAGACTGATATTCGCCACCGTGCGGACGTTCTTCAAGTCAAACTGCCCACCTCCGTCTCTAGGTGAGATACACAGGTTGACGCGACATGAGTTGGCATGGTGCTGACTGTGATTCCCAGTCCTATTCAGGTGCAGGGGATCTACCGGACCAGTAGCGCCCAGCTCCCTGGCAACAAGCTTCTCGTCGACAATGCTCACGGTGGATCCTTCATCCAGGAGCGCATGTGTCTTGACGCTATGCCCTTTGGACACTGAGAGTGACACCGGCACAACACGCAGGGCAACCCGAGTCCGCTGAACGGTGTGGGAATTGACGCTCTCCTGCTGTTCAGTATGGCCACCGCTGTTCCTGTCAGGCAGGTGCACTAGTTCATGGTGACGCTTTTCGCAATCACCAACGGAGCAGCGATTCCGGCTCTTGCAGTGAGTTACCCGGTGGTTGCAGCCGAAACAAAGAAAACACAGCTTCTTCTCAGCTACCCATTCCCTACGCTTATGTAGTGGCTCTGCTTTGAATCTTTCACAGCTGCGCAGCAGATGTTGGCTGCTGCAGTAATGGCAGGAAAAGGGTGCACACTCCTGCTGTCTAGAGCTGCCGCTGTTGCTCACTGAGGTGAGGGTGGTCTCACTCCGGGTTCTCTTGTTACAATACTGTCGGGCGCCGAAGAACTGGGGGGGGGGGGGGGGGGGAGGGGGGGCAGGGTTCTAGCGTAGCTCGTTCTTATTTTTAGTGAAAACAGCTGTTTCGTTCTTATTCAATGGTACAGTCTTACATGTACATGTATGCAGAGCTATACGTCTGAGTGTACATTATAGTGTACATGTACATTACGGTTTCCGTTCTTATCTTCAAAAACTCCAGCCTAGGCCGTTCTTAAAAACTGGTGAAATCCTAGCCTGGCCGTTCTTCAGCGCCCGACAGTACTGTACTGCTGCCGCTGAAAGCTGGCACTGCCTGTCTTCAGCACAGTCACTCTGCCTGTCTTCAGCACAGTCACTCTGCCTGCTGCACTGGCACCCTGCCACACAGCCACACTGAAAAGGCATCCAGCGACAGCTTCTCCGGATCGAAATTGGCGATCATCTCGCCCTAGTTCACTTGATGGGTACTGCATGCGCTGCGGAGCCGGTAGCGCTATTGGCAGCCATGCCAGACATTTTAGAGAGGGCTTTTGAAACCGAAGTACTACGAGGTGAATTGCGATTTCTGGACATTGTACATTTCTGGTAGGGCTGAAACGATCGTGGATTTTCACCTATCGATTACTGTATAAGCAGAAATATTCGTCTGGAATTTAATTTCGTTTTTTCCTCCAAGGAACTTTTGGACTAAGTTAAATGCCCGACTAATGTCGATTTGTCCGGCTTTTCTATACAGTCTTATGATCCATGGACGAAATTTTCAACCGGACGAACTCCCTTTCTTTGTAGTTGGACGAAATTATTGACCGACGAAATGTTCTGCCTCTACAGTACTCTTTAGCTTAACGATCGATTAATCGATTATTATCGTTAGCAAATAGTGTCAGAATTTTGTGCAAAGATTACTCTGTTTCCAAAAGCTAGGCCTTCATAATACCAAAAATCTGCATTAGTGACAGGGTAGCTCCGAAACATGGCAGTTTTGAAGTCAATTTAACCTCAAAATATGCACCATGCCTCTGGCAACTGCATACTCACAGTGGAAACTGATTCAAACATCATAAAACGAGGGTTTTCAGTACTTTTTGGACTCAAAATCCCTAACGAGTAATCTATAACGTAACGATTACTTGATTGATAAGGAATTATCGATCGCTTACCGAGTAATTGGTATAATCGTTTCAGCCCTAATTTCTGGACATTTCGAGTAAAATAATTTTCGTCGCGTGTACTTCAAAAAGAAGTAGAGTCAAGTCATTCGAGTCGATGAAGTTTTTTCTTGCCGTAGTTGACAGCTTGGCTGCTGTAGTTTCTCCTCGTGTCAATGCCTTGTTGATAGCCTTTGCTTGTGCGGCATTTCGACGAGTTTTGCGGTACGATGTCGCATGAGAATTTTGAATTTTGAGTAAAATAAGAAGTAATGGACGAATCGTTGGCTTCGCCATGTGCACTGCACTTCAGATCCTGTATAGTCTTGGAACTTATAGTCTTGGAACTGGTGGCTGGAAGTGTGAAGAGGCAAACTGCAGTCCACCAATAGAAAAAAATAGAAAAATGGTGCAGTATAGGATGCCTATTGAAAATTTATATTTTCATGTCCAGAAATCCATACACTGAAAATTAGGCCAACAAATTAGCCTGTCAAAACCGTCCTGCTATCAAGTCTCTGGGATCACAGCATGAGCAATTGTCACATATTTGGAAAGATGAAGGATTAGGCCATACAAGAAATACAAAAAGATATGAAAAATGTGAAACATACAGCCAGCGGGGCTCTACTTTATTTTTATGTCCAGAAATTGCTATTCACCTCGTACACGTCACTAAAAAATTCTCTTTTCCTCTGCCACAAAGCATTATTTTAGTTTGAAGACTACACTTCGGCAGCCGGTGACAGCCGAGTACCTGTTCACCATGGGGCCCGGCCGCAAAGCATTATGTCGTTACGCCACTGTTTGAAAAGCCCTCTAATTATGTGCTATTTCACAAATAATGTGTCTGGGCTGCGATCTTGTCTCTCTGCTTCTGACCACCTGTAGCTGAACCGTCTCTACTCCAGCAGTAATCCACCGCCGGTGGAATTGCTTCGTCAGCCAGTGTTTCTCGGTTAGTATGTGTGTGTGTGTGCGTGTGCGTGTGTGTATGTGTGTGTGTGTGTGTGTGTGTGTGTGTGTGTGTGTGTGTGTGTGTGTGTGTGTGTGTGTGTGTGTGCATGTGCGTGCGTGCGTGTGTGTGTGTGTGTGTGTGTGTGTGTGTGTGTGTGTGTGTGTGTGTGTGTCTGAGTCTGTGTCTGAGTCTGAGTGTGTGTTCCATATGGTGCAGTGGTATGTGCAGTCGGTTTCTAATCGAGAGGTTGCAGGTTCAATTCCCGACGATTATGGTCGCACACGTCTCTCTTCTCTTTCTTTTTCTCCTAGCTTTTCTTTCATTCTCCTGAGTGGTTACCAACAGCCAGTGCATGCTGGGGTATGTGGTGGGGGTATTAAAGAAAGAAAGACCAGGCTAAAGTTAGTGGCGGTCAATTCATCAGCCTTGCTAGCTGTTGAATGGTGTAATCCCAGCACAAGTTGCTTTGTCCAACATAGCTTGTTCGCTATCATCGCTTGAGCAGTGGGAAGGAGCATGAGTATGAGTGTGTGTGCGCATGGGTGCGTGTGTGTATGGATGTGCGTGACACCCGGTGTTGATAGTGTCGGGCTGTGTAGCTCCGGAGCTCTTACATTTGTTGTGGATCTCCTTAGTGTACTTTGCTGCCACTATAGCTGGGAATAATACATGCAGGTGAAAACTCCACCGCACCTCTCTTTGTAGTCATACAATGTCAATGGCGACAAACACACCATCATGCATGTCATGTACATGTAATTCCAAGTATTGGCTTGGTTGTACCATGGAGTAGTAAAATACCGGTATTTTACTACTCCCTGGTGTATTAACACCACTGCTGTCCTGCTCCATATACAGCTGTGCTAGGTGTAATCCAACCCGAAGTGGAAAACTAGCACTCCCCTGTATCAGTTCCCATTACATCACTGTATTTGTACATGATTGCTTCCACAGTGTTCATGCCACCTCCAGGGTGTCAAGGGCCGTGCAAGTTGAGAGCGCCAAACATGCACTTTGGGTTGGATTTCACCTAGCGCAACAGTACTTGAAGCACTTGATGTATGTTAACAAGAGTACATGAAAACCAGAGTGTGCAGCTCAGATGGGTTGCTGTCACGGCGGAATTCCGTGATTACATCATTTTAGTGATGTAGTGCGTACAAGCAGGATTCAAGCAGGTCTCTTTCTGCACAACTGCAGCTCAGTTGTACGCACTACGCCATTTCCCGCCTCAGATCTGCGCCAAATATGATGTAATCACGGAATTCCGCCGTGACAGACACCCGTAGCAGAAAAGGCCCCAAGCTGCACACTCTGGTTTTCATGTACTCTTGATGTTAAGTCATACCTACCGTCCTCATGAGTGTGTGAACGTGTGTGTGTGTGTTTTCTGTCGTCTTTGCAGAGCTGTTGATCACATGTTTGTTCAAGCCTGGCAATGTTGTCAAGCCCGATCATCTGCCCATGTACAGCTACCTGCTGGTGTATGCCGGCTGCGTCTATGAATCAGGCAGGCAGGTGAGATTGAAATTGTATGAAAACTAAATCAGGCACATGCTTGTACGTAAATGTGTACCTGTATTCACCTGTCTTCCTATTTTGAGCTTCCCAAAGTGCACAGTATATGTATCGTGAAACTTCAGTATAAAGTACCAGTACCCTCGATATAACACACTTTTCTCTTTCCATTGAAGATTTATCCCAGTAAGCATTTCAGGTTCAAACAATTTAGAGTGTGTTGGTGGACGTGGAGAGCTCGCTTGTTTTGGTCTGGCCCAACTAGAATATGTGTTAATTTTATATTAATTGTGTCACATGGCGGGGCTTTAACACTTTCACTGCTAGGCTGACAACATGTGATGTTAGGCGGATGTAGCCACTTGTTGTCCAGTGAGAAACCTTTCACTTTTCGTTGTACTGATGTCACACTGTTGATGAACTATCACCATGTTACTTTCACACGTGTACCAGCTTGCACCCGCAGCATCTCTGTTTTGCATTATATTTCTCGGAATATTTTGTAGCACATCCAGCGCATGCGACACTTCTCGCCACTGTGTGATGTTGCACCTTTTGTCTCACTGTCTATCCCTGTATAGTAAGGGGTGCTCCTTTCTCTATCTCTTTTTCTCTCTATGTAGAGACCTTACTATCATTTCTCTCTCTTTACTCTTTTTCTTTCCCTCTTCTCTCTCTCCCTCTTCTCCCTCTTCTCTCTCTTTCTCTCTTTCTCTCTCTCTCTCTCTCTCTCTCTCTCTCTCTCTCTTCTCTCTCTCTCTCTCTCTCTCTCTCTCTCTCTCTCTCTCTCTCTCTCTCTCTCTCTCTCTCTCTCTCTCTCTCTCTCTCTCTCTCTCTCTCCGGACAAACCCCTCACTGGAACTGGAAACCTTGCCCTGTGGTGGTACTGTATGCATAGTCAATGGGTTGTGTAATTTGTATAGCTGGTTTGAATTATCAATGACAGTCTGTTGTTCTGTCCTTACTTTGTGTGTGTGTGTGTGTGCGTGTGTGTGTGTGTGTTTGTCTGTGCGTGTTGTTGTTGTTGTTGTTGTTGTTGGTGTTGGTGTTGGTGGTATTGGTGTTGGTGTTGTTGGTGTTGGTGTTGTTGTTGGTGTTGTTGGTGTTGGTGTTGGTGTTGGTGTTGGTGTTGGTGTTGTTGGTGTTGCTGCTGCTATTGTTGTGGTTGTGTTGTGTGTGTGTCTGTGTGCGTGTGTGTATGTGTGTATGTTACTCTGGCTTTGCTCTCAGGGTAATCACACCGTCAACACTAGCGAGCTGAAGGACTGCCAGCAGAGACTGGGCATTGTGCGTGCCATCTGTCGCCGTGCTGACTCCTCTCTGTCTGACCTACTGGCTGAACTACCTGTACTGTTTCCTCACCTAAGGTACCGTGGACTTGTGCTTAGTAACACCTGAGGTTCCGTGGACTTGTGCTTAGTAACCATCCCTGAGTGCAACTAAGCCTGGTCTTTGCATGCAGAGATGTTTCGTATGCATTACAGGACCAGGCTGACTGCATGTAGCTATGTTGGTTGTAACTCCAGTGCATCCCTACATCAGTGGGTCACATGATATCAGCCATGTTGGTTGCCGCCTCAATCGCTCCCTGCATCATGATGTTGGTGGCCGTGTTCGCTACACTGTTCAGATACCATGTACAGTTTCTACACACCGTGAGCACATGGTCACATGGCAGTGAGATGTGAAGCAGCTGCAGTACAGGTGGTCATTGAAGGCAGGTTTTGCTGTGCATAGACACAGCCATGCGTTACGTAGACATCAGACCATCGACACAATATACTTTATGGCTATATATGGGTTTGTGAGTACATGTAACTGTACATTGTGTTCTTTTCCTATCTCCTATTTATTGGCTATATAATACGGAGCTTCCGTGCTTGCTGTTTCCCTCTCTGCTATTTGTCTCACTCAGCTTGTCAATAATCGCCATGGCAATGATGCGCTGGTGCGCCTTCACTCTCAGCAAGGAGAGTGTGTTCAGCGTCGTCACGGACACCATTGCCTTGCCATTTGTGATACTGGACGAGGTAGGGGCTGTGCTGTGCCACGGTTTGACACTGTATCAAGAAAGAGTTCATAACCAGGATGTGCAGCTGTAACTATGGCCCAGTGTGCGGCGCACTGCCTTCATTATGTGATTGAACGGAAAGTTTTTATAAAATTTTACAGTTTGCGTGACACTCAATCATGAATTTTAAGATCAAGGCGCAAATGCAGCTCCTAAAGCGGGCATCCCCTGCTTTTCAGCTACAGCCCATCTCACTATGCCTATCTTCTTTTTTCATGAATCACCGAAGTCGCTACAACCTCTTCTTTTTTTCATGCTGGCAAAATTAAAATGGCTTTTCCTAGCGTAGTTGGTTATCATCCCCTTGGCAATGAACATGGTACATGGTGTGTGTGTGTATCCTTGTGTGTGTACGCGTGCGTGTGTGTACGTTCAGATTGCCACCTTGCACCCTGGAAAGCATCAGGAGATATTTGATCTGTACGTGCAGCTGACCAACAACACTTACCAAACACTGGATACCCTTGTTCAGGTCAGTACTGTCAGTATTACCGCGTTGCATGACTACTGCACCACTAGCTGACTGCGTGACCACTGTATCACTAGCTGACTGTATGACCACTGTATCACTAGCTGACTGCATGACCACTGTATCACTACATGACCACTGTATCACTACATGACCACTGTATCACTGCATGACCACTAGCTGACTGCATGACCACTGTATCACTAACTGACTGCATGACCACTGTATCACTAGCTGACCACTGTATCACTAGCTGACTGCATGACCACTGTATCACTAGCTGACTGTATGACCACTGTATCACTAGCTGACTGTATGACCACTGTATCACTACATGACCACTGTATCACTAGCTGACTGTATGACCACTGTATCACTAGCTGACTGCATGACCACTGCACCACTGTATGTATGTACAGTGCTGCTCAATGAAATCCGATGGCGTGAGTCAAGCTTGCGCCCTGCACCCAGCACCCAGCTCACCTCCCAGTGTCCACAGGTCTAGTGCTACACAACGTCCGGCACGGCACTGACTCCACTTGATCAGATTTCATTGAGCAGCACTGTACATGGACATACCTATCCTGACACACTGTGTATACAATACATGCCTATCCTGACACACTGTGTATACAGTACATGCCTATCCTGACACACTGTGTATACAATACATGCCTATCCTGACACACTGTGTATACAGTACATACCTATCCTGACACACTGTGTATACAGTACATGCCTATCCTGACACACTGTGTATACAGTACAATACATACCTATCCTGGTAGGGGTACATAGACCTTTGCAGGTATCATGGATGAGTTGAATATACCCAGCGTATGGTTCTGATCAGTAGCATGGTGTGCATGTGCCATCAGAGTACATGTAGTAGGTAGATCAATGTTCAATGCTCACTATGTGCTACAGTATACTGATGTACGGGGACATGTGCCCCGCAGGATAGGAGTAGCTGGAAAGTTACCTTGTACTGTGCTTTTGCCTTTTTAACTTGGAATATTCCTGTGTGTGTGTGTGTGTGTGTGTGTGTGTGTGTGTGTGTGTGTGTGTGTGTATGTGTGTGTGTGTGTGTGTGTGTGTGTGTGTGTGTGTGTGTGTGTGCGCGTGTGCGTGTGTGTGTGTCCTTTGTGTATCTCTGTGTTTGTCTGTCTGTATGTATGTATGTGCGTTTTGGCTGTAGTTGGAGCTGAAAAAGACGCTGATGGATCGTTTCCTGCACCTGATCTCTCTGGGCTTTGTCCTGCCGGTCCTGGGCTACATTCTGACATGCACAAACGAGTCGTTTGACAGGTCCGTCCTGCGGCACTTTGTCTCGGAGGTGAGTGGTCACTGTGCATACAGCCTGTCATACAACCCCTATGTGTACTGGGTTCCTCCAGAGGTATCTGGAGCCCCTATGTGTACTGGGCTACTCCAGTGGTGCCGATGTGGTGACAAAGCGACATAAGAATGCTTGTTCAAAGAGCACCTTCCTACAGGGTTGTGTTGTGCAGTGTGCTGCTCAGTGAAATCTGATCGCGTGAGTCAAGCACACAGCGGCAGGTGTAACCGTTCAGCACGCACAGAAGAATGGTGTTGTTGGATTCGACATTGTTCTTAGAACGAGAAGGTTCTTTTATACTGTAAAAGCCATTATTCTAACGAGTAGAGGCGCATATATAACGATTTCCCAAAATTGACTGGTTTACGTGTACCAAAGGTAACGATTTTCACTCATTCTCAACGCTCAATAGGACAGTATATGTATCGATTTCTGTATAACGATTTCTATTTTAACGACAGATTTCTCCTCATTAACTCGTTAGAATTAGCACTTCGTTATATATGGCTTTTACAGTACATGGAATGCGTACGCACATTGCGCTGACAGGCCGTGGCCTAACTGTAAGCTGGCGCGTAACACTAACAGCTGTGTGATGCAGCAGTCGCAGTCACACTGCTACAGCAGGTGCCGTGCAGCCCTAGACCTGCGAACACTGTGATGTGAACTGGTGCAGGCCAGGGCGCAGCGTTGATCCATTCGATTGGATTTCATATTGAGCAACACTGCAGGTGTGTTATGACGTGAAGTTTCATCTTGCTCTTTGATTCTAATGAATGTACTATTGAAGCGTGGAAAAGGAAGACCTTTGCTATCAATGTCTCTACTCTCAGACTAGCTAGTATCAATGTCTCTACTCTCAGACTAGCTAGTATCAATGTCTCTACTCTCAGACTAGCTAGTATCAATGTCTCTACTCTCAGACTAGCAATACATGTATGCCAATACCACATGGTCTGTTTCTGCTGCTGCTGCTGCCGTCGCTACCGCTCTCATTGATGTTTCTATACGCCTACAGCTGTTGGACATGGTCGGGCCTCCGTTTTCGCAGCAGTTCATGGATGCATTGCTTCCCGTGGTACGCAACGCTGCGGTGACGTCATCGCTACGAGTGCCGGACGGCTCCGACCCCGTGTCTGCGTTTATCGGTAAGGAGTGAGCGAGGGTTTGGATCATACAGCCGATTGCCCTCTCGCAGGCTGTTTACAAATCTCTTTGTGACTTCGGCAGAAGACAATGGCTGTATGGGTTAGGGCACAGTCAGGTACATCTACTTCCAGGCCTGTAGACAGGCAATGATGGTGACAGGCATTGCTCCATTGCCGCCCATCCATTCCAGACTGGCACATGTCATGTGGCAAATAATGCAATGTGTCCAGGGAGACCCGTGAAACTGCGGCTGATGCTGATGCTGCGGCTGACGGTGCTGCGGCAGATGCTGATGGTGCTGCTGCTGTGGCTGACGAGACTGCAGCAGATGCTGGTCCTGTGGCTGACAGGACTACCAATGACTGATTCGGCATGTCTGGTGTGATGGAGTGCTGTGACGGCGTAGCAGCGGGGGCTTGCAGTGGTGTCAGAGTAGAGATGTTGGTGTGCTCAGAAGTTTCTGATGCAGGATCAGCGCTGAGGTCACTAGCTTCAATCTCCTTCAGGAGTGGATTATGCAGATTAGTTAGCATGGCACAGACTTGGAAGATTTCGCTTGAGAAAGAACGGTATTGGTAGGGGATGTAGTCGAGAATGGTGAAGATCTTTATGCGTTGTATGGCTCGCTCCACATGGATACGAGCTCTTGCGATGCGGGCAATTACATTTGCTTGAGCAGCGGTAAACTGAGGAGTAGTGAGTTAAGGAGGAGGATTTAGAGAAACACCAGCCGGCATCAAGTCATGGATTAGGAACCCTTTATCAGCGAGTACCATATCACCGGCTGTCAACGTTGACAGTACCCCACAGTGGCGAACGACTTTGTCGCTGGTCGAACCTGGGTAGAGACGACTGACGTAATTGACAACACCGTTCGGTGCGACACCCACAAGACCTTTGAAGGTATTTTTTATGTTTGCAGTGGGAATGGGTCCACGTCTGAGTGTCCATACGGCTTGGAATTGCAATTTCGACTTCAGTACTGTAATGTTCTCCCGACGTCCTTAGTACGTGTCGAGAGCACACCAAAATACCAACTCAACACGGTCTCGTTGTGAGGCAAAGAACCCTTTTCATTATCAGTGCAATACCACAAATAGTCGTGAAGGAAACATAATACAGAACGTGACAGAAGGGGGTACTCCATATCCGGATCTAGTAGAGTACTTGAGGGTACGCTACGGTGCATGAGACATCTAGATATGGGATGAATCATGAAAGGGATACCGTAACGGATAGTCTAGATCTATAAAGAGAAGAGTACAAATAAGAGAACAAGCATGCACAATGGGTACACACACACATACAAGATAACACTACAAGTACAATCAAGTATTAAAGGACAACTGGAGAAAGTAGAGAAGGAGACGGGCAGAGAAGTCTTGGTTTTTTTTTGTGACGACGGAAGTTGCGACGGAATGCCTTGATAGAGTGCAGTATGAAGGACAGAAAGCCATGTGTGGAAGATATTAGATATAGTAGTGTGCGAAGTGCCGAAACGTAAGCCGAGGTCAGTCAGGCTGAAGTTTCACCGCAGCTTCTTGAGGGTGATGAGCAGCTGGTCCTCCATTGGCACCAGCTCCACTTGCCAGCCCTGGTAATATTCCATCGGGAATCTCGTGCAAAGACGAAACAGGATACGAAAATCTTCAGCAGACGGCAGGCCGGTGTAGTGCCGGACAAGTTCAGCTTTTCGTTTCCGGGAAATAAATTCAAAACAGAACTGGACGTCCAACTTCGCTTTTCGCTTTTCTAAGGCACTAACTTCAGCCTTCTGCTGATTGCACTTTACTTCGAGGATTGATGTGTTGATGCGTTGGAAAAGTTCAAGCAGGCGTTGCATAGTAGTTGCTTCACGTTCAGCAGCTTCACGGTCAGCTTCACGGTCAGCTTCAAGTGGGTCAGCTTCAAATGTGTCAGCTTCAGATGGAGCAGCTTCAGTTGGCTGGTTACCATCCTTGTCCGTATCATCAATAGCTAATACCTTTACAGTCTGTATCATCAAAATGCCGAAACGTAAGCCGAGGTCAGTCAGGCTGAAGTTGCGGTGCAGCTTCATGAGGGTGATGAAGAGCTGGTCCTCCATTGGTACCAGCTCCACTTGCCAGTCCTGGTAATATTCTATCGGGAATCTCGTGCAAAGACGAAACAGGATACGAACATCTTCAGCAGACGGCAGTTGCTTCAGTTGGCTGGTTACCATCCTTGTCCGTATCATCAATAGCTAATACCTTTACACTCCGTTTTCTGCTCAAAATAAATGAGCGTTAGCAGCCAGCCCAGCGAGCTGGCCCAACCTGCACGCATGCGCGAGTCACGTGGGCACGCGCCCTTCAAAATCCTGTACAATGTCTCTTGCATGTCATTGCTGTTTGGACTTTCGAGCGTGCAACTTGCGGAACATGTGTTCCCAAACAATTTTCTTTGTTGTGAGGTGGGGGGATGCTAATGGAGAAACAGTGAGAAATGTATAGAAAGGAAAAAGGACCAAGGAACTACAAGTTACACTATAATATCCACTAACACCACCAGTTACTTAACAATCAGCTCGTGCGGTAACATTGCACGACACTGAGCGACGGTACTGCCGTTCTACAACTAACTGGCTAACAGCTCTAGCACATCTTGGATGCGCACTCCAACAAGCATCCAAGATGTGCTAGAGCTGTTAGCCAGTTAGTTGTAGAACGGCAGTACCGTCGCTCAGTGTCGTGCAATGTTACCACACGAGCTGATTGTTAAGTAACTGGTGGTGTTAGTGGATATTATAGTGTAACTTGTAGTTCCTTGGTCCTTTTTCTTTTCTATAAATTTATCCTTGGCTCTCAATCCGAGTCCAAACAGTGAGAAGCAAAACAAAAATGAAAGACTTGCCCGTTGATGGTTCACAGTGTTATGAAAATTAATACTGATCTGGTCCATCTACTAGGATTCACATAGCACACTTGATATAGGAAGGCGAAACAAATTAAGAAATGGCTTGAGCAGTACATCAAGTTTAATACAGGTGGAATCCTGATAATTCGAATATGGCTTAATTCGAACATACCGCTTAATTAGAAGTTTTCCAAGACCGATTTCTATCAATACGATTCCCACATAAAAAATTCTGATAATTCGAACCTCGAACTGGATATGTCCGGTTAATTAGAAGTCCCACAGATTCCACTTACATAGAAAATGTGTGGGATTTGTGCTGATAATTCGAAGTTAGCAAAGTGTAATTCGAAGTTCACTGTACATTGTACTGGTCAGTTCAGTTTGCATGAGCAGGCTGTGCAGGTCAGTTCAGTATCCTAAAATCTGTGTCTAAGGTCCATAGCGCAACTCTGCGTGACCATGAGAGCATTTTGACATACATATTGTGTTGTTGATTCATGTTTGGATAATTAGAATGTCCGGATAATTAGAAGTTTTTTCCTGGCATTTTGAGGTTCGAATTATCAGGATTCCACCTGTATACGAATATCTTACATTGACATAGATAACATACCTTCTATGCATTGGGTCAGGGTCCTCAAAACCAAACGCCTTATCCACGTACAGGTTGCCTACACATATCCTTACTGACAGATCTTCCTCCATATATCTCTGCGCTCTGGATCCCTCGCCGGGAATCGGAAGAAGCTGCACCTGCGATCCTCTGTCCTGTGGTTCCATTCCGCTGCAAAACACTGCACCATGATCATACGATGCCGCTCTGCCGGGTTAACCCTTTATGGACTGCCAAATTTGTACAGGAAAGAAGCGACATGCGAAAATCAGTAATAACTCAAAATCGGTGTACATTAGCCAATACAACACCATACATTTTCGGAAAGTAGATAGGATAAGCTGTCCAACATCATCCTCGCCGCCGCTCTCGCTACTAGCAGTATCAGCAAATCCATCAGATAAATTGTTTCTTGAATTTCTGGGATATCATCATCACTATCACTTCGAACTCGTCGTCATCAGACTCGTCAAGTGGGTCGCCAGAACTGTCCTCATCAGAGTTCCAGTTCAGAATCATGCCGATGGCATCGTCCGCATTGTCGTGCCATGACAGTACTCGTACTGAAATTTTAGTTCTGCATGCTCGCGCAAGCTCTCAATTTTTTTTCTTGCGCGGCCGATTTGGTCAACATTTTGACTAGGGACCCCCGGCGAATTTAGCACCATTGGAAAGATATGGATTTCGTCTTTTGATTTGTAAAAAATATCGCCGAAAACGTGCGGTGCTCCCAGAAAAATTCGCGTTTCAAGTTTCGATCTTATTATATCGAAACTCGTACAGTCCGTCCACAAAGGGTTAAGACTTAAGAGTATACTGGGTATGGAGTCTATCGACAACGGCTCCCACAGTTCTTCAAGTGGCCTCTTCTCAAAATACCGCTTCTTTCTGCTTCGAAAGTATGGGAAACAGCATCAGATGAGCTTGACGCGAGTGGACCCAAAAAGCGAAGTGGATCCAGTTGTGTTTGCCAAGCGACGAGTGATGCCATCACTTTCAAGCCCTATTGGCCTCTTTTTGATGGTAACCAGCTAAGTTGAGTTTTGATGTTTTGATGTTACAAGTAGGTGTATACTACGCACTGTAAACCGGGAAACGTTTGCGCCGCCGGTGTTAGTGTTCTTGATTTGCAAGCACGAATTTGCGCCGGAAGATGTTTGCGATTGGAGTTGAATTCCTCAGTTTCTTTACTACAGCTCTACGTTTTGCGCCGGCTTACTTTTGCGATTTTGCACCTATCGTGAAAACCGCGTAGGATTCCAGATCGCAAAGGTTTCCGGGTTTATACTAATTATATTACCGTATTATCTCTAATATAAGCACAGTCTCCAATAATAGAACACCTTGGGGCGGCATTCAAAAAATAAAGTGCTCAGTCTCCATTATAAGCACACTGTATATCGGTACCTGGAAAAATGCATGTACCGTATTATCTCTAAAATGCAGTACCGGCGAAAAAACCCTGAAATGTGTGTGTCCGACATGAATTTGGCATGGCACCATGCCTCTGAAATGAGGTTGAAATAATAATGGAACAGTCTCCAATAAAGGAACGTCTCCATTAATAGCACGGGGCGGAGGTACATTGAAAAAATAAAGGACCGTGCTTATATTAGAGATAATATTATTCATTTACACGAAACGTTTAGAGAGCGACTAATTCCCTGTTTAAACCAGCTGTGTACTTGCAATGTAGCATCATTGTGTGTTCATACGTGTCTGGTTTCTGCCGTGTGTCTGTCATTTGCAGCCTACTGTCAAAACGAGACAGCATAGTGATGGTTGCTGTAAATGTGGCTGCTGCTACTAGTGGTGCAACGCAGATATGGACGTGCACGTAAAGTGCTTAGCGGTATACGTATCTGATCTTCATCCGAATCGTGTTGCAATAGTTTATCCTGCTGTATATTGGTGTAGATACATCCCACCCCTCTCTCTCTCTTTCTATTCCACTTGTATACATTCTTACACACACCCATCTCTCTCTCTCTCTCTCTCTCTCTCTCTCTCTCTCTCTCTCTCTCTCTCTCTCTCTCTCTCTCTCTCTCTCTCTCTCTCTCTCTCTCTCTCTCTCTCTCTCTTTCTCATGCGGTACATGCATGTGTATTAACTGTATATCTGCTTGCTTCACACAATGTGTACAAAATGACTGTGTACATAGCTACTACATGTAGTATGCAATCTGCCCTGAGATTGTCAAACATCCCGGTGTACATACATGTATTAATCATAGTGACTCGACCTGTAAATAGAGGATGATATCTTGTACATACATTTACTTGTCGGCTCTTCATTGCTTCCGCTGATTACCTTGCTATATCCCCTGCTGCCCTTTACCTATAGATCTGCTGTTCTAGGGGGCACTCTCTTTGAACTTACTGCCATCCGTGCTATTTTCTCTTTTAAAAAACATTTTTGTATTATTTTTACGATTTTAATGTTGTGTCCCCACCCGGTACCCGGACACTTGATGCAGGTGTTAACATGTTGTAACCTGTGGTGCAAATGCAACTTTTCTCACTGCTCTGCCCGTTGTTGACATGTACATGAGGTTAACATGTTGTAACCTGTGGTGCAAATGCAACTTTTCTCACTGCTCTGCCCGTTGTTGACATGTACATGAGGAGATGGGGGATCTTGGGAAGCTGTGTCCAAATTCAGCCAGCAGCACGGCTCACATCATACGGCAAGATCTCTCTGTATATTGGCAGAATATTTGTATTTAAAAAAAGAAAGAGAGCAGAAATCGAACAAAATATATGCATGTTACGTTTCGTTCGGCACCATGACGAGATCTTGATCAAATAGACAAAATAAAAGCAAGCACCATTTTTCCACCATTGAGAGTAAGCAATATCATGAAATGCACAGACTGGCGGTTACCCAGCACAAACAGCGTACACGAAGAAGCATCAAGGAGGATACCACACCAATACACATACTACACAGAAAGGAAAATGCAACACAAACATGTTAGTGCCTACTAGGTATAGGGACAAGGAAAGGAGAGTCAAATAAAGCACGCAATAATCCATAGATGTACTATACATATGTACGTGCATGGCAAAAGGAGAATTGAACAACAACAGGAGGCATGGACTAGTTCGACTAAGGTCTTGTACAAACAGGCATGGACTAGTTCGACTAACACGTTAAGGTCTTGTACATCATTTGCTCAAGGGTAATGTATACAGCAAGGCGATGGATGACTGGCAGCAAGCATGGTGCGTAAATCACCGCCACCGCCACCACTGGGGAACACACAAGTATGTTACGGGCACGGACAGAAGAGAGACAGCTCGGTGCTTAGAGGGACCGGAAGAAGTACTAGCACCACCACCACTACTACTACTACTACTGTACATGGTGGTGATGGTGTGCGTGTGCAGTCAGAGCTCCTTGTTTCCAGCTCCGACTATGCCAATTGTCACAGCGCCTAAGCCCACTTGAATCCAAGCCGGCACATGCCTTTAGACATCACTCTCGGGAGTGACTTTCGGCTCCGCTGCCTCCTCAGAGCTAGCTCCTGGAGCGGGATCAGATTGCTCGGGCGAGTCGGCGGCAACGCTTTCTTCAGCAGGTGCTTCTGAGTCAGCTTCACTTGCAGCTGCGTCGGCAGGTGTGCTTCCGCTAGCACTGTTCTCTTCGCTTGGGTTGCTTTCTGTTGCATCATCACCTTCTGCTCCATTGCTGCTACTGTCCATGGGTTCCCCAGTCGCTGCTTGAGCATGAACAGATGGGCTGCATGGTCTCTGGCACTGCTTTGCAACGTCCTCGTACTCTTTCCCTCGCAGCAGAATGCCCAGCACAACCGTCATGTTGTCACAACCAAGACCATCACGCCTTGATTCAGGTGCCAGACATGACATCATGAGCTCCTCGCAGATCTGGAGAGAGCCAAACACACACACACACACACACACACACACACACACACACACGCCACACACACACACACACGCACACACACACACACACACACACACACACACACACACACACACACACACACACACACACACACACACACACACACACACGCACACATATTATGTTCAGTCACAATAACTGTTGTCTGCTCTACTTCGATATCTAACAAAGACTGAAATGCAGCTGGGCATATGTATAATGTTGCTGCACTGCAACCGTTAACTTTTTGTGGAAGTCAACCCACCTTGTCAGGCAGAATCTTTGCTGCGACGCGCTCACGGACAAAGTCAACGACTTCTTGGCTGCTCTTGCAGTCCCAGATACCTGGAAGCACACATAAACACACACCAGTGTTCCAAAGTGTGTAATGTATTATGTCCCCCAATGCCCACGAAAAAAACCAGGGTTGAAAATACAAAAGAGACTGCAGGGCCCGCTGCTTTAGAGACAGGAAGCAGACAGAAGGTACCTGCATGTTTGGTGAGCAACCATTAACTCCTGGAACTTACTACCGTTCTGCCATTGGTTCACAAACTTGAGGCTGGCACAACACTGCCAATGATTTATAACTAAACATCATCTTTAAAATGATCCAACTGCTATTGTGACTGGCTCTGGCAACAGCGATGCATCTAATAGACAGATACAAGTAAGATCTGCTGCTCATCGGTAATAAAACAACACTATCCGGCCAGGTGTGTGACAGGGTGATATTAGTTAGCACGGCATGCAGTGAAAGTGTGTGACAAAAACAAAGTTACCACCTGGCACCAGTGCAAGTGTGCACACTACACACTACACAAAGATAGCATGGCACCAGTGCAAGTGTGTGACAAAGATAGCATGGCACCAGTGCAAGTGTGCACACTACACACACTGCCTGCATGCGCGCTAGACTAGCAGGCCTGGGCACAGTGGCACGCCTTGGTGTGCACTCAAACGGCGTGCTGCTGCTGCTGCTGCTAAAACGTTACAACAAAACCGTGCTACACTGGACACTGCAGCCGCCGTGACCATAACAACTATAACTTGCTCAGCACCACCATTCCACTAGTACACTGTACACTGGACACTGTACACTGTACATGGTCACATTGCTGAATTCATAACGCCAATTGCACGCCTGACGCCATGAAGTGAGAACCACAGCACAAAAACGCAGCCCAAATCAAGCAATGAATACATCAGTAGCAACGTGTCGACATGATGACAGCAAACACTTCTCACACTTGTACGTGTATCACATTAGTCTACTCATTACACCGTCAACAGGGACAGTACATCTTACAGTTCCCCGCATCACATGCACCATACAAACCATGACGAGGCATAACATCACCTGACACCACCGCGTGACACATTTCAGGCGTTCACGTCTTCAGGTGGCAATTACAGATACTCATGATCACCCACACCACCCGGCATTACACACATAGATACTAAAACTATTGCATAAGTAATAGCAAAATGAACACAACTGAAGCGATACTCCACCCATGGCATGGTGAACACAGCTGAAGTGATACTCAATCCATCGCACACCCAGGATTGTTATAACAGTGAGGAATGGATTCACATAAAAGACACAGGCAATACTGCTCAGTGCTTACCGTCACAAGCCAAGATGAAGAACTCGTGATCGTCAGTCACATCCTCGGTTATGATCTCCGGAGACGCTAACCAAAGGACATTGGTACACAGCAAAGGCAAACACACACACACACAGCAGTACGTCATGCAACCAACCGGCCAGACCTAAAGCATGCATGTTACGATGCATTCGACCAACATCTACTACCATCTCCATACGTTTCAGCACCTAGGCAGCTGTACAAGTTGCCAATACAAGACCGGGGACAAAAGCAGCCAGCTTCACCTCACACAAATGCCTTAACCCCCCGTCGCACTGCCGGAGATAAAACAACAACAAAAAACGCTAAAGCGTTTTCCGCTGTTGTCACGACATCATCGATGCAGCGGCAAAAGACTGCGGAAAACCCGACCAGATAGCAAGAGTTTTCCACTGCACATATACAATACTGCACTGCAGGATAGTCTATAGCCCGTAATATGCAGCTCCACTGGCCCATGACAAGTGGAGAAGGAAAAGAGCAAGGTCACTATGCAACATACTATTAGAGAAGGTTGGCTGGAACTTACCCGTCACCATCTGCTCCTCGGCAGGCAGGCTGGAGTTCTCCTTCATGTCAGAGTCGCCGAAGCCTCGGGACACAGCTAGCGTACCTGTCAGCACCGGGTGCGCGCACACACAAACACACACACACACACATGCACAAAACACCACGACACACACACACACACACACACACAAGTGGATACCAATCCAGATGCCAATAGAACACTTGAGCTGTCACGGGGAAACAACAAGTGCACCCAGCCTGGTTCCCCGCACCACTCTCCCTCCTTGACAGAGGGACTCATTAGGTTAGGTAATACCAGTTACACCACTGCGAGTAGCGGGGCCCCAAGGTGCAATACTTGGGTGCGTTTCCTCCTTCCCACTGGAAATGTCACAGAAATTCAGCACTACATGCATTTAAGAATAGCATGGACAGCATTGAAACAGTTCAGATGAGAATCACCCTACACATGGCAGACAGTCGGCTTACCATTCACTCGGTTCATGTGAACAAACCCACCGGCTGCCTGAATTCTTTTCTCTTCCTCTGCAAACACACACACACGACATAGGTACCACGGTAAATTACACACACATACATACATACATACACACGCACACACACACACACACACGCACACACACACACGCGCACACACACGCGCGCACACACACACACACACACACAAACGCGTGCACACACACACACACACAAACGCGCGCACACACACACACACACAAACGCGCGCGCACACACACACACACACACACACACACACATACACAACTGCATAAAAATGCATGCACTCTGGTAGAAACAAAGCATAGCCGCGGTTCACAAGTGCAGCCTGCCGAAAAGCACTCATTCCTATCTAATATCACTAGAGGCCACAAACCAAGAATGGATTGGAATAAATGGCACAGAACCCAGGGCAACACCATAACGGATTTACACCAGTTTACTTGTATCCAGTGCAGCCCAAGAGCACTGCAACAGCTGTACCCGGTGTATGCACAGTACAGCATCTTCTCCCCTCACGCTCCATCTTCAATAACACTGCAACAGCTATACACGCTCAATCTTCAATAACACTGCAATGCGGCTGCACTCAAGCGCATCATGTGCAGTACTGCTTCTTCTCCCCTCACGCTCACTCTTCGGAGTAGCACTTACCGGGCTTGAACGGCTTGTGATCAAACGAGAGCGGTTGTGCGCGGCCAGTGACGGACGCCACGGCACGAGAATCACCGACATTGGCCTGGCATGGAGGTAAGAAAAAACAAGTCAGAACACATACATCCAACACGCTCAGCACTGGAATGATGCGCCAAGGCCGGGCCAGGGCCAAGGCCAGGGCCAGGGCCAGGGCCAGGGCCAGGGCCAGGGCCAGGGCCAGGGCCAGGGCTAAGGCCAGAGCCAGCAGGAATCTGACCGTGGCCCATTGGGGATACTGTATACTGCAGCTAGACCAGAACTAAATATTGCGACAGAGCTTTCGGCCATATTTCCAATTTATTGCATTCCCAACTCATCACAACCACGCACTCTTCAGCCGAACCATACAGACACCAGCAAGGACACTTCCGTTGAGATATAATATTGTTCCACGCCTCTAGACAGCTGTTTCGCTCCCTGTCGGAGCTCATCAGTAGAGCGGAATGATAATGATGATAATGGAGGAATGATCATTCTTATGCACCAGAAATGGCGCAAGTGCGTGGAACAATATTATCTCTCAACGGACGTGTCCTTGCTGGTGTCTGTATGGTTCAGCTGAAGAGCGCGTGGTTGTGATGAGTTGGGGAATGCAATAAATTGTAGCTAGATCAGACTACTGTAAGCATAACAGGACTCCCCACATAAGGGGTACTATTACTACTAAAGTACGTTCAGTGTACGCGTACAAGGAACCATAAATCACATCACAGCTACGAATTTTAGAAATCTATCTGGCCAGAACTGAAGGAACAGCTGAAGCTTTGCCATAACCTCTGCCGGGTCCAAATACTCACATAACACTACTAAAAGCATGCCTTAAAGGTACACATCAGCAATGCCAAGCATCGGCATATCCATACTGGCACAAGCACCGAGTAGAAATGGATGGTCAAGCTGAAGTAAAACTCTTATCAGCGCTCACTGTGATAAGAGACCACCTGTCTCGAGGGGCCAGCCTCCTATGTCACAGTATGTGTTCTATGACCATAATTATTATACTGACGGTATAGCATACATTTTGACTTGTCTTGAAAATACCACCTACTAGTATCTATATGTGCGATTAGCCATCTCAGGACCAACACCCTGCTATAGTATACAATTGAACCTGTTTTGAAAGACCACCTGTCTTATGAGACCTGGTCACGTTCTGTGCACCATGGGGTGGTCCGTGTCTCTAAATGCAGGTTTGATCATACCTTAGATGGGTTTGCATATCACTGTTTCACAAAGTGCAAGGCAAGCTAGCCACAGTTATTCTGTGTTCCTTACACGCACGCACGCACAAACACGCGCACAAAATGTGTACACACACATACACTAGAATTGTTGGTTAACTGATGCTTTGTAAACTAAAAGCCGATGCTTACGCAGTGCAGCTTGTTCTCGCGGTAGATCACCATGACACCTGTGCTGCCAGACCGTCGGAAGTGCCGTGGATCTGGGGTATAGACACACACACACACACACACACACACACACACACACACACACACACACACACACACACACACAGATAAAGTGACACACTTGGTAATCTGTAAAGCCACCCCGTTTCCCAACAGCTACAGTGGTGGATCCAGGGGGGGGGGGGGGGGGGGCAGGGGGCCTGCCCCCCCCCTCCCTTTGAAAATTTCGACCTTGGTCTAGGATTACAGTAGACTGTAGAATGAGCGCTCGAAATGACTTGGCGTGTCACGTGGGTCACGCGTGCTGGGTACTTATACACGTGTCCGGTGTCACGCACTAGCCAGCGCGCTGTGTACAACTACTGTACGCACTGCGACCTGAGGACACGGCCGCACTTCAAACATGTGAAAAACGTGCCAAAAATGCAGGGCCTGGTACAAAGTGCAGCTAGTGCAGCGATCACGTTGGGCTGAAGTCCTGTACAGTGCACGGTGCTGTCGACTTCGTCCTTCCTTTTTCTTCTTTACTTGTCAGAAACTAAACGCTCTCTCTACTTCGCTTGTAGCCAACGGGTTACCTTCAGATATGCGATAAAGAGGAAAGGGTCTGACATCAGGTCGTTCTTCAGTGGACCGGTAGATAAGAGAGCTCGCGTTGAAGAGCCGTCCAAAGGTCCGTCGCAGCCGCTGCCGAGTGGAAATGTTCCTGCACTTGCGACATTACCCGAACCTGCTCCTGAATGTGAAGTCATTCCTCCAGTGACAGTTCTCTGCCTGGATCTCCGGTTTCGCACGCCAAGCCCACTGAGAGTAGCACTGTTCCAGCGACGGAAAGATCTCAGCCTGGAGTACCGGTTTCGCCGCGTGAGTTTCCCTCTGAATCCTGGGACATCGGCGACTATGCAGGTCAGATCGATACTTCAATATCCGCTGAAACGAAGCTGAAACTTGTTCAGTCGCGCAAGCCAGGTCCTGCGGTGGAAATGCCTTGCCAGACTGTCAAAGACAAAAGTCGCAAGGACGGAGTTCGCTTGCGCTACTGCAACAGGTCGTGGTTCGACACCTTCCCATTTACGGCCTACTCTGCTGTAAAACGTGGAATTTATTGTGTACCTTGTGTCCTGTTCCCGGTCACTCAGTCAACAAGTGGTCGGGCGCGAATACTAATTTCCACGCCACTTGTGAATTTCAAGGACGCAACTCAGGATCTGGCCGCTCACAGGTCACTGGATTACCATTTGTCCTCAGAAGCGAAGATGGACTCCTTTTTGAAAACGATGCAAACCCCAGGCAGCAGGATTGATGCCACAATCAGCCAGCAGGCAGCAGCAAGAGTGAAGGAGAATAGAGCAAAGCGTGTCTCCATTGTCAAATGCCTGGAGTTCTGTGGCAGGAATGGCTTGGCACTGAGAGGCCATCGAGATGACGGTGATGCATTGGATGACAGCTGGAAACAAGGAAAGTTCAAGTTCCTGGTCAACTTCCGTGTTGAGGCTGGTGATGATGTGCTGAGACGTCACTTGGAGACAGCATCTGTACGCGAGACTTACATTTCCAAGACTTCCCAGAATGCCCTACTCTCCTGCATCGGGCATTATGTTCGAGAGCAGATAGCAGCGGATGTTCGGGCAAGGTGTTTCTACGCAGTGGCAGCAGATGAGATGACAGACGTCAGCAATTGGGAGCAGCTTGGTGTTGTGCTGCGGTACATCAAGGATGGCCAAGTCTTGGAGAGGCTCGCTGGCTTTGTTGCATTGGAGAAGGTCCGAGGTTGTGACATCTTCCAGGCCATCAAGACCTTCCTTGCAGACCTGCACGTGGACATAACTCTGTGCCGTGGCCAAGCTTATGATGGTGCGGGAGCTATGGCTGGTGAGCTGAGAGGTTGCCAGGCGCTCTTCAAGGAAGAAATACCTCAGGCAACGTACTACCACTGCAGCAGCCACCAACTAAACTTGGCGCTGTCCAAAGCCTGCAGCGTTCCTGAAGTCTTGCGGATGGTAGCAACAATGAAGCAGCTTGGATTGTTCTTCAAGTACTCTTCCAAGAAGCAGCGCGCGCTTGAAGAAGCTGTGGACACCATCAACCGGCAGCGGAAAGCAGAACGGAAACCAGAGATCGCCAAGGCCAAGTTCAAAATGCTATGCGAAACCAAGTGGATCGAGCGGCATACTGCCTTTGAGGATTTCCACGACATGATGGAGCCGCTCTCCTCCACTCTGGAAGTCATCAGCCAGCCAGCCCTCCAGCAAGACGTCAAATGGGATGCGAAGAGTGTAACAGATGCCTGCGGTCATCTGCGTGACATTAGATCATCCAAGTACCTGATTGCTTTCCACGTCTGCCGGTACTTCTTTGGCTTCACCAAAGACATCGCACGTCTCCTACAAGGGTCCAGCATGGATGTGTTCACCGCCTATACCGAGATAGCAGATGTACGAGAGTGCATCAAGAGTGCCTGTTTGAATAGCGACGAACAGTTTGCTGACATCTTCAGGGAAGCTGAGCAAAATGTGGACAAGATGGGTGTTGACGACCTGCGTATTCCTCGGAGATGTGCAACCCAGCGTCACCGCTCAAACCTTCCAGCAACTACGCCCGAGGAGTTCCGGCGGCGTTCAGTATTCGTACCATTCGCAGATTCCTTGCTGCAGGAGCTAAGCCCGTTTCAACCAGATAACGGAAACAGCCGTCTCCGACCTGTGTTTGCTCCCCGAGAATGCTGTTCTCCCGTATGGCATCAGTGAAGACGTTGTCAGCAAGCTCCAGGAAGCCTTTGCAACCGACCTCCCAGCTGCCTATTCTCTGCCACAGGAAGTTGACCGGTGGGTGAGGAAATGGAAGAAAGTTGAGGCTGGCAATCTTCCCAAGTCACTTGCTGATACCCTCAGTGCTGTTGATAAGATGTCGTTTCCAAACATCTCCTGCATCCTGAAGCTTCTGCTCATCGCTCCTGACACTTCAGCATCTGTGGAATGTGCTAACTCTGCCTTGGCATATGTGAAGACAGATCTACGGAGTTCAATGGGCCAATCGCGACTGAACGACCCGCTGCTACTGTACGTCCACAAAGACATAAAGCTGGATTACAACAAGATCGTCGACATGTTTGCTACCAGAGCACCCCGTCGCATGCAATTCGTAGACCCATGCAACCACAATGAGGATGAGTACTGAGCAGCCCTCGCGTTTACAGTTTTCCCCAGCAGTTGACTGTCCCATCAGCTCAAATGCCTGTACATAATTATGCTTGAACTGGAAATGTGGCTTGATGACATACGTGTATATTTGTAGAAGTAGAAGAAAGGGCAGTAAAATGGCTGTAACTTAAAGTTTCACACACTAAGCGATCTTCAGACAGCAAATGAGATACATATTACATGTATATTTGTGGTAACTTTGTAACATACAAATACCTGCTAGTACGGTAGTGTCGCCCTAATGCCTGCGTTACACCACAGCTTGACAACACTTCCAGTGCAGTTTGAAAATGTCGTGAGAATGGAATACAGCAGCTCTTCACAACTTCAGGACTTTGTTGTTGTTGTTTTGTTTTTGGGGGGGGGGGGGGGGGGGGGATACCTTGGGCCCCCTCTTCGGCCAAATCCTGGATCCGCCACTGAGCTATGCTAAATGCAAAGAGAGGTCTCCATTCATGCCAACAACCCATAATGATACACGAACAGCTAACGTAAAACTGAGGCGATGGTCGCCCATCGTCAATTACAACTGTAGCTGGAAGTTGAGACCATATGGCGGTTAGTCTTTTCAATTCAATTCTTGCTAAAACTCAGTCAAGTTCTAGTGTTAAAGCTATCTCCAGGCCGTGCCGGAGTAAGTTCCAAAACATTGCTAGTGTGTGTGTGTGTGAGAGAGAGGTCCTCCTGACCCTCGGCTGCATGCTACATTAGCACTCATCTCCCCTCTGTCTGTCTTAACCATCCTTACATGGCCGCAAGGAAATTCCTTTGCTTGCGGTGATAACCTCATTACGCTTGGAAAGTTACTCTGACCACTTCCCCGTCCACCCATCTTTAGTGTCCCCCACCCACCCACTCTCAACCAATGAACATTATTCAGTAAAAATATTTCAGATTCCGTCCAAGAACTACTCACTGTCTAGGATTTCCTTGTCGATTGCCAGGCAGCTTGTGCGAAATGCTTCCTCCACATTTCCACCGCCTATCAAAAAGCGCACAGAAAGCCAATTGATGTCACATACATGGGGTTTGTTAGACTGAAAATGGTCACCATTTCCGTCATTTCCGTGCCTTGGTGTAGCAAACAGAACGTAAAATATTGGAGTGGGTACGGTATGCATGACAGCCACGCTAATCTTACACTACACAAGTCATCAATAAAGCTCTGGAACATACATGTATACATGGAGCCTTGCATATACAGGACGTCACCGCAGAGACCGACTAGGTTTGGTACTAACAGAGAGCACAGTCAACAGCACTTTGCCGAATGAAGCTTAAATTCTTACGGAATTGTGGATTCTCCTTGATTCGCAAGTGAACGTTCGCCCCGCAAAACTCCGCAACTGCCCCGTTGAAGTGGCCGTCGAAGACTGCATAGTAGCTGCTCGGTGCCTCACCGCTGGCAGAACCAGAGAAGTCTAGAAGGTGGACGTGTGCATCTTCCATAGCTAGACAAGAGGCATTGTTAAGGAGCATTCCCAATGGTCCTCTGCATCGTTAACTAGTCCAACAATCCTGGCCAGTTCTGCAACGTATCACTGAGGTAAGCGCATGTGTGTGTGTGTGTGTGGGTGTGTGTGTGTGTGTGTGTGTGTGTGTGTGTGTGTGTGTGTGTGTGCGTGTGTTGCGGGTCTATGCTAAGAGTAGCACGCGTTCTAATACCACAGAAGCTATTACGCTTCGATTCACTGTACCGGCCTCCACACTTGGTTGAAGCGCGAACATATTTGTGGGCCCCTTTCGTATGCCGCCAGTGGATAAAAGGTTATTATACTGAAATGGCTACATGATTGAATCATCAGCACTGACTGTACCTTGCCACAAAATGATTTTATAAATTTTGAAACTTTGAATATCTATAATGCAAGAAATATAATAGCTGCTTGGTCAACTTGGCGTCATATCAACACACAGACCGGATCATTTCCACCTCAGTCCAATCGTACTTTGGAGGCCGTAATTATGTGGTGCATAGCGGTGGAAGCCAGAGGATGTGTCTCATCCGATCATCTGCAATAGCACGCCTGGCAGGTGTGCAGCGCGTGAATGGGCTCACAGGTTTCGACTCCTTTCAGACAGGCTCAGATTACAATGCAGCACATCATTACTATTGAACTGGGACGGTTTTGAGCCGCGGCGCAGCACCAGTGCATCAATATCTTTGCCAAACATAGCAATCCACACTCATCTCAGCAGAGTTCTGCGTGTTGTGCGATCTATAATACACTCCGAACTGGTAAGAGCGGGTTTTCTATTCGGGAGCGCCGGCACTCCTACACCAGCCATGACTACTGACCAGCACAGGCACAGCAGCGCTAATCATACACAACACGGTGTACGCAAACCACTAAATATCCACAACATTCAAACACAAATTCTGGTGCCGGGGTGGGCACGCTAATAATGATCATGTCACTATCGTTTTTATAAGATTGCCACACTATTTTTTTCAATGCCCACATCAGAATCATTAGATCCTTGTATTTATCCCTCTTTTTGGAATAAATCGTCACAAAGTCGAGAGATACATGATATTTTTCATGGTTTTATACCGGGGATTAATCGATTGTCAAGACAAGAGTGCCATTGTTTCAGCGAGCTCAATACACTAGCGTCCCCAGTTCACCTCACATCAATCGAAGCCACTTTGCCGAAACCGGTACTGATAGCCTTCGCTAGCGCAACAAACAATACGGTTACATGGTTTACTCTACAATATCAGTCTGTCACAACTGACCTGTCGCGCGCTCGTCCAGTACGTGCACTCAACACCATCTTCCTACTTTTCAACAGGTCAACAAGAATGCAAGCCACCACTTCCGCGACACACACACACACACACACACACACCATGTACTACACACACACGCAGCTACAAACTAATGACATAGCATTTCGAGGCAAAACAAGCAGAACGGTTCTTCAACCAACAGTGAAATCTAGCCTCCGACGGGAGCATTCTATCATCTATGTTCGCCAACATTTCTACATCTCTTTCACTATTTTTCTCTATCCCACAAGCAACGGTAACGTCTGGCTGCGGAACACGGTATCGCTAACACAATCACGACACGAACAGCAGCAACAATACTGTTTCTTCCGCGTCAGCCACACGATTTTGATTCCCCAGTGAACGAGCACACACGCGCGCGCGCGCGAGCACCACAGACATACAGAAAATACACCAGGATACTGTTTCGCCATCCCTGCATACAGGACGAGCCAACCAACACTTGACTGCTGGACTGGCACGCTGAAATCTTCTCCGTTATCGGCTCACTCAACGCATTACCCATTGCACTGTTGTTGCTGCTGCTGTTCTTGCCTCGAATCAAATCTCGATGCTGGCGAGTATGTCGGCGAAAGCCCTTACTGAAGCGAATAGCTGCGAGCACAAATCTCGCTGTTCGCCGGAAGGTGACCTTGCGCCGCAGTGAATTGAACTCCTGCTCAAGTTCTCCGCAAGGAATGGGAGAAATGGCTGGCAGTCGCATGCATCAACGATCTGCAATGCCTATCTACACTAGATCACAGACGGGGGGCGATCAGCATGATTTCCAGAAAGCCGCATGACTATTGCCGCAATGGACGTTCTAAAAACACCACGGCACGCACAACACAATGCATATGGCCATGAGCATGATGGGGTTTCGGTTGCGCGCATTTGTATTTTTTCTGCACCCGTCCCGTCGTTGCCAGATCTAGATCGGCAGGGCCGAGCCTCTGCCGCGCTAGCGCTCTGATCTGGCCGGCCAGGCGGTGGCCATGGCTGACCAGTGCTAGTGCTACTAGACTGCATGCTAGCGGCAGCGCACGCACGCACACACACTTGAACACGTCGATCTACACCATTGGCATTGCTGGCATTGACATGTACACAGTCACTGGACATGTACTACATGTACTAGCATATCTACTGGTAACATTACATAATGCATGACCAATGACGGTTGTAATAATAAAATAAATAAAAATTTTAATACATGTAATGTGATGTCATGCAGACTGATTATCTATTTTCCTTCGAGAGCTCACTGACTTGTCAGTTTGAGCACTCTGGCAAGGTACGTTCGGGCCTGATTGGAAATTTTTATTTCCATTGCTATCAGGTTCGGCCTCATTTTCTCTGTGCTGCGCTGATGAGTTCAAAAAGAACGAAACAGCATGCTGTCCGCAGATTGAGTTCCTTCGTGAGTAGATATCTGCCCCTATCGATCATGACTTGTAATTTTATTGTAAATGTATATTGTATTTTAAAATGTATATTATGTAAATGAATCATCCCGCAGATCTAGCGTTTGACGAATCCTTGAAGTTGAAGGCAATCCGACGAGCTTCGGCTTGGGAATGTAGTCGTGTAGAGGATGTGTGCTGGTCGAATGTTTTGTTTACATGTACATGTGCGCGTGCAGCACACATGTTCATGACTACCGGTATATGCGCGCGGTACAAGCAAGAGTACATAAACCGGTTTATGTACTCTTGGTACAAGTAGACGTCTACAACTGATTCCGTGCATGAGCCGATGATATGAGGCATTGAGAGTCAGAGTGAGCAGGTTGTAACACGGACCGTATAATTCTCCAGTCATCTGATTTACGTGCGATTTAAAATACCGTGATTGTTTTTTACATCTTCAGTCGAGATGCTGTGACGCTGACTCGCGCCGTCGCGGCATACTACTACAGTCTGTATCGGCTATAGCGTACCCTTTTGATTTCCGTGATTTTATCACTATAACCGATGCATCACTATATGCGATACGATCGATTTTTTTCGAGCGACACATGAAAGGCAAGGAAATACTTCCAGCATGGCGTTTTGACAACTGAGCATGCCGCATAGTTGACAGTGCCCGCATTTCCATAAAAAATTCTGTTTTGTACATGTACATGTGTCACTATCAAAATAAGCAACGTGAAGAAAGTAAAAAAATAGGGCCTTTGAATTTGATATTATTGCAACATGTATTTTTAAAGTTATCACTATAGCCGATTATAATGTAGTGTGTTATGCATGTTTTTATTCTATGTTGCCATCATAATATCCGATATATCATTACATCCGATAATATTGGTTATAGTGATATTTGTACAGGATAAAATACGTTTTGCTTTTGATATTTCGTACCAATATCACTGTAGCCGATATATTCTTATATCCGGACACTCTATAGCCGATACAGACTGTACCATGACTACTCCAGTAGTAGCTAGCGCTGCATGCGCTTGCACTAGCGACTCGTCACTCGCGCTGCACACCGTGTTTTCAGGAATACTACAGTACTAGTAGTAGTACAGTGAGCCTTGCCCCGTGATTGTGCGGACTATGCTATGCTTCTCTTGCTGTCTGATCACATGCGACGTCATCATTTTTGTTTGTTTTCAATCCTCCGCCATGGCAAATTGTGTTTTGTTCGCCCGTAAAAGAGGCTTTTACTACTAAAAAAAAAAAAAAAAAGTAGTACAGTGGTCCCTCTGTAATCCGGCACCATTTGTGCCACGAAAATCTGCTGGATTAGGGAGGGTGCTGGATTAACAAATCTGATTTACTGCTGCAATGTGCATGAGGAGGACATTTTGGCTCCTGCTGGTTTATCGAAGGTGCTGGATTATAAAGTGCCGGATTAGAGGGGGAGTAGTAGTAGTACTGACTGAAGCCGCACTGGAGTATTTAGGGCATGTTCGATTGGTTGGATCCGGATCCAGGTCGACTGAGTGGATCCTTTGGTCCGGATCCACCAACTAACCATGCTACATATCTACATGTACATCTACCAATCACCAAGAGTCCGTGGGTTATGGACTCTTGCAATCACTCATGACCCTCATTATGCTAGGGGGTTAGGAGACTACTCCTGAGAACCGGGTGCGATACCCATATGGTTCAAATGGTCCGCAGGGACCGGGGCTCTGCCAACCGCGGAAGGTTGTAGTAAGGTCACTGTTTCCATCAACTTACTTTCCGAACACAGTGTCCTCCACCTTGTTTCATGCTGTCAATCTAACAATTGCGTGAACTATAAACAATATAACAAGGTTTATCTAATACTGGTTTTTTAACCAGTCGGTTAGATTATAATAATCATAGTACAGTCAAACCTCTTTAGGACGAACATCAAGGGACCGATGATATTTCCGATCATATTTGTTCGCGATAACGGGAGTTCTTCTTATGTTTTACCCAGTGAATATACAGGGTTTTATCCAATACAGTTACGAATACTAGTTCTTCTTAGGCAAACATTTGTCTTATCAATGTTCTTCCTAACGAGATTTACTGTAGTTACTTGTGTGATCGAATCTGGAATTTTAGTGATTTTGAGGGTTTCCATGAGAGAAAGCAGCGATTTCCGCATCATCGCTTTAATTCCCGCCATTTGTACACATATCAGTACAGTGGTCCCTCTATAATCCGGCACCATTTGTGCCACGAAAATCTGCTGGATTAGGGAGGGTAATCTGATTTACTGCTGCAATGTGCATGAAGAGGACATTTTGGCTACTGAAAATTGTGCTGGTTTATCGAGGGTGCTGGATTATAAAGTGCCGGATTAGAGAGGGACGACTGTATCACCATGATCACCAAGAGTCCAGACCAGAACCCCAAGCAGGTAACCGCAAGAGTACATGAAAACCGGTTTTCATACTCTTACTCTTGGTAACCGGTATCGCATCTTCTGAGGTGTGAAGCAATTGTTACTTCAGATATGTGTCGCAGAAAACTGCAATGCATATTACTAGTACTTGTTGATTTTTCACTACATGCACAGTGTACATGTCGGGTGTGTCTCTTGGGATGAAGATGCACGAAGCTTCGAAAGTGCTGAGCTATGCTTCCTGCCAGTTCCTGGCACCAGGCTAGGTTTGCAACTAAGGTGTTACACTTACAGCGTAGATCTTGTGAGTTGTGGTGCTTGCACGCTGATCAGCTCTTTTTGTGTAGCAAAATTGCTATGCAAACGATTGAACGAAAATTATTCCCTGCTATGCCAAGAGTGTGCAACTGGGGACTGGCTGCAATAATAGCCTGTACTGTCTGTAGCCTGTGCTGTAGGCACACGCCAATGCACGCCGCCGGCGGCGGAATTCCAACATTACATCATGCCGCTGAGGCACAGCTAGTCTGAGCTAGAGCCTAGGCCAGGGAGTCGTCAAGTATTTGACGACTCCCTGGCCTAGACTAGAGTCTAGACTCTCTAGTAGAGGAATGAGAGGACAAAACTCTGCGTTCCGATCTGCGGCGGCGGCCGGCGGTGTTCGGAATCAGGGATTAGTGAATGCGAACGTCATTTTGGACGTAATGTTGGAATTCCGCCGCGCGGATCCCCATGTAGATCTACATAGTTGCACACTCTTGGCGGGAGTCTTGGGGTTATAATTATTATGGTCTCTTGGTATCACGTACAGACTACAATTTTTTGACCCCGCCCACGGAGTAGGGTTGATCGGATCCAGTACACCTGGTACAATACAAGTGCATGGTCTTCTTCCTAGCTATAACTGTAGATCTACGGATCGTACCCCTGAGAAACTTGCTGTATTGATCAGCCATTGGCATGCGGGCAAATAACAAAGAGTGCAGGTCGTTGCGCTGTTCCGTAGAAGGAAAACTTCTGGTGACAAGCAGCAATGGTAGACGAATAAGATTCGATCAGCAGCAAAAAAGTCAGCTCAGACTTGGCATGTCCGAAACTGCAGCAACAGAACAGGAATGACTGGCACAACCAGAGGCAAAACAACAGAACGCAAGCACACTACTGCAAGAGGATGCGATGTGATGATGGGAGCAGCTCTGGGCAGAAATACGGAAAAAAGACACAGCATGACCGCAAGTGTTCACCAGTTGTCGCTGGTACGGTGCGGAGGGGGCAGCCTGAGCAAGACTGTAGCCAGTGACCAGATCTGTACGACAAGGCAGCAGTTGTGCCATTCAGCGTAGCAACGGCCGCTCGGCGAAGTGGCGATGAGAGCAAGACTTCACATCGTTGCCCCTACTGTCCGTGACAGATGGGCGTGGTGCCAAGCGTTACGGAGAAAACCAGTGCGGCATAGGATCTGATAGGCAACACACCTGTCATCCTCCACGGCGGGGAACACCGTAGGGAATCACTCGGGACACTTGTACAAGCAAGCAGGCAATCAATAAACCTATTATAATATGATAAACCTATCATAAACCTATGTGGTAGGTCTGGCCGAGAGCGTTCTGCAGCGGTGTGGGTACTGGCCGTGTCAGGCACCACTCGTACCACACATCCTTGGAGTTGGCCTTGCGCCACATGCAAGCTTCGATGACCTCACCCTTGCGGATGGCGATAGGCTCCTGGCAGAAATGACAATGCAGACACAGACAGAGCAAAACGGTTACGGGGATTCATACACGTGAAAGGAGATACAAGCACACTGCATAGCATAGTGTTGAGCAGGCAGTCAATCGGCAGTAATTCAGCTATACCCCCCCCCCCCCCCCCCCCACACACACACACACATCGTGCTGTACATACCTTCAACGGAAAGAACATTGGGAACCAGCTGAACATGCCAGGTGAGTGAGTCTCGGGCAGTATACCTGGACGGAATAACACCACAACATGATCGACCCACAGATGCTATCTGAATATGGCTAGGAAAAGAATCAAGCGCACACTCACAACACGTAACATAGCTAGGTAGGTTGGAAAGTTATAAGAGCATTTTCTTGGGATGATCTTCACTTTAAAATAGGAGTCGTCCATAAATTTAATATCGAACTTTTTTTTTCACAAAACGAAATAATTTCGTTGTGGGGTGGGAGGAGGTTGACCAATTTCGTTTCAGAAAACATTGATGCCGGTACATGCACATGGCCGTAGGAGCAGTGACATGCTTGCGACTTTTGTTGTATACATGTACTTGTATTATCATCAGCACACAAAGAGACGAAGCTAGTTGAAAATCTGATGAGGCCTTTCGTACCATTACTCTTCAAAATCAGTACATGATGATAATGTGACGAAGCACAACGATGTCAATTTATACAGCATATTGGCGGAAAAATTGTGATGAAACAAATATTCTTGACTAGTTTGATGGAAAGACACAAATACTTGTATCAACATTTTTTATGTTCTGAGGGGGAGGGAGGGCCCAGTGAGGGGTTGGGTCGAAACTAAAATAATTCGTTTGGTGAAAAAAGATCGATATTTACGGATGGCCCCTTAGATACCATGTAAATGAAGATCAGCACGAGAACTCTTGGAACTGTTTGAATTACATCACTATATGACGCGTTCACAGCAGCGAGAGTGCAGTCAATTCTATTCATACGAGAAGCTACATTCCAACCACAAGCTGACATGAGTCTTTGGCAGTTACATTGTAAAGGTATTGTTATGCCAGCGAAAGACGCATTTGTAGAAGCTATTCCTCATCACAGCTGACTACCATCACCAATCTCAAGGTTGGTTTATTGCTGGCTAGCATCGGCAAGCTGAATGAATGCTGGACAAGCTAAAGTAGGACCGGGCTACACTGCATTACACACCGTCGAGTGGCAAGAAAGAACATGGGCGAGGAGGAGAAAATGAAGAAGTTCAATAACGCACCGGCCATCGGGCTTGTAGCCATCGTTTTCTGACACAAGCCTCTTCTGGTAAACTATGCCCCCCCCCCTCTCCCGCATGGAAGTCACACGACAACTTACTCAGCATCACGTCCTTGTAGAGGGCCGTGTCAAAGTAGCCGGCAAAGCCGTGCATCAACCCGTCCGTGCTGGACACGAATCGCAGAGTGACATATCGCTCGTTGTCAATGGCAGCTACAGCAGGGACACACAACACAGAAACTTGAGCCAACATCAGAGTGCTACAGAATATTTCAAAGAATCAGTCTGGACGCTTCAACAAACTATTCTCACAAGATTCTACACATTCTTAGATGAGCAGAGCAGGAATGGGCCGCGTGGAATGCCTCCAGCTGGGTGAGGCATGGGACCCTCAACACACTACCAGTACTGTTATCACCTCTGTGTCATTACAGCTGCATTCCATGCATGCACCAGACATTCAACAGGATAAGTACCATTACAGCTGCATTCCATGCATGCACCAGACATTCAACAGGACACAGACGACTACATCAACAGCCTCAAAACCAACTTCAAACCAAGATCACCGAGACATTAGCAGACACGGGGACTCGGAGAAGAGGAAGAAAGACTGCGATTGGAAACTCCTCCACACAACCCCGCTCACCTCCAGGTTGTGGTCGGTTGGGATGCGTAAAGTTGAACACAGCCTGTGCCTGCGAAAGAACACTGACATTGTGCAGACGAACGACATATCCACTCTCATACGGATCCTCCTGCAAAGTCAAGTTCATGCAAGAAACACAGAAGTTTAAAAAAATACTTGGCACAGGCAAAGCCATTTCAAATTTGGACTTCACGGAGAATTTCAAAGTATTAGGAAATTAGAGGCCACATGCCTCGTACTGCTCTTTTCTCTCCGAAACTCAACCAAGTAATCACCTAGCCCCAGTAAGCATCTTGCATGACCACTGTTCCTTGGGACTCAATGTGTGCAATGTGCCAAGATCATTCTGGTTTTAGAGAGCCCTTGCGTTCAAAGACCGTGGTAGGCCGGTCCCATGGCTGTTTTCTGCAACCAGGTTTCACCAGTACTAGAGAATCCTACAGACTAAGTCTAGTGCCACTCAATGAAAACCGATCGGAGCGAGTCAGCTTAGCGTCCGGTACGGGTGAAAATCCCAGAGTTGGTAGGTTTAGGGCTGCACAGCGCCCGGCATGGCGTACTGGACTCACTCAATCAGGTTTCACTGAGCAGCACTGTATTTACTCCAAGCCGGGATTTTACATCTGAGAGAGAGAGAGAGAGAGAGAGAGAGAGAGAGAGAGAGAGAGAGAGAGAGAGAGAGAGAGAGAGAGAGAGAGAGAACATAGAGAGAGGAGGGGGGGGGGGACAAGAAAGAAAGAGAGAGAGAGGAGGGGGGGGGGGGGAGCGAGAAAGAAAGAAAGACAGAGAGAGAGAGAGAGAGAGAGAGAGAGAGAGAGAGAGAGAGAGAGAGCACAAAGAAGTGCCGTCGTCTATGGTATTTCGCATCAGACCCAGTAGAACACTGGCACAGCCCAGAAGCAGGCAACTGCAAACTAACTATGGGCTCTCTCTATTGTTTCCACATACTCTTGCTATGGTCCTGTCCTTGGAATTGGGATCGCGGATGTTAGCAACCTGCGCATGCAGCCGGGGAGCAGAAAGTGGTGCGAGATACGATGTGTACTCGCTTGGAATACTGATACCATCATCCTTCAGGAATGACTGGGCACCATCCAGGCATTCTGGCGATAGCTCATTGTCGCTGAATGAGCCGAGGAGTTCACTGACGAGAATATCAGCCTGTGCATGTGTGCATGAGCAGAGAGTCAGAGAAATACAAGTCAGCACTGGCAAGAGCATACTATTCTACAGGCTAATGAAACAGAGACAAAAGCCGTGTTGAGAACTGGCGTGTATGTGTGTGCTGTACGTTTGCAGTTTCACCAAACTCTCATTCAAGCTTTCACATAAAACACCAAATCGAGGCGTGTTATAGGCTGTGTGACATCTATTAGTAATACATGTAGTAATAGTTTGACCCCGACAGTATGCACCTGTAATGCGCTGAAAATACTCTATTTCAGCGTGTTTACAAACACATGGCGTCCCCAAAGCCAGCAACATACGCACAGACGTGCGGTTCCATGAGTACATGAGTCAGTTATGAACACAGGCTTTAATGAATGTGGCTCACATGCAGCACAGCGATATTGGAGGCGCACACGTATGCAAGGACGTATTGCAATATCCATAATTTTTAATGAGGAATCCGGGCTGCAGTAGCTGCCATGGCTGCTGCTGCTACTGCGCCTACATGGGAGCAGCCATGGACCAGACCTTAGTGGGAGAGCTCTGCAGTGGTACAGGCTACACGGCGAGCATCACTGACGAGCAAGCCTCTCTCTCTCTCTCTCTCTCTCTCTCTCTCTCTCTCTCTCTCTCTCTCTCTCTCTCTCTCTCTCTCTCTCTCTCTCTCTCTCTCTCTCTCTCTCTCTCTCTCTCTCTCTCTCTCTCTCTCTCTCTCTCTCTCTCTCTGTCTCTCTCTCGTGACTTGCGGGGGGGGGGGCACCTACCTTGACGGGTGCCTTCCACTCGCGCATGTCACACGACACGACCGTCACACGGTCATGCCACTCTTCCTCCTTGAATGTCCGCAGTCTGTGCAGCAGCATCACCATCGTCACCATCATTGGCAGTGCAGGGGGGAGAAGCAAAAGCAACACACAGAGAAACACAGACCAATCACTGACAGGAAAGCCACAATATGTCATACCTGGGTTGGCAATTATTGGTACGACCAGCACCAGTCAAACACAAAATTAGGAACCGCAGGACAATATACAACTGCTTTTTTTTTTTTCTTGTCCGAATTCTTCACTTTGAAACTGTCTTGGATACATTCAAGCGGCAAGTTCTCAGCAACATGTTCCATTCTAAGAAGCATGCACAAGAAGCAGGAGCACCTGCAGTACTCACGTCACTACTGCATTCGGATTCTTCTCGACGGCATAGACCTTGACTAGACGCTGTGCTCGGTTCGCTGCCTCCAGCGACTGCCTCACAAGAGGGCCTCTTCCGGCTCCAACAACCATTACAGTGCTGTGGCAATAGGTGTAGTACAAGAGAAGACGGCGATAGCGGTGAGAATCATGCAGGGCAGGTTGGAACAGGGTACAATAGGTGTAGCACAAGAGAAGACGGTGATAGTGGTGAGGATCATGCAGGGCAGGTGGGAACAGGGTGGCCAGACACGGAAGACAAGAGTTACAAGTATGTACGTCAAGTGCACGTACCAGGGAGTACTGCCAGAGAGCCCTGCGTCCCGTATACGCAACACCAGGGAGACACTGGTACCAGCATTACCGTTTCGTGTGTATCAAGGAAAAGTCCACATGAAGTGCAAGTGATAGTAATACACGTGAGTCCAGACTGCAAGGTAAACATGGGTGATGTGAGTCATGTGACTGATGGCAGCAGGTTCCGACGCGACTAAGTCAGAAAGGATCACCTGGAGTGGACTTACGTTACTTTGGTATCTTTCTCCTCTTCAGAAACTCGATCCAACAGAGCACGGTACACAGCCTATTCAAAAACCATGCATGCACGCCCACCCACAACCGCACACAAACGCCATTACACACAGCGTTCACACGAAAGTTACTGAGCAGTACAGCTTACAAACGCGTGTGCGCACGCACATGCTTGTATGCGCCAAGGTCCATGTACACTGTAAACTCCCACGTACACTGTCAACTTGCATTTAAAACCCGTGTACTAGTACATGTCGATGTAGCGGCTAGGTTCCTATGTAAATCAAAATATCACCAGTTGTAGTCTTCGAGGTGCCGAGTCGAATGGTCGTGGTCCGAGGAAGCTGAGACGCTCCCTTCCCACTTTAATCCCAATCGAACTCGCGCACTTCCACCGAAACTGGGTGACTGCGCCCTACTAGATGGCGATTTGTATGCAAAATGTCACTAAAGGCGCCATTTCAATCTTATAAAAGCACGGATGACCGCGATTGTCCCATATGTTGTAGTCTTTTGGACGCTGAGTCGACTGATTTTGGTCCGAGAAAGCTGCGATGCACCAATCCTCCTTTATTCCCAATCGAACATGGTTGAACAAGCGCAGGGCTGCCACTTGCTCCGATTTTTCGGAAATCGTCCGATTTTTGATCGTCTGTCCGACAAACCGACCGATTTTGTTCCCAAAGAGGGACAACCGATTATTTTATTTTGAGCGCTTTTTAGTCCAGTTGGCCGGTCATTTGTACACGTACAGTCAACTTCGCTAATAACGACTGCGGATATAACGACAATTCGCGAATAACGACCGAATTTCCATGCCCAGAGCAAAGTCCCATCTAACTGTATACATTTTACTTCGGATATAACGACTATCTGAATAACGACAATTCGCGAATAGCGACATGCTTTTAGTGCCCCGAGGTCATATTCACTGCTTGAACAACGACTTTCTGGGCTTTTGACAGCTATTTCAAGTACCTGTCAGTCAAGTATATGTACCTGTCATGCAGAAGTACCAGAACCTATGGTGATGGATAATATTATTATTATTATAAAAAGGCACACATGCAAGAAAATGCAGCCAAAGGGGGGGGGGGGGGGCTTTTTCTTCCTTTTACATGTTGGCTTCAAAATTGTTGGATTTACCAGCACACCTATAATTATGTATACAATTATGTACATGTAGTTGTACATGATTGTACAGTAATCATGACACATGTACATGTCTCTGGCCCTGTAGATGGCTCAAAAAGGCATATTTTTCAATTGATTTCCCTTGCATATTGAATTTTTAGTTCCTTTCAACTGCAATATGAAAATAAAGTACACATTGACATAGAGCAAGAAAAGAGCTTGATTTTGATATGCATATCATACTATACAAAATATGGGTTCACATACATTCAAATGGGACTTCGGTTATAAGGACACTTCGCGAATAAGGACACTTTTCTGATGCCCCGCCACATGTCGTTATTGGCGAAGTTGACTGTAGATGTAAAATGCTCGCGTGCTTGCATGCACTTGGAGTATGTACGGTGTACGGGATGAGCTGTAGCAACGGCGGTTGCTACAGGCGCTAGGCAGCTTTGCAACTGCAGTACATGTACTGCCGCCACTGGATCAACGATCATTGACGCAGTGATGATCGATTCAGCCGTTTCGGCGTCGCATTGTGCTTCGCGGCGCTGCATGCAGTTCACAGGGTTCATGCCCTGTTCCTGAATCCTGGCGTGACATCCGATCCGTTGTGTAAACTTACTTACATGACTGTACTTGGACCAACGACCTCTAGATGGGGAGTAGGACGGTTGATCTTCTTCTCGACTTCTGGTGGTAGTTGAAGTAGTAGTTAGATCAACTAACTTTTCAACGTTCAGAATGTCGTCAGACTATCACTCAGACTCCGAGGATTTCCAGCTGATAGTGTCGGATTCGCCGCCTTCAACGCCTCCGCGAACGCCTTGGTTCGACGAGGAGGAGCCATTTCTGGTGTATGACGACGATCTTTCCGCTTGCTCTGATGATGGTTCCGTACCTCGTCCACCCGCAGCTACGAAGAGAAGGATTGCAGTGTCTGATTCGTCGTCTGACTCGGATGCAAGTGAAACTGAAGCAGTTGAAACACAGTCTGTGGCTGCTGTACCCGCTGGCAAAAAGAAACGGCGTTGTGTCACCTATCAAGCTGTCTGGGAGGAGAACCCTGTGCTGAAAGATTGGCTGACCAAATCAAAACGCGCGGATGGAAAAGCCTTCTGCAAAATATGCCAGAAGGACTTGGAGTTTGGGAATGGAGGAGCATATGACTTGGAGCGCCATGGAAAATCGGTGGCTCATCAGAAGCAAGCGAAGTCTACGAAGACGCAACCCAGTCTTTCTGCTACGGTGTCGCAGGCCTCTGCTATGTCGCAAGCGGTGACTGATGGTGAGCTGTGCTCTGGAGCATGCAGCGTCAGCCACGCAGCCTGACACAGCCAGCCACAAGGTGAAGGACCTGTGCAGGACCAGATGGGTGCAGCGGTTAGACACATTAGAAGCATTCCTCAACCTCCTGCCCTCCCTCGTGGTATGTTTCCAAGAGATTTCCGAAGCGCCTGCTGCTGCATGGTCCCGAGATTCACTCATCGATGCCAAAGGCCTCCTCTCCCGGGTTACAACCACAGAATTCATGAGTGCTCTGGTCATCACTAACAAGTGCCTTGGCTATGTGCGTGGGATAACGTCTAGCCTCCAGTCGGAAGCCAAGGACATCGTTCATGCCATGGCAGATGTCCACACAGTGCAGGAAACACTCGAGAAGGTACGTGCTGATGTGGACAAGCACCACGGGGATTGGTTCAAGGTGGTGGAATCGACGTGTGCCAAGATGAACGTCAACCCATCTGTTCCGAGGTCATGCGGCAGGCAGACACACCGGGACAACGTTCCAGCTGACACACCATCCGAGTATTACAAGCGGTCGATCAGCATACCTCTCCTGGACCACATGGTAGGAGAGATGAAAAGCCGCTTCACAAGCCATCATCGAACTGCTCTCCAGGCGTTCTGTGAGTGTGTGGTACCTTCGATCCTGCTCTCGTCGTCAATTGCCGAAGCAAACACAGCCATCAACAAGTTGGTTGGGACGTATTCCGTTGACTTCCCATCCGCAGCCAGCGTGGAGAGTGAGCTGCATTGCTGGCACACCAAGTGGTCGAATGTTTGGAATGAGCATGGCGAGCCTGCTATTCCTACCTCGGCTGCCCTGTCATTACCTCACGCCAGCCAGATGTTTCCCAACATCCGTGCCATACTGCAGCTGCTCTGCACTCTTCCCGTTACGTCCTGCTCATCCGAGCGTTCATTCAGTGCTCTGAAGAGGATCAAGGATCGCCAGAGGTCAACGATGGGCAATGAGCGCTTGACCGGCCTCGCCCTGCTGCACATTCACCGTGATATCCCGGTGAGCATCGATGCGGTCATAGATGAGTTTGCGCGGCGCCATCCAAGGCGGATGCACCTGACAAACATCTTCGCCACCGCACCTCAAGCTGCTGCACCAGATTCAGCTTGAACTGTGGGTCCTGACTTGATTTCCAGTCACCAGCATACTATTAATTTTGCTTGTTCTAAATACATCATTAGTAGTATCGGATATCTACTCCCAAACTATCACTTTAATAATAGCATAGTATACAGTACACTAGCTGTCACACAGAAGAGGCCCAAATTTTTATTGAATGTTTTCGCTCTATTCACATCATGACGATACATAGAGAACAGTTGACAGTGCAATGCAAATGTGTAATTATATAGATTGTTGGAATGGGAAGCTGGAGACATTCATAATACATAAATTCAAGGTGTACACCGCACTAGCATGCATATACAAGATTCCTCAAAAGAACGTTTATGGAAGAAATTATGGGCACCCCCCTAAACCATGATCCTGGCTACGCCCCTGACAGAATCTACTAGGACTGCACCCAAAAAAGGTCAAACAGGCTAGTAGTTGGACCCTGCAGGCACGGTGACCAGGTGACTGGTGTACGCAGAAGCACGTGACCGCTTGTTCAAGCATGTTCGATTGGGAATAAAGGAGGAACGCTGCATCGCAGCCTTTTCGGACCAAAACCAGTCGACTCAGCGTCCAAAAGACTACAACATATGGGACAATCGCAGTCATCCGTGCTTTTATAAGAACGAAATGGTGCTTTTAGTGACATTTTGCATACAAATCCCGATCTAGTAGGGCACAGTCACCCAGTTTCGGTGGAAGTGCGCGAGTTCGATTGGGATTCAAGTGGGAAGGGAGCGTCTCAGCTTCCTCGGACCAAGACCATTCGACTGATTCCATGCAGATGTGTCTATGGTCCATGTAGAAATCAGGCTTGTAGTCAAAACAGGCTTCTGTACTACAAGCCAGAAAGACTGTAAACAACACAGTATATGCTACACATGCATACGCGAGTAACACGCACGCGCAAGCTCTCTTCGGGCAATGGCTGGCACACCGCGCTCACCTCCTGGTACTGCTTGTACTTGATGGGATCCTTCTCAAATACTTCATACGTCTGAGATTCAAGATTATCGTGAAGAGGCTGCACGGATAAATTCACACACAATGATTGACGACAAAATGAACAATTTCAGGGCTCACAGCCGCGTACAAAAGCGTGGGCGCCATTTTGGACAGGCCGCTGTCACGCGAGCTGTCACGCGAGCCAGGCAGTATGCCAGAATTGTGTACATGCGATCAGGCAAATATCTCACGAAGCTTGAAAGTGGGGTGCATTCAAAATGTTCATTTGTACCGATGCTTTCTCCTAGGCCTTTCAAACTCTAGGAACATACTCTCAATACCCATTGTAAGGATTTGTCCGAGAGTTTTTTTGTTTTAATCGATACGGTTTGGCGTACATACGAGGCCAAAGTATCAGTTCGTGCAGGCGTAATTCTGACATGAATTATTGTCCTAAAATTGAAAAGTCTCTCGGACAAATTCTTCTAATTTTCCTACTGAAAATTTTAAGCTATTGGCCATCAAAATCGGGCAAGAGACGGGTACAAACGAACATTTCGAAGGCGACGCTATCTGCAGTACAGGTGCGAGGCGCGCTGGACCGGTTGTGAATGCGGAAACAACATTACAGCAAGGCGAATTTTCGAAATGTTTTTGCTACTCGCCTGGCGCTTCATCGCTGTGTCCTTCAGGAGTTATGGCCGACTGAAGAAATACATGGCCAGCACAACGGCGAAGCCTTTGGACGTGTTCTCTTGCAACGAAACGGAGTGGTGAATCAAATAATTCACAACTCCACATCGTCACTACTGCGTTGCGCGGCTCTTCGCAGCGGACCAGGCGTATATTTACATTGTACACAACAGGACTTCACGGCGGAGAAACTAAAACTAGAACACTACGTGAGTCATTGCTCCATGCCTTCAACATCAAGGAGTGCATGTCCTCTCCTTCTCCCGTCACCCGCGCCTGTGCATTAGCGGCGTAGCTGCCGGGCAGTAGATGTTGAACTCTTTCGTGTTCAACGAATGCAGGAATCTGCTCGGGGCTACTCCTCGCAGGACTCCGTGTGTGGACAGTCTGAAGGAAGAATTCGGCCGACGAGGCCAACAATGCTCGCGAAATAATCCACTCAGAAGGAAACAATAACAACCGAAACAAATGGAGAACTGTCTCCGTCTCCTTCACCATCCACGGCTCAGTTCTTGTCACAGCAACTCAGCCCAAGCAAGTCAAAATCTCCTTGCGACTGTGAGTGCTACGCCTGCGCTTAGCAGTCACGCGTGCCCGTTTCTATGGTGATCAGATCCAATATGTCCTCCCACGTAATCGAGTTTTTGGCATACCGGCTGTGAGCCCTGAATTTTACAAAACTGAACCCTTATTAAAAAGGTTAAAAACTGCAGTATATTAAAACATACGTGTAGACGGGATGTAGCATACATGGCTCGTCTCTTCTATTGAGGAAATGCATATTCCTTTTCAGGGATTTGAACTTGGATATACTAGTAGGCTACACTGGAGATTCAAAGTTCTTAAAAATACAGAGTACTGCCGCTATAATACAGGTACTGATCTATATGTCCAATGGAGGGGTATACTGCACAGGAATTTCCCCAACTCTACACACAATGGCTCGAAGAGTCCCAGCCAAGTCGCTCACTTAACTCCCAAGTGTACGTGCACAGGCTTACCTGCAGCGGTGACTGAAGGTAGTCTTCGTATCCACGAGAGAAGGCTTCCACAGGGCCAGGTGGAGGCAAGCTCTGTAGACACGAGAAGAACAGCAGTACAGTAAAAGCAGCAGTGTCAAGTGCTAGCAACCAGCATGGAAAGCAATAGAAAACATCACTGGACAGCAATGAAGGCCATTAGTACAGTTACCGAACCCGGGGACTTGTTTCGACACAGCTGTACACCCACGCCTGTATAGGGCTTGAAAGTGCTATGTCACAGCATAGCAACAATTTCAAAAATTCAAAAACTGGATCCACTTGGATCCAGTTTTTGCATGGATCCAAGCACATTTCAAGCCGTCTTACTCACAGCAGGGTGATGTAACCAGCGAAACTGACTGATTTGGCTACTGGGGCCGGGGTTACAACTGGTGGCGAAGTAAAAGTCCCCCTGCATACGACATGAGTGAGTTGCTATGCACCCACATACTGAGGCAATAGCAAAGTCACACCTCAGTGGATCCAAAATAGAAATCTGATGTCAAATTACTACTCCCTGGCCGTTTTTGACGTCATCACTTTCAAGCCCTATTGCCATGGCTGCCGAATTGGCCACATCGCCAGGCCCACTGGAAAAGCAAACGCTGAGAGTGCAATGCAGTAAACACACTACGTTGCGGCCTTTTAAAACACTGGTGTGACTGCTACCCTGGCAAAACACACAAAGCTCATTAGCAAGGTATAAAATAGAGACAGTACCTGATGGAGGTGGTTGATATACTGCAAGTAGACCTTGACACCCTGTGGAGTCACGACAACAAGAACATATGAACAAAGACGTTAATTTCATTCCACTCCCAGTGTTCTAACAAAACACCGCCAGCGGCATGATCACAAGGTGAACGATGGTGATGGACCACCGGCGCACCGAGACTGCCGCTGCAGGTCACCGGTGCAAATGCATGAGTCATGTGTCATTGCCTGAAGATTGTGCACCGCGCATGAAACTCGGAATTGAAAGACTAGAATGCCTTGATCCGTTATTGTTGATGTTGTTTTACGCTTGTTGCTCCGGCTCCGACTCCCTGGGTTATTGAACTCACTATGCATACTTGGGCCTCCTCCCTTGCGAGTCATGTGTAACAGTATGTAGATCACGACTAGTTTCATGTCGGGAATGCAAAGAGCCTACGTATGGCCTGCAAGCATCATCTGTCCGACAAGTATACTTGTACTTGGGAGTGACGACAATGAAAGATGTACACGAACATACTAAATCTTATTATTTACACGTGGATTGAAGTGTAATTTGTATGCAAATATTGCACATGTAGTCTATACGCAATATAAGTCTACTTACAACTACACATTGTTGAATGCAGGTCTGTGAGTGGCACGGTCGAAGAATTGCGCATGGCAGCGTTGTGCATAATAAATTAGGACTTCAACCCGTATACTCCCCCCCCCCCCTCCCCTCTCTCTCTGTCTGTCTGTCTGTCTGTCTGTCTGTCTGTCTGTCTGTCTGTCTGTCTGTCTGTCTCTCTCTCTCTCTCTCTCTCTCTCTCTCTCCCTCACACTTTTGGATCTGAAGCGCGAGTGTTGAGTGTGGTGGGTGGGAGACCACGAGCGAGCCTTTGCCCAGATGTGTATCTTCGAATGGCCGCACTGCATGGCCTAGCAATGCACAGTAGGTGTTTTGCAATACAGTTCAGGTATGCCGCGGTATTGGGTCAAACCATGGCCAACCGGACAGGACACATTCACAACTAAACTCACCCGCTCGTGTTTAGGCGATCCACTGAGAATTGGCTGGATATCGAGCTGCAAAGTAGAGAAAGACAACAAAAATCTACTGGTGAAACAAACACCAAAATTCACAGCTCTAATGTTTTTTGGTCGAATCATGCCGTGGAATGTCTCGGTACTCCTTGTCAGTTTTGTGATACACAGTGCACGTCTGTTCAAATTCTGGTTTAGTTGGCGGACTCGGCCACATAACGTGTGCCCCATTTTTTCATGTTACAATTCTTCCATGTTTTTTTCCATCGAACGAAGGAACGAACATTCCCTTCCATACTCAGTCGAAACACTCACACATGCTCTCTTCGCTGCAAGCGTCACTTCAGCTTCATCAAATTTTCAGGCATCATCCGGGTGAAGCCTGAGCCTAAAAATGGAGAAGCTGAAGTGACGCTTGCAGCGAAGAGAGCATGTGTGAGTGTTTCGACTGAGTAGGCACTGTGTAATGTGTAAACGGCAGCAATGGAGTTTGCGGATCCTTAGAAAAGAACGAATATTCCTTCTACAGTATATTAAAAAAAATCATAAAATGTGCCCAACAGTAGAAAGCAGGTCTGGAGTAACTGCAAGAGTCGCCAGATCACACTTGCTAATTTCAAGCACATGTGCAATACACGGTCATCGGGCACTACAAAAAATTCCTGACTTCAACTTTTATTCATTGTCTTGCTCGGGTCGAACACACGAGCGAATAACTTACTCTGTGTGTACCTTCCACCTCAAACAGAAACATACATCTAACAAACACATGATGCAACAATGAAAACACAAGCTGACCGAGGAGGACGTCGACATTCTGTATGCAGAGTTTCATGCACAACTCTCTCTCTCTCTCTCTCTCCATACAGACTGCATACATAGGTCTCTCACCTTCAGTAGCCTCTGTATGAGTGATTGGTGGAGCTGAGAGAGAACAGGGAAGCCTGCAAACAGAAGGAGCGGACAAATCAAAGACGTGTAATAGCCAAACACGACAGAGCATTTATATACACGAAAACCAAACTGCAAGCTATTCACCCTCCCTGCATCAGACAGCAACTCACCCTTGTTGTTATTCATGAAGGTGCTAGTGGGCAGCACGGCTGCAACAACTGGCTCTCCACACAGGCGAGAGAGGATATCCTGGTCAGGAAGACCGGACTGAATCTCCGGGACTGCAAATCACATGTGTGCACAACACGTGCACATATACACACAAATACACACGCACAAACAAAAAAACAGCAAAAGAAGTGGTAATGAGCAAGGCGAAAAGGCGGTTCGACAAGAGACAGCTCCAAGTCATTCCACCCCAAGCTACATGCAAAGCCAGCCTCAGTTATACACAGTACAAAGCATTCTAAATCAAGATGATTTAGTGACAATAATTATATTGACGCTAGAAAGTGCACCCCTGATGCTAGAAAATACAACCCTGATGTCAGAAAGCAGAACCCTGATGCTAGAAAGTAAAACCCTACACATATTCATGCACTCCCTGCTGACCCCTTTTCCCGCTCACCCTGTCTCGCTTAATGCATGCACCCCTTTTCCCGCTCACCCTGTCTCGCTAACTGTGTGCACCCCTTTTCCCGCTCACCCTGTCTCGCTTAATGTATGCACCCCCTTTCCCGCTCACCCTATTCTCACTTACTGCATGCACCCCTTTTCCCTCCATAGTATTACGTATACCCTGAAGGCTGCGCTTGCGCAGTCTTGTTCTAGTCTGGCTCCTTGTTCTATTCTCTGATCTCTCTGAGTTCTTCAGTCTCTCTCCGGTGACTTGCTTGTAATAATATAATCGTTCTAAAAGCCTACCGAGTGTAATTGTGTAAGATAAGACTGAGAGTAATAGTAGCAATAGGTACAGTAGTTGTAGTCTAACATTTACTACATTAGACAACACACATGAGGATGTTGCCATGCCAACAGGTATAGTACCGTAAAGTACCGTTGATCCGCCCCCTCTCTAATTCCCGCCCCCAGTCGATTTTCTACCTGTGAAGCGATTTCGCCGTATACAACGAAATACGATGTTGAACCGACGCTTGCACTGCTGTACATAAAACGTGCCAATCCAGGATGGAAATGTGCACAATTCAGCATATCGAGTCTGATCCTCCACGTTGTTGTACATCGTACTGCACTTGACAGCCTTGATCTAATTCCCGCCCCCTGCCGAAAACCCAGCTGGGAAGCGACATGGCGTGGGGGGCGGATCAACGGTACTTTACGGTAATGTTATACGTATATAATACAACCCAACAGTACGCTTGTACGTGAAATATGTATATATTATAACAAGGGACCGAGTGTATATCGAGAAATATGTATAGGATATTGACCAAGACGAGGCCTATATTTCCCATATAGACCGAAGTCGAGGTCAATATCCTATTTATCACGATTCCTTTGCCATAACCCCAAAATTTGAACCTTTAGGAGCTATTGTAACCTTTTTAGTATAGCATTTGTACTATAGTGTACATAGGATGTTGCCTATTTTGGGTACAAGACTGTAAGAACAACAGGGTTCAGCATCTGCAGCACAGTGGCTGGGTGGTATATTTATTTATTTTATTTATTTATTTATTACAGCATCTCATAGCACAGTGAGAACACCGGCCAATACAAAGAGAGAGGGTGTTAGCCAACCACGGCAAGGAAGGGAGAAGGGGAGGAGAAGAAAAGGAACCGGCATGGATAAGCAGTGATTGCAACCAAATATAAGGGGTTGCTTGAGGTTCATACTGTTGTGAGTTCGAATCCTGCTTGTTCTCTTCCTTTGTCTTCTTTCTTTCAATTTTTCTTTTTGAAGTGGAGAGAAAAATTCTAAGTCCCTCCAAAGTCGAAAGATTACAATGCCTAAGTGGTCGATACAAGCGGTCGATATTGCGGCGATATGGGTAATATAGGACCAGTCAAGGATCACGAGAATTAGTGGAGGTCGATATAGAAGAGTGATAAAGACCATTATCACTCTTCTATATCGACCTCCACTAATTCTCGTGATCCTTGACTGGTCCTATATTACCCATATCGCCGCAATATCGACCGCTTATATCGACCGCTTGTATCGACCACTTAGGCATTGTAATCTTTCGACTTTGGAGGGACTTAGAAATTTTCTCTCCACTTCAAAAAGAAAAATTGAAAGAAAGAAGACAAAGGAAGAGAACAAGCAGAATTCGAACTCACAACAGTATGAATCTCAAGCAACCCCTTATACCACCCAGCCACTGTGCTGCAGATGCTGAACTCTGTTGTTCTTACAGTGTTGTACCCAAAATAGGCAACATCCTATGTACACTATAGTACAAATGCTATACTAAAAAGGTTAAAATGGCTCATAAAGGTTCAAATTTTGGAGTTATGGCAAAGGAATCGTGATAAATAGGATATTGACCTCGACTTTGGTCTATATGGGAAATATAGACCTCATCTTGGTCAATATCCTATACGTTCGCCTCGGTTTTTATAATTGGTCGATATTTCTCGTTATCGCCTTCTTAGTATTTGACCCCACTAATTTCCCTGATACCTAAGCGGTCAAATATATCGCGTATTTGACTGCTTAGGCCTCGGTCACACTACGGCAGTTTGAAGCTGGACGCAGCGTCAAGCCGCATCACTTGACGCAGCCGGGGGGGTCACACAGTGTTTTGTTTTTTTCCAGCTCATGACTGCCGCGGCCTGACGCATTTGTCAACGTCACAAAATCACCAGGGATACTCAATGACGACACGGATCTCCACGGAAACCGGCCTGTTGTTTATTATACAAAAAAATTGTCGGACTAAGTTTTCGAATTTTTCATTGATTTTTGATTACAAGAAGACGAAAGGTCCTCGACGCGTGCACGATCGTTGTTGTTTCTTTCCGAATTTGAAGCCATTTTCAGTTGTACTTGTAGTGTCATTGATCAGGCAAGAAAAGTCCGCATCGCAGCTGTGTTTCTCCTGACTTCGTCATACTGGTTGTCCTTTTTGGGGCTCTTGACGACAACACAACACTCACAAGTCAACAGGCTCCAGTTGGCCGATGACCCACTCAAACAACTGGTCCTTTCTCGACATCATTTTCTTCTCAGAAAACGCCTCGCTCTTCCGCCAGGTTCGGAGCAGAGCAGCCTCGGCCTCGTAGGTCCACGGACTCATCTCGAACAAAAAGAGGGAACAAAACAAACCTTGAACAGACGAATGTCGAATAACTGCTCAACTCAAGCAAAGTGTCTTGAAACTAATTTTACTTGAAAGACACTGTTTTTCCGCCAAGCGTCACTCCCATCAGCGGCAACGCAGCCGATTTCCCCACGTCAGACGCAGCAGCGTCTGACGCTCAAACTTCCCGCGTTGCGTCAGTTGCCATGGAAAAGCTCATGATTCTGACGCTGACGCAGCATTTTTGCCGTAGTGTGACCGAGGCCTTAGTCAAATACACGATATATTTGACTACTTATATTTGACTCCTTAGAACTTCTTGGACTTAGAAATTTTCTCTCCAACTTAGAAAAAGAAATTTTTGAAGAAAGCAGAAATGCACAAGATGGGATTTGAACTCACAACCTTGTGAATCTCAGTCACTCTTCCTTACCACCCAGCCACTGTGCTACCGATGCTGAACCTAGTTTAAACAATGATCTTGACTTTCAATGCAGTACAATGCAGTATAGGCTATAGTATAATACTAGAATTACAAGGATATGTCGTATATGAAGAGAAACTATTGCGTGGAGAACACGATAAATAGATTATAGACCTCATAGTTGGTATATACAGGATATATAGACCTCGTAAAAGACCTCGGGGGACCTCGGTCTTTTACTCGGTCTATATATCCTGTATAGACCTCCTAACCGGTCTATAATCTATACATATACACGAGGTCCCTTGTTATTATATATTTATACCTCTCCATGCGCAAGCTCAAGAGCAAAAAGGAGTGAATATAGCTTTCTTTCCCTAAAAAGGAGAGAATATAGCTTTAGAGAAAGAAAGCTATATACACTCCTTTTTAGAGAAAGAAAGCTCCTCAGTGAGTTTTTTTCTGATGGTTTTCCTCAGTGGTGTATATACCTCCTTAGTGGTGTATATTGAACAGTGTATATGTATCTATTATTGCACGATTAAAGAGGTCAATATATGAAATATAGAACGAGTAAAAGACCGAGGTCCCCCGAGGTCTTTTACGAGGTCTATATTTCATATATTGACCGATTATGAGGGCAATAATAGATTTATCACGACATAGCATACCTAAAACTGTTTTTTCTTTGTTATAGGAAGAAAGGAATACTATTGTAATAGTATAATACTATTAATAGTATGTACATATGCCGTTTACATTGGACATTACTGCTGTGTAAACCAAAGTTTTCAGTTGTCTCTTGTAGTATGTTCCCCAAGTTCTTTGACTGAGAATCTGACAGTTTGGGTTCAAATCCCAGCATTTGGCTTCAGATTTTTCTTCTTTCAGTTCTGATTTTTTTCTAAGTTGAGGAAAAAGTTCTAAGTCCTCGGGCTAAGTGGTCAATAATAAGTGGTCAATATAAGCGGTCAATATATGCTGATATTTGACCGCTTAGAGATCACAAGTTTCTGTGGGGGTCAATAATAAGAGAGTGATAAGGAAATTTATAAACTTCATGGGAGATCTGGTATACGAGTGTGGGTGTATATGGAGTGAGGTATAAAAACCGACATACAAACCGAGGCGAAGCCGAGGTTTGGATGATGGTTTATATTTCACGTACAAGCGTACTAGTGGGATGTATTATACTTATGCTGACCTTCATACAAACTGACAGTCGACTTCTTCCTGTTTCTATGGTGGCGGTCTATATGGGGTTTGTATGGGGTTTGTATGAGGTTTATATGCCCAGTATAAGCCGCCAGCATGATGGGCAAGTTGACTGGAAGTTTGTACGAAAGGTCAGCATAAATGTCAATACACACTCCATATTTGGATCACTCACCTGCATGCGATAGTTTATACACATTTCATAACCCCCATATTCGTACCATTTCCCCACTACGTGTACCTAGCTCGCATTTCATAACCCCCATATTTGTACCATTTCCCCCTACCCCTGCATGCAATAATTAGTACCATACACATTTGTAGCCCGTTTTCCCTCCTTCTGCCCCTGTACATAAAACCACTGTACATTTGATCTAATTACAGTGCGTATCGGTTATAGCGTGGTCGTGTAAAAGAATATACTGCCTACAAGAATGACCTCTCATGTTTTCATGTTTTCATAATCATAACATGGATTTCAAGTGCACTTTTATTCTTACAAGCAATTTTATCGTACAGTAGAATATATCGGTCCTAAGAATGGACTTTATATAGCAAAACATACCAGATTAGTACAAAGTATATCGCCTGTAGTAATAACATCCGTCCAATGCAGTTCCGATTTGACTTGCGTTGGGTCGTAGTGCTGCAGGTTCAACTGTTGTGGTCATGTAACTCATGTTGCATAGCCAATTGTAAGCCTATGTGACTATGACCAGCCGCATGCACAGTAACACTACATTGCATGTACGATGATCTTCCTGCCTCTGCGCACATGCACATGATATGTCACACTTGATTTATCGTGTGTAAGAAATATCGGAAATAAGAATAGAAAGTCGTTTTTCAAACAAACACCCACGCTATAACCGATACCTACTGTACATCCCTTTTTAGTGTACATAGCCGGGCTACACACAAAACATGCGTGCCAAATAATTGGGCGCGCCTATGCATTACACCATACGCATTTATTGTAGTGATATTCCTTGTATAACGAGACTTCCCAGAGTCTAATCTTCAGTCGAATCCTTGGTCGAGTAGCCTACGCTTTAGTCCAGTTATCGTCAGTCGGATCCTCGTCTCGTCCAGTCGTCCATCCTTAATTTCGTCCCATCTATCAATAAGTCCATACTACCCGAAAACTACTTCAGTCTTGGTGCCTTGTGTTGGTCTGGGGAAATAATAAGGATTGTCAACATTGGCGCCCAACGTGGGGCTCGAAGCCACGACCCTGAGATTAAGAGTCTCATGCTCTACCGACTGAGTCCGTCATTTTTTTAGTATTAATCTCCAGCTGAGTGTTCGTCCTCGCTGTTGAAGTACCCTCTGTCACTTCTTTTAGTATTCATCTCCAGCTGAGTGTTCTTCCTTGCTGTGGAGTTACCTCTCACTCTACTTTCCCTTAGTATTCATCTCCAGCCTTACTGACAATCATCCGATCCGCCACAACGCCCGTCGATTATCACCGGATAAAGCGAAGCTGACGCGTAAATTAGTAGATGACATGTTAGAGCAGGAAATTATCGAACCAAGTTCTTCACCGTGGGCCAGCCCAATTGTTTTAGCGAAGAAGGACGGAGGTGGGACACGATTCTGCGTTGATTATTGGAACTTGAATAACGTAACACGAAAAGACGCTTTTCCTTTACCGCGCATTGATGACACGCTTGACGCATTGCACGGCGCAAAATACTTTGGATTTGCAATCTGGTTATTGGCAAGTTTTGGTAGCGCCTGAAGATCGAGAAAAAACTGCTTTTGTTACACCACACGGTCTCTACCCGTTTCGCAGAATGCCTTTCGGACTCACTAACTCACCCGCCACATTTCAGCGATTAATGTATACTGTTCTTAAAGGTCTTTTGTATGTTAAGTGTTTAATCTATCTCGACGACATCATTGTTTTTGGTCGCACACAAGAAGAGCATGCAGAAAATCTTTTAGCTATAGTTAGTATTCATCTCCAGCCGAGTGTTCGTCCTCGCTGTCGAGTTTGACCTACGTGCGTTGGCGTGTCTGCTGTGGTGTCCTGTGTTGCGTTTTCTCTGTTGGCTTTGGCTTTGCCGCCAGAGGATGCTCGCCGCACCATCGAACGGCGCCGCAACATCCGGCAAGCCCGTCGTCGACGCACTCCCGCCTTTGTGGCTAGGTCTCGGCGACGGGCAGCAGCTCGTCTCCAGCAGCGGGCCCGGGTCCGCGCAGTCCCTCACCCGCCCACCACGCCTCCACCGCCACCGGTAAACCCATCGGCCAGGTTCGACTGGTTCGGTCAAGAACCGGAACTGGTCTCCGAGGCTGAATGGTCGGATTAAAGGTAGAGTATTCATTTTGTGCATGTGGGTGTATGCCGAATGTGTGCATGTAGGTCTATGTATGTGCGTGGTTGTGTACAGGTGTGTTTGTGACAATTTCTTTTTTTCTTTTCTTTCCCTAGATCGTGGTGACACGATTTTGTTCCCCACGGGGGGAGGCAATGTTATACATGTCAATACACACTCCAAACGTGGTGCCTTGTGTTGGTCCGGGGAAATAATAAGGATTGTCAACAGTCAGAAGATATGTTGTTGTTTGGACAAAACGAGAGCGAATAGTTCAAGATGGAGTGGACATGGTGCGGGAATCTACCTGCACCATGACCACATGGACGCAATCAGATGGTAGCATCATCGAAAACACGGAATATGGAGATAGCCGGGTTGTGGATTGGCTGCAGTGCTGCTTGGCATTTTCTCTTGCCAGGCCTGCCATCCGTTGTGTCCGAGAATCACGCCCCGTTCGCAGTCGTCACTTCGACCAGATGAGCCGTCACTAACCCTAGCCCTGACCCTAAACCTACTAACCCACTAACCCTAACCCCAGTACTAGCCCTAACACTAACCCCTAACCCAGCCCTGTACAGCTGTGTCAAGCGCACTCCTCACCTAGGCCGAGCTTGGTCGAGTTGGAGCAGAGCATACGCAGCGTGTTCCACCAATGCCAGGGGTCATCATCTCGACTAGCTGGGGGCTGATAGTGACTGGCCTGCGCACACAAGACCACATACATACATACATGTACGCATTACGGGCAAGAAAGGAAGAACTCAAATGACAGACGTGGGGTTGCTTCGTACGTTGGAGAGTTTGCGCGCGCACACACGCCCACACATACACCCACACATGCACACACACACACACACACACACACACACACACACACACACACACACACACACACACACACACACACACACACACACACACACACACACACACACACAATGCGCTCAGCTCACATACCGAGTCACCATCCACCAGGTTTTCGACGAAGGCTCGAGGATGGATGAGGGGAGTTTGGATCCAGAACTGCATTCAAACAAACACAAGATAAATCAAGTACAGTGTACAACGTGTGAACACAACAAGAAAAGAGTGCGCACGTCCACGCTACAACCGGCTATAAAATTGCCAGAGTAGGCAGTTTCGCTTGTGGCAGATCACTGCTATGCCTTTATACCCTTTATTGGTGGGAAACTCAGCTGGGCGAGAGTCAGTGGGAACATCTTACAACCAAGTGCACAGCAAGGGACTATCGAACACCATACAAGTACATGTACATACCGTATGTCCGCACCTTTAAAGCCATGGCGGTATATTCGATTACAAAGCCAGTCTCAGTTATAAAGCCATGGGCTTCATAAATGAAATGACATTTGAAGTATGTTTTGTAATAATGAAGGAATACGTACTGTGCTAACAAACTTACAGCCCAGCAGGAAGGGTGAACAAGTGGATTTAGATTGAAATTTCTGTGTGGACTTTGACTTTTATGGCATGGCGTAGTGGGTGCGTCATTTTGCATTTAAAATATCTAGGAAAGCAGCGGTGTTTCGAATATAAGGCCACGGCTTTAAAGGCGCTGACATACGGTACATGTGTAGGCATACATGTACATGCAGATGGGACATTGAAAAGCTGTCCGCGTTCCCAACAATGCCGGTGTTCGACACATAAAGCAATCTGTTCAGACACAGCAGTGCTCTGCATCTCTGCCACAAAGCGTTGATCAGTATGGTTGGTATGCTGAGCAGCCGGTGAATGCCAAAGAGCAATAGGCACATATGCTGAGCACCCACTGAATGCCAAAGAGCAATAGGCACACTAGAAGCGGCACTAGGGTAACTAGGGTATATCGTTTGCCTAAAACACCAAAAAAACTGGGCCGCTGACCTGTATCTGTGAGTTCTTCACCAGGAACGAGTTGATGACACGCGCCAGGTTGGCACAGTTGACGCTGCGCAGGGTGATCAGTACGGTCGGCTGGCACAGATGGATGGCGTAGTTGATCTCCTGCACCAGAGCCTAAACAGTACATGGTACACAGCAGGACAAACCAATCAAACACACAATCCAGCATTATGCATACTGCGGCAGATCCACAGCGCCTGTAAGATTCACCGTACATGGCACACTAGGTGGGAAGAAATCATCGCGTCCGTTCCCGAAGGGAACTCACGACGGCCGCTGACCCCGGTAAACCCACTGGCAGATGCACCGCCTAACAGTGGAGGCGAGGGGATACGTCTCACAACCACTGGCACAAGTGCCGAAAACCCCGTTACCCGTATCCATGTACCACCTTGCATATACGTAGCAACCATGGTCAGAGAAAATCAGCTGAGGTCGTCTCGGTTGGATAATGAGTCATCTGGGAAAGGTGTGGATATGTCTTCATTGTTAGCAGTTGCCCATGATAGCCGGCACTCTATTACTTACTGTTGTTCTCTGCCCCTATGTGGCATCCTTGCTTTATAAGATAAGAATCTTTCTCTGATTGTCAGTAGGGGTAAAAAGAAAAAAGAAGAAAAAAAGCATATCCTCAGCAACAGCGTACTAACCTTCTCCGAGCGCTTGCGCAGATGCTCGCATGGCGAATCCACGTCAATCCAGGGTGAGATTCGACCAACGACAATGCGACTCCACTCTGTCACAGCAAAACAGAGTAGAACAGGACATGTTGATACAGATGAGCAAGCGTGGCTGCAGGCATTCAACCAGTAATGTAATTATGTTCCACAAATCGCCCCTGCGGCTTAGACTCCGAATGCCGGCTGTGAATCGACAATCGCTACACCACTCGTTCAGCTACTTTCCATATACCGTATTTTCCAGAGTATAAGCCGCACTTTGAACACTCAAAATTCACCAAAAATGGGGCGTGGCTTGTACTCTGATGATCAAATCAACGGTTATACGGTAGATGTCTGTATTTCGTGGCAAAGGGGGGGGGGGGGGGGGGGTGCATTTTATACCCCAGTGCAGCTGATACTCTGGAACATATGGTAGTGAATTTTGGGCCCAAAAAGAGGTGCGACTGGAAAATGGCATCATGTACGTTGGAAACAACCGAGTTCCCCGGTTCGTACACAGGTACTCGTATCAGTGAGCAAATTGAGTCCGCTGTGCGGAAGTATGATGTGGATCCGGCCAAAATCTGTGAAGAAGATGCTGAAAATATGTGAAGAAGATGATTGATCCGCGTAAGAAAAGCTTTCAGAATGCCCGTAGAAGAGGCGTTGTGCTTACGATAACAACCAGTGGCAATGTTCCTGGAAAACGTCTATGGTTGCTGAAGGGTACCCGACAACCCGCCCGCTCAGGGCGCGTTCAGACTACCGTGAATCCCGTCAAACCGTGAATGGCGATAAACCGTGAAGGACATTCACACTACCGATAAACTAACGTTACCGTTACGTAAGTTTTGCAGCTCCCACCGCGGCACTGAGAAGGGATTGTCCCTTTTTCCCCAGCCTCAGCACTTTCTTTACTGCTGGAAAAGTTTTACTGCCGCAGCAGCCGCGGCGGTAACACTTTTACGCCGGTAACGTGCCAGTAACGTCCCGTGATCAAATTACCTTGGAAACTTTTAACTTTCCCAATCGGTCACTTTTTATCGGTAGTCTGAACGTCCCTGTTTTCGATGATGCTACCTTACTTTTGACACACAGAACATCTGCTATGATCCTTTGCGTGTGTGTGTGGGGGGGGGGGGGGGGGGGATTGCATACACAGCAAGGTGTTAAACACAGTTCAAACATCGTCAAGCAATGCTCACCGTTGCTAGGCAGCACAAAGTCGGAGCGTGTGAGTGCGTACGGGTAGTCAGCACCAGCTGCTGAGCTGCGTTGGAACCGAGGATGGAAAATGGGCGCCACAATGAAATCAAACCTGTGCACGACATCATGGAGATAAGAAAAAAGCACACGGTTCCTTCAATAATCATACCATGTGATACAGTCTATAGCACAGGCCTCGGACTTAGCACCAGAAGATATAGAGGTTAGGCAATTACATCACCATCAGTTGAGATGCTGTGGCGAAGTCGCGGACTCGCGGCACAGCGCTGCACTTGCACTAGCGACTCGTGCTGCATAAATAACATCCATAAGCGGGTCCGCTCGCTCACCCCATGAAATCATTCGGCTGGCCACAAGCCTTGGCCTCAGTCAGACCGTGCCGGCTCTGAGATCGTATCGTGGCTGCATCACCTGCCTCAGAAGGGTGCTTGCAGGTGGCTAACAGCACTCCCTTTATTGGAGCTGGGTTCACATCTCAGCACAGTGGGTTTCCATGACTCATTAGCTCTGCAATATGGCTGGCTGCTGGCAAGTACTAGTACCCCTGGCCTCTGTGCCTTTTGTTTCTACGACATGCCATTTACCGCGAGCCGTGCTACGCATTGTGCTACAGGGAGTTCCCCACGGCACAATGCCGAGTTGCGGTACATGATGGCGGATCTGCTCACCGAGGCGCAGCCGGATTTAGCAGTGGAACCGCTACATGCTTGCCCCATAACTGGGCAATGCTTCCTGGCGGCATCAACACACATTGCACCTAGAGAAGTGACCCACATACCAACATGCGGGTGCGTGGGTCGGGACACGGGCAGAGAACATGTTTCTCAGCATCCGAGTCGTTCACCCGGATGCAAGCAGCTACATGGAGAAGCCAATCGACCAAAACCGAAATCAAAAGCGCCAGCATGCAAAGTGCATTATCAACTTTTCACCTGTACATGAGACCTTGGCGCTCTCTTGTGTAACAAAACAGCACAGTGTACAATGCACAGGCGTACATGTACTCGTACGTATGCATGGGTACACGTACTCGTACGTATGCATGGGTACATGTAATAGATTGTGTAATTGCACGTATACGTGGGTACATGTACTAGTACTCGTACGTATACACGCGGGTACATGTAATAGTACTCGTACGTATACAAGCGTACATGACAATAGTGCCTGCATATCATGTCATGTACACTTGCACATGTAAGTGTACATACTCGGGTACATGTGCAAGTGTACAGCGTAGAGCCAAACTAGTTACTGTGGTTTCTCCTAGGAATATCAGCGGTTCAACTGCCAAGGCAACATAACCCCAAGAGTGAGCAGGTTAAATCATTATGCAGTGCTGCTCTGGCAAAAAAATTCAAGTTGGTAAAATTTTTACATTTTTATGTGCACTACAAAAATAATAATATTTAAAGGCATTCATCTTGTACTCAGTATATAGAGCTCATCATATCAACAAAACTAATACTCCTTATAGAGGTGCAGTGTAGTCATGTAATTCTATAATTATAATGAATGACTTGCAAAACTATGAACAACAAAAATGAGCGCAGAAAAGCACTAATTTTGTAAGTTCGAAGTGTCATTACCTACCCAATAGACGCGGCATCTGTTACCGCACAATTGAGGTCGGGGACTGCGTGCATATCGCGCCCCACGCTTATTGCTTTCCTCGGACTATGCGCCATAGTGATGCTATCCCAATGACCAGCCTATAATTACTTCAAACAAATAATTCAAGACAAAGTGAAAATTGGTTTCAATCAGCGATTCCCTGGTTTCACTCAATACAATACAAAAATGCATGGCGCGCGCGCCACTCTGTCCATCTCTATCTCTGGCACTCCAGCAACAAGCCACGTGCAGCGTCCGGCCGAGGTCTGTCTCGTTGTCCAGGAGACGACCAATCAGTGACGTTCCCGCAGAGTTTGAGCCCGCTCAATCGTAATTTTACTACTCTTTAAATAAATCTGAATATACTTTTATTGTAATATTACTAATAATATTAGCTAAGGCCTTCTTACAGGGTACCCTAAATGTGCCAATACAAGGTAACGGAAACGAGAAACAGATGTGCAAAGGCGAATGTCAGTAGGTAGAGAGTTCGATCTGAGCCTAGAATTAGAAAACTAAGAGTAAGAGAAAAAGACCATACCGTTTTGAAGCAGCGGGAAGAGCAAGGGCTGTAGAAACTTGAGAGCGTGTGCAGGACGATGCACTGCGCAACGAAAAACAACTAGAGAGTAGGGGGCTTGCTAGATCATGAACAAAAAGTCTGAGCTGATACCCTAGGCCTGTGGGACTGCCCTATTCAAAATTTAATAATAATAATAATAATACAACAGAAGCGTATAGCTCGCTGTACGCATTATAGTACGGTGCAGATAATGAAGTCTGCATAAAATGTATGGCGGTGTACTACAAATATCTACGCATTTCAGAAGTGTGTACGGTTTTGCCTCCCGTGCTCTTTCATCTGTACGATTTTCTTTCGTCAACGGCTTGTGGACACCCTGGAATAACAGCTTGTGCCGAAGTTGTGGATCCCGGAGTAGTATTGTACTACTCCCTGCCTATAACACCAAAGATCACAGTCTATAGATAGGTATCGAAAAGAGGGGCTCTCGAAGCCCCTACTAGCCCTAGATAGCTTCATAAGCTATGAATATGAATGAAGCTCGCAATAAGAGCCCAGCATTTCATTTGCTTCTATTCTCGTTCGAGTAGTCCTCGGTGGTGCTGAGTTACCACCCCAATTCTCTCTGCACACAAACCAAAAACTACATGTATACTTATTTAATACTGGCCTTAGGGTATAAATGGGTGGTGGCACACCAATTATTTGAATCCTGAGAATTATATACTATGATTCGTATGATTGGTATGAAAGTAGGACATGATTCAAGACACTTTCCAAAGTGGGCTGAAAAAATCGACCACACATGCACATGGCAAATGTGGGTATTTGATTTTGCGCACGTGTCTGCGTAGTTAGCTGCATACAGCTAGTACAGCACGTGCACGTAGATTCCACGGGCACAGCTAGCTAGCTCCATACTCCATATGCCATAGCTACCTAGCATTGCAGTGGCACGTGGCACACAATCATTATTATCTCATTGCCTAGTTTTTGTTTCAAATGTTGTTTTGTCGTCGAGAAGCACATGTGCAGTCACTGCAGTTTCTTGTGGCAAGCGAAGACTATTCGATCTGGATAATGTTGTTACTTATTTTGTTGACATACTTCCATCTTCATCGCATCTAACGCCGATATATGTATGCAGGCAGAGTGATCAAGTGAAGGTGACCATTGGAACAAGCCTGCTGAGATACTTCCATCGCGCAGCAACCCGAGGGTTTCGCTATGGTTGCTTGAGCTACAACCGGTTGGTAGTGTCAATCTTGCCTGATGTTTTTGCTCGGTTGTGTTGGTGAGGTGGTATCTCGGGTCGGTGGGGCATGGAGAGCACCGTTGCTTATCCCATGTAGCCGCGTGGCGAAATCTACTTCAAGCGGAGCTCAGAGGCCCACAGTTGCCTTTCTCCGCTCAGCTTCTCAAGGTAGAATGGATTTTTAGTTGCTCTGATGTCTTTTGACTTTCACTGATTTATTCCATTTCGTTCACTGGTATTGCCCCCAGCTAACTCACGATTCTTCAGTACCAGCACGTCTAAGAAATCATCCGATATGTCGTGGAGTCATCGCCCAAGCCTTGGTTGTGCGGGTAAGAGAGTGGAACGACTGACTACTAGTATGCGCAGATTGTCTTGACTGACCTTGATGATAGCACTAACTCAGTATCTGCTTGCAGCCTCGTACACCATCCACATACGTGCTCATATTGTTCGTATTGATCTACCCTTCTAAATATCGCGCTGGGGATGTTGTTGATCTTTATAATGTGCTTGAAAGAAACAAAAGAAGATTAAATGAATGGATGCTGAATATCAGTTGAGCACAATGGTGTATGGAAACGTACTTGGGCCTTCAATTTGTGTACACAACCACTGTACGATGTCTGGTGTTGGTATCGGTGCATTGGGATGTGTCGTAGGAATGTCGCATGAACAAATTAACAATGTGAGGCTGTATTGCTGGTGTAACCGTGTGCTGCTGTTACTCGTTGATGTCAGCCGTACAACGGCAAGATCGAAGGGGTGAAAGCTAGCTAGATTCACATCGACAAGAGTACATGAAAACCAGAGTGTGCAGCTCGGATGGGTGGCTGTCACGGCGGAATTCCGTGATTACATCATTTTAGTGATGTAGTGCGTACAGGCAGGATTCAAGCAGGTCTCTTTCTGCACAACTGCAGTTCAGTTGTACGCACTACGCCATTTCCCGCCTCAGATCTGCGCCAAATATGATGTAATCACGGAATTCCGCCGTGACAGGCACCCATAGCAGAAAAGGCCCCAAGCTGCACACTCTGGTTTTCATGTACTCTTGACATCGATCATACAATAGTGCAGACAATGAACTGGATAGAGTACAGCAAGAGCACTAGGAGAGTAGGAAATCTGTCTTGCATATATTAATGCCCCGCCGGGCGCTCATGGTTTATGCAGGCTGCTGTCCGTTGATTTGGTAGCAAATTGCCGGTGTGAGAATGACACTGGGTCGTTCCTTCTATCCGCTTCTAGCGGTACAGTACACAAGTGCTGACGTGTGCTGTGTGTGTGTGCATGTTACAGATGTCACCGAGTGGCAGAAGCATTTCCCGGCAGCGGCTGGCAAACGCCAGTCCCCCATTGACCTGACCAAGGGAGAATACAACGAGGAACTTGCCGGCAAGGCACTGCAGATCTCCTACAAGGAGGCAAGGGAATGCACACTCGTCAACAACGGTCACTCCGTTCAGGTCAACTTCAAGCCTTCTATCGGAGGTAGGTTGTTTTTTCTTTGCTTAGACCTTTTTTTAGTATAGCTATATATGTGTGTGTGTGTTCTATAGAGCTATATCGGTATGCGCATCGTGATTTCCATGTGAACTGAGTACTTGTGAGGCTGTGTGTTCTAAGCAGTGATCTGTGTGTGTGTCTGTGCGTGTGTGCGTGCGTGTATGTGTGTGTGTGTGTGTTTGTGCATGTGTGCATGCGTGTGCGCCTGTGTGTGTGTGTGTGTGTGTGTGTGTCTGGCATTGCTATATGACGGTGTAGGTTTAACCGGCGGTCCGGTGACGGACAATTTTGAGATTGCCCAGTACCACTTCCACTGGGGTGCTGGTGACGACAAGGGTTCAGAGCACACCGTGGACGGAAAGTACTATCCCAATGAGGTAAGAATACCGTATTTCCCCGAATATAAGTCGCACCTTTTTACACAAAAATTCAAGGGTGAGAAAAGGGGGTGCGACTTACAATCGAGCATGACTTACTACTGAAGTGATCATGTCGAAACAATATTGCTGAAACCTGAAAATGGAGGTGCGACTTATAATCGAGTGTGACTTATAATCGGGGAAATACAGTACACGTTTGTATCAACATAGGAAACCCTGTGTACATAAAGTATTGCATCATAAAAAATGACATGAACTTGAATTTCCTCTAGGACTGCGCTGCATGTGAAAACGGTACACTCTTTGATAGTTGCAGACTCGTGTCGGAAGTGATGGGCGAAGGCAGACACACGCGCTGCGCTGTGTTGATGCGTTGATGCATTGAACATTTCACACCGTCCCCAACCAGTGTTCCGTGTTCTGAGGCTGCGTGCTGTTCTTGTTATCGACTTCACTCTTCACAGCTTCATCTTGTCCACTGGAATACCAGCAAGTTCTCGTCTGTGTCGGAGGCCATCAGCGAGCCCAATGGACTCACGGTGCTTGGAATCTTCCTTGAGGTAGTGTAGTGTACAATGCCTGGTGTTATGCCTTGTGTAATGTTTGAAGCAGGTTGTATTATTCTGTGTAAGATTTTGAGTCTTTTTTGACATTGAGTTTGTCTAGTAATATTATGAATTTCAAAGGGGAATGTTGTGTAGAATGGAACATCCCTAAGTGGACACCTCAACAAAGCGGACTTCACAGGACATACCGGTATTCATCCAGACTCAAATATTCCCAATCAAGTCGTCATGAATTGCACAATCAGGACCACTTCTTATACAGGACACATACTGAAGTACATGTATGTGTGGTCGCTGCTGGGTTGTCCATCTGTGAGAGGGTTCACTGTGGCAGTGTGGGTACCTTCACGACACTGAACAACATGCTGTTAGGGTGAGTGTCCATGAACGGGCCCTCTCCGTCGTCTTCGAGGTGGTGTCTTGCAACACACGTTGGAGGATAACGCCTGTTGGGAAAATAGCAATCATTGTATTGTGTTGTCTGCCACTGTGTACTCGTCCAGGCTGGCGAGGAGAATGTTGAGCTGAAGAAGATCACCGACCGCTTTGACAAAGTCAAGCACTGCGTAAGTGCATGCATCCTACTTTGGCCTCTTCTGTTCTCAATGGGGAGTCCAGCCTGTGTTGGGCAACCAGCCAATGGTGCAAACAACCATCCGGTTTTCATATGCAGCTACGTGTAGGTGGTCTTTGAACACAGATTAGAATGTGCGGTCTGGAGCCAGCCTGAGGTGAGCGCTCTCTCCAGACAGGTGGTCTCTTCAGACAGGTGGTCTCTTCAGACAAGTGGTCTCTTCAGACAGGTGGTTGCTGACTGTACAAGTGCTGTAGAAGTGCACCATGCCAGTATAATATTATCATGATAGTATCAGGCAAGACGTTGTTTCTACTCTACGCTTGCTGCAGCTATGATATGAGCTTCATACCCTGTGTCCTACTTCAGTGAGTAATGTACTGCTTGTGCCGTTTGCTGTGTTTTGACTCCGTACTCACAGAGCCAGGAAATTCCTATTGAAGATCCCATTTGCCTCAAGGGTCTTCTGCCAGAAGGTACGCCTGCAGCAGTGTTGTGCTCAGATCTGTCCACTGTTTGCGTAGGAAACCCTGTTGCATGCTTTGTACTCATGCATCTCCAGGTAGCTGTCATGGGGTGTCATGTGAAGTGCTTGTGAGTCGTGACAGGGGGCTGCAATGTGTGGTGTACCAGAATATTTTCGTAACCCCTGCGTTCTCTTGTGTTATTCTATTCCTGAAGACACCAAGTCTTTCTGGTCCTACGATGGCTCGTTGACCACCCCACCATGCTACGAGAGTGTCAACTGGATTGTGTTCCGCAAGCCCATCACTGTCTCAAAGGAGCAGGTAAAGGATGCGTTCAGTCTTAATAATGTGGATACATGTATGCATGTACCCTGGTGGGAAGTGAAATCCAACCCCTGAATAGAGCAGAGCCATGCAACAATCACTGTGCCGCCCAGTGTTCATAGTGCCAGGGGTAACATGGGTTATGGTCATGAGGTTGGATTTCATTTTCCACCGCCGTACTGCTTCTGAAGACATCCCTGTGCATACACATACCATATTGATGAGGTTGGATTGCATTTCTCATTGCGTTCAGTCTACGTTTAGCCAAAGAAGCCGAGTTACTGTATAATGTTACATACTGCTGCTAAAGGTGCCCATATTCATGCATACCGTATTCAGTCTTTTTTTTGCCAAAGGAGCCGAGTTACTGCATAATGTTATAGCATTAGATGGGAGGGTTTGATCTGCGTTGTCTTTATTGTGCTCTCTTCAAAGTCTGTGATTGCTCGTGTCTGTCCATTGTCGCTTTGTTTCCATGCTGAAATTGTAGCTGGCAGCGTTCAGAAGCCTCAACGAGGCTAAGGAGGGCAGCGACCCGGAGCAGCATCAGGCGCTTGTTGACAACTACCGGCCAGTGTGCGAGCTGAACGACCGCAAGCTGTCCACGACCTTCGAGGAGTGAGCACGCCTCGCGTCGGTATGTTCTCCTGACCCAACAGCTTTTACAGTCGTGTTGATTGCAAGGCCGGATCCATGTCACCATAATAGCAAGAATACTCTAATTTCAGAAATTTTCGGTGCTCAATATTTTCGGTATTAGGACAACAGGCCAGGCTTAGGTGAACAGAAATTTTCGGTACAGAGAAGCAGTTCCCTATTGGATTACGTGTGTTTGTGTTTGTTCGGTGTATTGAAATTTTAGGTATGAAGCAGACGCACCGAAAGTACCGAAAATTTGTGAAATTACAGTAGTCGGCCGGAGAGGAGACCCGGGGGGGGGGGGGGGGGGGGGGGGGTACTACTGTAAGCCTACAAATTAACTTTCAGCGCTTATAGATTCGGCCTTCCAGGCCTACAACACATTTTCAGCCACATTAAAATGTCGGCCTGCATTACTACTTCCTGCATACCCTGTCACGCTGAACAATGCAAAACAAAATTTCGGGGCAAAAATGCCCAGGCCGAAAATAGGCGAAAATAAATACGCGCCGAATATTTGTTGACTTATAGTATGTCTATTGAATCTGATAGTCCACCAATACCTGTACAGTCCACCAATACCTGTACAGTCCACCAATACCTGTACAGTCCACCAATACCTGTACAGTCCACCAATACCTGTATAGTCCACCAATACCTGTACAGTCCACCAATACATGTACAGTCCACCAATACCTGTACAGTCCACCGATACCTGTACAGTCCACCAATACCTGTACAGTCCACCAATACCTGTACAGTCCACCAATACCTGTACAGTCCACCAATACCTGTACAGTCCACCAATACCTGTACAGTCCACCAATACCTGTACAGTCCACCAATACCTGTACAGTCCACCAATACATGTACAGTCCACCAATACCTGTACAGTCCACCAATACATGTACAGTCCACCAATACCTGTACAGTCCACCAATACCTGTACAGTCCACCAATACCTGTACAGTCCACCAATACCTGTACAGTCCACCAATACATGTACAGTGGAACTCTCATAAGACGCACCCCATGGGCAGAAGGAAAGTGTACTTGGTATCCTCCGAGGTACTTCTAACCTCAACATAGTACTTCAGTATGGATGGCTATGCCTCTGCTCTAGACAATGCCTGTAGCAAGCAAGAGTGTGTCTGATCAGAGCACAGTCAACGTCGTGACCAACAAGTCACGGCCTAGGGTATAAGAAGTTTTAAGAACAACTCGCGAATAACTGCACTACAGTCGGTTGGGGTTGGGGACACCACTCTATGTGCCCTCCTCGCTCCTCTCTGTGTGTCTGTAGCCTGTCGTGAGCTCGCTGTGAAACGAATTCCAATCTGTGTAAAACAGCGCTCACTTCTGGCCGCATCACTCTTACACAGTCTTTTCTGTTCGAATACTCGCCTTCTGCCTGCAGGCCACTCTCTCTCTCTACTCCGTGTCTGGGTTCAAGGTTGCAGCTGGCTTCTAGGTGTCCTAGGTTTTCAAAGTTAGCTAAAACGTTCTCCTCTCAGGACCGATCTAGTGCGTTTGCAAGCTCTACACCTACCTATCTCAAAAGTAAAACGATCTGCGGCCGAGTTGCAGTTCATTCCCTTAGATATCCGCTGCTACATATGCGTGCTTTCTGGCTGATTCCTAAGTAGGTAGAACAATTGCAAACGTCTCTCCACATATCAGATTTCCTCCTGGATTCAAACAGTTGTATTTATTTTTACAAGAATATTTGCATCTTTTATTACACTCTAGTCATAGGTGAGTGATTGTAGGTCTCATAGATCGAACAATTTCTACAACTTTAATACAAGATTATTACATTCAAGTGCCACTAGAAAACGTTTCCCAGAAAAGTCAGGGATCATACAATGTATAGCGGTACATGAGTAACACCATCATGTATTGTGAGTGTCTGTTGGAGGGGGTATACTTCAGTACTCCCAGGTGTTGCACAGGGAGTGCTAAAAAGCCAGTTTTAGTACTCCCAGGTGTTGCATGTGTCTGCTTTGGTCAACCACTTGCACTGCTGTAAGGAGTTTACGAAAATAGCATTGGCATGTAGGCAGTGTTTACAATAGGAAGCAACCTGTAATGTAGAAGTCACCGAGCATGTGACCTATTCAACATTATGTTTAGGTGCAAAGACTATAGTACAGTGGATACCTCTTGGCTAAAGACACCAGTCTCCATACTCAACACACATTTCCCTCTGCACTCGACACACTTTTAAATTGTTCGCTCGCCAAGTATAGTTTAGTTGTATATTTTCGGGGCGGCCTGCCACGCATCACGGATCATCCGCTGCCAGGACAGAATTGGGAGCCAGAACACGTAAAACGGGGGAAGTCATTGAAACGAATTTCAGGAGATCTGAAATGATTGGCATTATATTACTATGCTCATCCATGTCCTTTTATTTCAAAAACACTGCGTGAACATTCAACTACTTCATAGAGTTCATGAATACGAACCCAAAAAGTTGAATATGCAATGTACAGTGTACTGCCAAAGCACAAGCTGCAGGACCCAGGTCCGTGGCCACTTTACGAATAATCGGAAAATGCAGTGCATGTTCCAAAGCGAGGGTGCACGCACCAGCAGCTTTGGTGTCACCATGTGCACATTGTAACACGACTTGTGATTGCTAACATAATCATTTTTTTAAAATATAGCCTAACAAGTACGTCAGTAGTGGCGAGAGCAAACCGGAAATACGCCAACGTTAGCAGAATTCAAGGAAAAGTAGGTCAAAGGGGGGGGGGGGGGAAACTGGACACAATGTCACTTCTTATTGAATCAGACACCGCAATCTCAACTCGCAGCCGTTTAAGGCCGAATGACGAAACGTGCAAACGAGTGATATAGCTATTACACAAAGACCAAGGGATGGTGACTTCACAACACAGTTCAGTTCCTCAGGTGATCGGCTTTCACAGGCGGCGCAATGACAACGCATCGCCGTAGCTTGCCAATGACGTCAATCTTGAGCTCGAGGCCCTCTTCGGAAAGGAATGGCGGGACGAATGCAAACGCAAGGCCATGACCAACTTGGTATCCGTAACAGCCGGAGGAAACATGACCGACGACCTATACAAAAGCACCCGCAACACATTCAAGTCCAGAACGCAGTTCAGCACCAGAAATCACAGGAAACAAATAAATTCTGTGTATCGCGATGGCTGAGGCTTCCTTGTGAGCTGCATGCTTCGTACAGAATTGGTCGTGTGAAGCCGGTGCCAATAGGGCTTCTTCACACTATTACAAGTACAAATCAGCCTATTAAAAGTCACCGCACCTTTATAGGGCTTGAAAGTGAAGACGTCAAAAACGGCCAGGGAGTAGTAAGTTGACATCAGATTTCTAATTTGGATCCACTAAGGTGTGACTTTGGCTACATCACCTTGCTGTGAGTAAGACGGCTTGAAATGTGCTTGGATCCATACAAAAACTGGATCCAGTTGATCCAGTTTTTGAATTTTTGAAATTGTTGCTATGCTGTGACGTAGCACTTTCAAGCCCTATAGAAGTTTCTAAGACAACTAACTATTGGTACAAGGATCTGGCGGGAAGCCCGAAAAGCTGCCCAAGCCTTTCAGGCAGTGTGCTGACTCTTGTGCAAGACTACTGTCCTGCAGCATGTATCGTACTTTTCACCAGGCAGTCGAACAAACGTTGTATGGCTCTCGGCTTTCACATATTCACTTGCGTAATACTGCACGTTGCCCGTATGTTGCATGTGAAACGTACTTGAAGTAGTCTGAATGCAGGCTTCGGACAGGTCTGATGGACTTCTGCACTGAACTAGCGCTGCACGTGGTGCGAAGACTCGTGTGACGCCGAAACGGAAACACGAAGCACAGTAGCTGCCTTGAAGTCGGCCAGGGAAGTGCTGGTGTGCGCATGGTGTCATGCATCTTCTGGTAAACTGCAGCTAGCTATTCTCCGTATTTCCAGAAGCAATAGCCTGATCTACTTTTTCTTCAATCAACCCCTACATGAAAAGTGTTGTGCTCGCTGAAATCCGACCCAGAGTGCAAATTTGCCACCCTCAACTTGCACGGCCCTGGATGCCCTGGAAGTGGTACGAATGCTTCTGGACGTACACATGTACACGGACAGTGATGTAATCCTGTCCGCACAGGATACCGCGATTCTGCGGACGCGCAATTTTCCACGCTATTGGCTTTCATCCACGTTTTCGAAAAAAAAAATGTTTTCATAAAACCCGCACGTTATCTAACTTCTATGGGAATGCCCAAGAACATACCTCATGATGTTGAAACTGTACTACAAAGCCGAACCCGGAACCCGCGCATGGCTTTGTACGACAATGTTATACTTGCATGAAACTGTACGCTGAAGTTGTACCAATGACAGATAACGTGTGCATAGTGACCGCATTATACAACACAATCCTGCATATTCGCCGCATAACGGCCTGTTTTCGCCCGCAGGGTTTAATATGCGCATAATTTTAGGATTTTGTCCGCGTTATTCTGTGGGGACAGGTAATCGGAACTAGACCGCGAGGGCGTCAGTTTTGCACTTTGGGCCGGATTTCAGTGATTTCAGTGATTTCAGTGAGCGCAACTGTACATGTATGCCTACCTTGGTCCTGCATTCAAGAAATCTCATCAATGTAGGCAAAGTCGGCCATTGTTTCAATGCAATCTTTTCATGCTCTTAAAAGAATCAAAGAATCAAAGAATCCTTCATAAAAAAAGCAAAAATAATATAGACACATATAGAGGACGGGCAGGTTTCTGTTCCGTAACTTCGGGTTCCACGACGGAGAGATCGTCAGAAATCCGATCAGATCTGATCATCACTCTATCGTCAAACTCACAGTTACAAATAGAACTGCAGTTCTCTGGTGCATGGCTATGCTCCGTGTATTTCTACACATTGAGCACTGTAAGGCTGGTGGACTGCACCGTCGTGGTACGGTCTACTCTCGATTAGTGAAACACCCAATCTTGGAGACACAAATGCGTGACTTACATGTATCACCGAAACGAGTGCGTGACTTACATAAATATACTGTATACACATACAAAAGTACACGTCGCCCGGATTACAAAAGTGCTCGACATATTGCGAGTGCATGACTTAAACGTGTGTGACTTATTGCTAGTAGACTAGAATAAGTTACAGAGAGCACCGTGTGTTGTATACATATGCTGCATGCTGAGTCATAATTATGATGTGTGCTTGATCTACATCTGTGTGTGTGTGTGCATGCGATGATTCTACATAGAGCATGCGCACTCTTGGTGTCGTTCTCTTTTGCTTCCGGTCTAACTAATCATGTAAGGAAATCGGAGTGTCTTACTGTGCCTGGTGTTTGAGAGACCATGCATGCCGAGTGTGAATAGAGCTAGAGTCCCGAGGACATAACACCGTGCCAATGTTAGCTATCACTGTCACCTACCTTGCCGTCGCAATACACTGCATCCATGCCGTCCGGGTCTGTTTTCCCGTCATCTTCCAGCACCTTCAGCATCACCAGCTTCTCTTTGCTGCCTGCGCGAAGTTCGTGCTCCAGTGCCGCCATGCCAATGCACGCTTGCGCGTCCGGCTGAAGCAAGTGTAGACCAGATACGGATCATGTATACTAATAATGTTATTCAGTGGTAACGGTGGACAGGCTAACAAGTAACAGCACACTGGGCCATGAATCGCGTACAAACTGTACTGTGAAAGCCAGGTGTAGCCATACCATGCTGGCTGTGCCGAGCACTGGTCTGCCTATACGGGTTCAAAAAATGGGTACTGCATGAACGCATGAATGCATGTTTGCATGAATGCAGTTAAAAATAATAATCATAGTACATGTACATACAACCAGTAGTATAGCTGACCATTTCATTAATGATTCATTGGTAATTCCTGCCCCGCAGTGCTTCTATGCATGTGGACTCCACAGTAGCATAAGCACTTGCTACACTACATGTATAGAGGTTACGCGATTATAATCATTAGTTGAGTCGGAATGTGATTACATCATCAGTTGAGAATGTGATCACATCATCAGTTGAGATGCCTTGGCAAAGCCGCAGCACAGTGATGCACTGGCTCAACTTGCGGCGAAACCATGGAAACCGCCAACTCACCAACATGAAATCATTCGCATAACCTCGAAGTTATGCGAACGGTTCAGTTCAAGGAGTGAGGCAGCAGCTTTTCCTAATGGGCACTAAGTGATAAGTACACAGCGTGAGTCAGTGGATTTTCTCATGGGCGTTATCAAGAGTACATAACCCCAAGAGTGTGCAACTGCCTGCACAACCTCTATGCAGTGCTGCGACGGCAGAAGTAAAGAATATCTCATGAGTACGAGGGTGATACCGGCGAATATCAATCCCGACTGCGAAGCAGAAGGGATTGATATGAGGGTACGGTATCACCCGAGCTACGAGGGTGATATTCTACTTATCACATATGACCCTACGAACCTAACACGTACGACCGTCATATCCTGATTATCACATGCTACATGTGTACATCGAGTCCATAAACATAAACATGATACTACAATTGTAGTACTACCCACTACTGTACATGTAGTAGATTTGACCCTGTGAACTGAATGGGACATCACATTATGTGGAGACCCTCTCCGATGCCACACCCATTCACCCCCGTCTGACACATCATTCGCGGGACAGAAATATTCAAAGCTTCGAATTGTTTTAGTTGAAGTCTAAGCAGAAGTGAAAGGACATCAATGTAAAAGAGTCCCAGGAAATAGAGATAGAAGAGAAGATGATGAAAATGAACTGTATCTGAGAATTAGCGCTGCTCACAGGCTTTGACATCATGAACGTGGATGTGAACAGCGCCTGCGAAGTTTCCGGAGAAGATGAACTTTGCGCTGTTCTCCGAACTGACACACGATGAGGCTGGCGAGGCTGGTGGTACTTGTGGCCTTTCCAAGGCTTCCAATTCAGCCGGAGTTGACTCCTGCAGAGCTTTATCAACCTCCGCATTGAGCAGGCGAGCTGTAGCAATCTTATCTTGCTCGCTAGGCTGCAAGTAAGCTGTTAGGCACTTGTATTTCTGAACCCCTGAGACACTGTGATATGTGATGACGAACCAGACAAGGTAGGTGAGTTGCTTGGGGTTGTTTTTCCAGTCTTAGTCCGGTATACCCTTTCCTTGGTTATGTACATACAATTATCCCTTCACTGTGCATAGTTCGAAGCTCCCCCCCCCCCCCCACACACACACACAATGGTTGCCTCTTTGCTTTGTCATACCACAACCATTCAACGCGGTGAACCCCTCGATAGGCGATTTGCCTTTGAGTCATCCTAATAAAGTTATTATTACCATAATGTTACGCTTGAGGTCTTGTAGCTGGCGGTGAATAGCACTGCGGAATTGCAGCAAACTGTTCTTGGAGTACGAAAGCTTGTTGATCTGCCTAATTTCCACATACGCATGCTTTAGGATTGAGGCAAGGTTGGTAGCCGAGATGGTTTTCAGATCACATTTTTTCTTATAGACTGTACACCAAACATCCGAGACACGTTGGTGGCTCGCTTCGTGTTGGTTGAAACACGGCTTTCTCGGATTCTGTCGATCTCATCCTCCGACACTTGCACAAATCGTTGAGACGTTTCTTCTACAATACTTGGCTCGGATGTTACACGTTTTTCCGTGGTGGTCTTCTCCAGTACTTCGCCATTCGACAAAGTTGCAGTTGCGGTTGATGATAAAGAAAAATCAGACACTTCGGCTAGTTCGCTGGGTGATAAAAAATTGATTATCACTCCCCCCTCACGTGACCGCGGACTCCTGCATATACACTCACACAATAACCACACAACTGTTTGGGGATAGCGCGCTTATTGTATTATGCCAAACTTGACACGCTGAGTCCAGCTTGACTCAGCTGAGTCCCTAACTGCAATTTACTGCTCTAACATGAAGCCGTGCCTGGAAGAAGGGAAAGAGCGAAAAAAGAAAAGAAAAAATTCTGGCCTTCTGCAAGCAATAGCAAGTAATGAGTGACGGCTGTGTAAAGTCGCACAACCATGCAGTCGACCGGATGATGGTGAGTGTCCCGCACACATCTTGCTCTGCTGCTCCACCTGCGCATACCTGATACGGTGGTGCGCTTACGGGCGGGCTGCCTGGGCCCCAGATGCCTCCTTGATGCGCCACGGAGTGCCGTCGAAGCACCTGTATCACTTCGGTGATCCAAATGCGAATGCAGCCTTGCCGGTCGCCCGCCGGCCTGCCGCCTACGCGACCAGCCTGAGACTGGCCCTGCCTCATTTGGCGCTTCTAAACGCTGCGATCCGTTAGACAGCTCACTGGGCTGCCAAATACGTGACTGGCTTGAGGACAGTTCCATACTGGGCAGGGCGCCCAGCTCAGGTCGCACGCCGTAGCGGCGTGAGCTGGGCGCGGTGAGGGTTGGTGATAACTACAGTTTCCTCCTTCCTCCTCCGGAAACTTCCATTTATCACTCCCCCCTCACGTGACCGCGGACTCCTGCATATACACTCACACAATAACCACACAACTGTTTGGGGATAGCGCGCTTATTGTATTATGCCAAACTTGACACGCTGAGTCCAGCTTGACTCAGCTGAGTCCCTAACTGCAATTTACTGCTCTAACATGAAGCCGTGCCTCCCAAAAATAATGGGGGTGGCCTCGCCGCACGCTATCCCCTATTCTTGGTCCCGTCGATCTCTATGCTGTTCGCTGTAGACCTGTTATGGCATGCCTGATTCGGTATACAGTGAAACCAGTATCTAAAGACCACTGTGACCAGCGACCAGTCTGGTACTACCGACCACTTCGCCGGGCACGGACGGTCTCACATTCATAATGGTTGTGCGGTGCAAGCCTGCAGCCAAGGACCACCTGCCACTAAGGACCGCTTTCTCTGGCTTAAAGGGGTGGTCGTTAGCCACAGGCTTAACCGCACATGTATCTCTTGCGGGTCAACCTGACCACCTTCCGGCGGCCTGGAGCTGCCGTCCGGGCACCTTCCTGGCCGCCAGATCCTGTGTCAGCTTGAGGGCGTCTACCAAGGGCATTGCCATGAAGGACTGCTAGGCTTTCCCCTGGTTGGTAGCTCCTGCTGGTGCTGGGCACTACTGAATACGCTGACGACTTGTCAGCTTCCGCGGGTAGTGTTCGCACGGGGGGGGGGGGGGGATACCTGGGCGCCCCAAGCCGGGCAGACAACAGCCGAAGGGCTGTCGTGTTGGATACAAGTGTGACTAGCTACCCGCCTGGTACTATGGACACCTTCGCCGGGCACGGACGGTCTCACATTCATAGTTTGCGGTGCAAGCCTCCAACTAAGGACCACCTGCCCCTCAAGACCGCTTTCTCTGGCCCCAAGGGGTGGCCGCTTAGTCAAAGGCTCCACCGCACATGCATCTCTTGCGGGTCAACCCTCACCACCTTCCGGTGACCTAGAGCTGCCGTCCAGGCCCCTTCCTGGTGGCCAGATCCTGTGTCAGCTTGAGGGGGTCTACCAAGGGAATTGCCATGAAGGACTGCTAGGCTTTCCCCTGATTGGTAGGTCCTGCTGGTGCTGGGCACTACTGAATACGCCGTCACAACTTTTCCGCTTCCACGGGTGGTGTTCGCACGAGGGGGATGCCTGGGTGCCCCCCGCAGAGCCGACAACAGAGCCAAAGGGTTGGCGCGTTGTATACAATTATTAGTTTCTCAGTTATTCTTGTATTTTGCCTCTTTAATAGGTCGATGACGGCTTCCCGCCCGCCGATCGTCCAAAAAAAAATATGGGGTGAGGCCCCTATCCTGCAACAGGCAATAAATGTGGCCGGGAGTATGCGCTAAGGGCCAGTCAGGACCTGCTGGGTGCCCGAGCTACGGTGCTAACAAGCAAATGCGAACAAGCAAGCTCGAAAGGAGATCTTCGGTTGCACTCCCCATCTCAGCTGCAAACAAACCACGCTCCGAGGGAGAGCTGCCCCTGCATTTTGCAAGCCTAGCTGTAAATATACAAAGCTCCAAGGGGAAATGCCCCTGCATTTTGCAAACATAGCTGTACACATCCAATGCTCCCAGGGGAGCTGCCCCTGCATTTTGCAAACATAGCTGTAAACTTCCAAGGCTCCAAGGGGAGCTGCCCCTGCATTTTGCAAGCATAGCTATAAACATCCAAAGCTCAGGGGAGCTACCCCTGCGTTTTGCAAACCTAGCTGTAAACCAACAAAGCTCAAAGGGAAGCTGTCCCTGCATTTTGCACACATAGTTGTAAGCATCCAAGGCTCCAAGGGGGGCTGACCCTGCATTTGCAAACATAGCTGTAAACATCCAAAGCTCCCAGGGGAGCTGCCCCTGCATTTTGCGACCACACCTGTAAACATGCAACTTCAAAAGCTCCCAGGGGAGCTGCCCCTGCAGTTTGCAAGCATAGCTGTAAACATCCAAAGCTCCAAAGGGGAGCTACCCCTGCGTTTTGCAAACCTAGCAGTAAACCTACGAAGCTCAAAGGGGAGCTGCCCCTGCATTTTGCAAACATAGTTGTAAACGTAGAACTAGAAGGCTCCAAGGGGAGCTGCCCCTGTATTTGCAAATATAGCTGTAAACATCCAAAGTTCCAAGGGGAGCTGCCCCTGCATTTGGCAAACCTAGCTGTAAACCTACAACGCTCTGAGGGGAGCTACCCCTGCATTTGCAAACCTGGCTGCAAACATCCAAGCCCCAAGGGGAACTGCCCCTGCATTTAGCCAACATAGTGGTAAACATCCAAAGTTTCAAGGAGTGCTGCCCCTGCATTTTGTCCGCACAGCTGTAAACTAGTTTTAAAAGCTCCAAGGGGAGCTGCCCCTGCATTTTGCAAACATAGCTGTAAACATCCAAAGCTCCAAGGGGAGCTGTCCCTGCATTTTGTCGCGTAGCTGTCAACTAGCTAAAGCTCCAAGGAGAGCTACCCCTGCATTTTGCAAACGTGGCCGTAAACATACCCAGCTCCAAGCCCTTTTTTTTTTGTTTCTTCCTCGCAAACATAGCTGTAAACATACCACGCACTAAGGGGAGCTGCCCCTGCTTTCTGCAAGCATCGCTGTAAACGATTACATACAAGGCTCGGAGGGGAGTTGCCCCTGCTTTTTGCAAACATAACTGTACCAGGCCCCAAGGGGAGCTGCCCCTGAATCTTGCAAACATAGCTGTGAACATACAAAGCTCAAAGGGGAGCGGCCCCTGCGTTTTGCAAACATAGCCGCAGCGCCGGGCATAACGCCACCCAGGCGAGGCGCGCTGCCCCTGCCTTGACCAATGCCGCCGCAAACAACACGCGCAAAGGGGCGCTGCCCCTGCATTTGCTCGCATAGCCGCCGTATCAGACCGCCGGGTCAGCCGCCATATCAGACCGCTGGGTCAGCCGCCATATCAGACCGCTGGGTCAGCCGCCGCCATATCAGACCGCTGGGTCAGCCGCCATATCAGACCGCCGGGTCAGTTGCCATATCGGACCGCTGGGCCAACTGCCATGTCGGGCCGCCGGGTCAACCGCCGCATGGGCTAGGGGCGCTGCCCCTGCCTCTGCCGCCGCCACAAACAGAGCTCAAAAGGGAACCACCCCCGCATTTGCTCGCAACGCCGCCGTATCAGGCCGCCGGGTATTCCGCCGCATGGGCGATTACGTAGGGGAATTGCCCCTGCCTCCGCTAGTACAACTGAATAAGCAGCATGGGCCAATCGCCCTGCCCGCCGGGTGCGCATAATGTGTGAGTGTGTGTGTGTAACGCACATACGCGTGTCTGCAATATGCCCTGCGCGGTCGTGACGGATTAATCCGTCGCACCTCGGGTAAAGTGTTAATTACTGAAAGTAAAACAAGGTCGCCAGCCCGCCAACACCGGCACGTACTGCCGGCTCGCCGTGGTATCTAAACAACAATGGCAACAGCGACGACAGCCGCAAGGAAAAAGATAACAGCTTGCCATGTCCAAACAAAGCCCCAAAACAGCAAAGTAGACCCCACATGCTGAGACTTGGTGTAATGCCGCCTAGTACGAGTAGGAAGGGGAGGGGAGCGACAGCACTTAGAGGCGAAGCAGGGTGAGGGATGGAGGAGAGGAGGATAAAGAGAGAGAGAGAGAGAGAGTATGTGTGTGTGTGTATGTATGTATGTATGTATGTATGTATGCATGTATGTACGTATGCGTGTGCGTGGGTGTGTGTGTGCTTGCGTGCTTACCCACGTGTGCTGAGAGAGATAGACTACACAGCGAATGAAAAAGGAGGCACGCATTGGTTGAGAAGAAGTTCAGCCGGTTTGCTGCCATGATTAGTTGCTCCCGCATAGCATGAGTTCAGGACTAAGCCGAGTCCAGCAGCTGGATTAGGGAGCCGATGAGAGGAAATGGACTAATCGTCCGCGTGAAAGAGCGTCCGCAGCGGAGTTGTCCGTGACCGTAATATGGGTAGTCAGCGAGATAAAGCCTTGTGTTCTGCTACCATGCGGGGGCTGAAGTGGGCTAGTTCCGTCACGGTTGGATTTCGGCAAGTCCCGGATTTCAGACTGCTCCAACTGCCCTTTTGTCGCCGTGCAGTATGAATTTCTTGTCGGACTACTTAGGGCCCCAGAGGGCGTAAGCTCGTGTTGCAAGGCGCGATGGTTCTGAAAGTCTGCCAGGCCTCGACCCAGTAGATTAGAGATTCAGTTTTTCTCTTGCCAGAAGAGGAGCCGCCAATGACAATTCCACTCAGTGATTGCCATCGGATTGATCGATTCTAACACGTTTGGCTGCTGGCTGCGTGTGGGCAGGACAGGAAGGAAGCATTGTGGCCAGCTCGACGTATTCCGCACGCCGTATTGTCCTAATCGTCTCCCGTGCGCCAACACATGCGCCGGCCGGCATCATAGCGCCTCCAAGGAACTCAACTAAACTGGTCATACACGACAGTGTCCATGCCTGCATTTTCGGCCGGCATGCTCATCGCCCGAGGCTTGTTGGTCAGGGCTGACGCTGCCGTCGCCGCGGTCTCAAACGAGGAATACCAGCGATCCGCTGCTGAGTAGGATCCATGCTCAGGTACGGGTATAAACCATGTAAACCAACTAGCTTTAGAGCAAACGAGAGCAAAAAAATTCTGGCCTTCTGCAAGCAATAGCAAGTAATGAGTGACGGCTGTGTAAAGTCGCACAACCATGCAGTCGACCGGATGATGGTGAGTGTCCCGCACACATCTTGCTCTGCTGCTCCACCTGCGCATACCTGATACGGTGGTGCGCTTACGGGCGGGCTGCCTGGGCCCCAGATGCCTCCTTGATGCGCCACGGAGTGCCGTCGAAGCACCTGTATCACTTCGGTGATCCAAATGCGAATGCAGCCTTGCCGGTCGCCCGCCGGCCTGCCGCCTACGCGACCAGCCTGAGACTGGCCCTGCCTCATTTGGCGCTTCTAAACGCTGCGATCCGTTAGACAGCTCACTGGGCTGCCAAATACGTGACTGGCTTGAGGACAGTTCCATACTGGGCAGGGCGCCCAGCTCAGGTCGCACGCCGTAGCGGCGTGAGCTGGGCGCGGTGAGGGTTGGTGATAACTACAGTTTCCTCCTTCCTCCTCCGGAAACTTCCATAATAATTTGCAGCAGCCTCTAAAAGCTCTTGATCTTCCAAGTCACCTTCACAAACGCCGAAATCAAAGCTAGCCATTTTTCTCACGAGGACACGATAAGGACAAGCTTTAGAAGAAGAATTGTAAGTTTCTGTTTGTGCTTACCCTCGGCCTTGTCATTCTTCATGGTAGGTCAACTTGGATGCGTACTATAGATGGAATTGCATATGTAAGGAATTCATTGTTGTCACTAGCCCCTCCACATAGACCCCCTCCCACAATCCCAAGCCAGCTGGCCGAAGGAGGGCTGGGGGGGGGGGGGGGGGGGGGCTGGCGACGGCAGTGAAATCCTAAATATGCAGTTTCAGCTACAGTACGCATTCGAGTATGCGAGTACCAATGGTACTGTACTAGGTACGCAGCCGGGTGTGATATGGAGCAGCAGGGGTGATATCGGCCTATATCACCCGCCTAGGAAGGGCAGTGATTGGCCCATTCCTAGGAAACGGTCACCTGATATGTGATAACTTCACATCACGTGACATGGTTCAAAAGGTTACACTGGCAAACAGTGCAAAGTGATCACAAGAGAGTTGTACCCAAAGCTGGGTTTCGTACAACCCTGTATCAATCATGCACGGAGTGCAAATAATGTGTACGGGTTCATCACATGATGTGAAGTCACAGTCTGCTGTCGCAGACCCCATAGCTGGAGTTGCACACTCGTGGGGGTTATGTACTCTTGGCGTTACGTATGCAGCATGAGTCCCTAGAACAGAGTAAGACTGGGTGCAGGGCTGTGCCGCCGCGACTTCGCCACCAAAGCACCTCAACTGATGGTGTATTCGCATGACCTCTCTAGTAGCTGTGGATTCAGCGTGGAAGTGAAGTCCGACACCTGCACGCTTCCCACAGTTCACTACAGGAATCATGGCGGACGACGTGCTAGATCTCTGTGCATTGCTTCTTTGAACCATGCATACAGTGCATGCCAAGCCATTGCCGGCGATGCTGAAAGACGTGAGTATAAGACACAGATAGGCACTGTGCGGCACAGGTTGCAAGCATCATTGATGTAAAAAAATCCGGAGATCATAAAGATGCATTGAATGATACGATGCAAGTGTGAACGCATGTAGTTGCGTATTCGGGTGTACACCGCATCTAACCTGTACATTTTTGGGTTGAAATACATGTATCATGCATTCTTTTGTGCGGAAACGCAAGGGTCGGATGTCACTTGCAATCTATCCACCACACCATTGTACAGTGCTACTCCATGAAATCCAGTCTTGAAATCCAGTCTTGTCACTCAAGTACGCGCCGGACGTTGCAGAGCCCTAGACCTGCGAACACAGAGCTGCGAAATGATGCTTGGCGCACACTTGACTCACGCGACCGGATTTCATTGTGCAGCGCTGTAGTTTCCTGTGCAAATGTCTGGAGCTGAAGTGATCCTTACCTCTACGTTGCCTCTCACAAATGACATCATGTCGGATTCCACCATAGTGTTGTCCTTGCTCATCTGCCGTCAAAAGAAGATGAAAAAACAGCACAGCCACACAACGCACTCAATCGAAGTACTGTCCAGCACAGGGCACGGGAATAGATAAGTTACCATGCCAGCTGCATACTATGGGTATAATGGTACTCCATGCACATACCACTGTGGACAAGCAACGATCGAAGCAGGCCACACTGCTTCCCCATACCTGTGCTTGGTTTGGACCTAAACATGATCGTTCCGACACAGGCCCGGTTGGCACACCGCCACACTTGCCTACTTATGGGAGGCTATAAGAAAAGTATTATCATGTGAGCATCTAACCGTCCAGTACCAAACCGTATCTCATAAATCACATCTGAATACAAGTTGCACCACCGGCATGTTGAGGCGGCCTCTGTCATAATATTAGTTTCAGTGTGTGCATTTGCGTAAGAAGTCTTACTCGACTGGAAGTCTGTCCCCCTTCACCCTTCTTTGTCTTAGGGATTATTGTAAGAACGTGTGACCTATATTCGGGGAGTTACGGTAGACGCACACGTGCCTACCTCAGCTCCCCACGCTCGGAATCCTTTCTCCATGCGCAGTGAGTTCATGGCGTACGTGCCAAAGTCATCCACGCCGAGATCTGCGCCTAGCCAATGCACCCTGGCGTGCAGATCAACAACGGATGCCTGCGGACAGTGAACCTCCCAGCCGAGCTCACCTTCAGGAGGACATCACAGCAACACAATCCAAGAACGTGTATATCGAGTAGTACAGTCATGTATGTGATAATGCCATACTAGCAGTTGACGGTGTTTTTACTAGTCCTCAAAACTATAGACGCGTAGGGTTTTCGAAATATTTCAAATTTGGCTGGAACTTTTTGAGAATAGTTTTCGGAATATTGCTCAGGTCCGCTCCACAATTACTCTCATATAGTTTCTAAACGATTGGATAATAGACGCCCAATTTGGAAAAAATTATGCACAAAGTGATCACAGATTTTATGTGGTATAGATGCTGGCATAACGGTTTTTGTCTAGGTACGCATCTATAGTTTTGAAATGGACTGTAGGTGGCATCCAAGCGGCCACTCGCTAAAGGTCCCACTCAATACAAAGCATGTGAGTACAATGTGCACGTGCAATGGTCATGTACAATGCTGTCTGATGTTCGCTCCAATGAGTAAAACTTCAAGTTGCAGCCAAACAGGCCTTGCTCCTCCAGTGTGTGCGTATATTGCTCTGCACATTTTGTGTATTGAACGCTAGTCTATTCGAGCTGCCTTGACCAGCCATGATCATGCAGACTACAGTACAGATCTTCATCTAAGGATTTGGTATATCTGGTCTTTCATCCACACCAGGCAAACAGTTCTCTGACCAAAGGTGGCTGGATAGGCTGCGGTTCCACTGTTTCTCCTTGTGTACTTAAAGCATACAGTACTGTCCGGTGCAGAAGAGCTGGGGGGGGGGGGGGGGGGGGGTCAGAGTCGCAGCCTAGACCGATCTTATTTCATGTGCTACAGTGTATGCACACGGTTGAGACACTGGGTGTACATCGGCATGCTGTGCTTGGTGAAATCCCATCCTGTCCGTTCTTCGGCGCCCGGCAGTACTGCAAATGTGACTCACGACGTAACCCACTGACCTGTGTAGGAGATCCTGATCACGTCCATCTCCACGCCGCTGTTATTGGCGAGTTTGCGGTGTGACATCAGCTTCCACGTGTCACGCGAGAACTCCGTCCCCGGGAACAGGCGCTCCATCAGCCGCGGTGACTTGGGGCCAGCAATGCCTAGGCAAGACAGCTCATCAGTGGTGTTCCGAATGGCAACGTTGCAGTGTTTGGGCATATTTAACCCTTCCAGCCACCTGACAGCAGCAGACATGCACATGTACACACCCGACACAGTGAATGCGACGTACACGTAGAGCAAGGGAAAACAAACCAGACTTCACCACGGAAGATTTTCAAAGTGCAGTTAATACAATGTACGGCTCGGCAGGCGTGTGCAACTCAGCTACTACTATAGACTACTACATAAGGGGCGTCGGAGCCGGTGCGACAGGTGTAGCCAAACCCACACCAATAATTCTATCTCGGATACTGAGCCAGTGAATGTCCCTTCCTCCCTCTCTCATAACAGCCACCTTCACTTCCTTTCCCCAGGAGACTCCCTTTGACAGGCATCCATTTGCCTCCGAGGCTGGAGAATCCTTGAAAAACATAATAGCAATCAATAATAATATAAATAGAATTAAAATAGAAGAAATCACTTTTTGAAGAAATAAAATATGGGCTATTTGGGCGCAATAAAGTTGTGAACGGTACCAGTCGGCTGTTCAATAATTCAACAATCTCTCCTTCCCTTCAACAATCTCTCCTTCTCTTCTCCTCCATACGCTCTCAGTCGATTTACCCTTAGTATTGGGGGCCAATTACAATTCCCGGGGGAGGGTCTCCCGACCGACCGCCTCTTCATGGCAGCACTGACCAATGTGGAATGCGTTCCGATGCCGCTGTATATCGTGGGGAGGGAGGAGAGGGGGTTGCAACAAGGGCCTTCATACAAGTTTCTATCAAAATAGCTACCCTCTCCTTCCTCCATTAGCGACAAAATCAATCAATAAGAAGGTACAAGTAGACTTATATCCAAGGAGAGCTTTAAATCCAGAGTCAAACATCTGCCGCAGATTTTCAAAAGGTGCCGTATGATTCTAGCTTCAGCTGCAGCTTCAACCTCAGAAGATGTGATGTAAGGCTTGTCTCCTAACACCAGCGACTGAGCGTTTCTCACCTGAGATCGTGCAGCTCTGAGCCTCCTCCCATAGTCAGCATGTACTCCCCACCACTGCCGTCCTTGGCCGTAGGCACAGTACACGTGACCGTCATCTCAGACATGACGCGGCCGTTATGTGCGAGCATGTGCGCCAGGCACGAACGGCCTTGGGTCTAGGCACAGGGCACATGCAGCACAGAGCCAGAGTAACTGTATCCGATCTTTAGCGGCTCAACAGCTGCTCAACTATTTCTCCTAGAACAGGTGGGTAGAATGATGGCCACTAGACTGCATGTTACAGAGATGCATCCCTACATTCACACGGGTCATGCATGCTGTTGTGACCTGCATGGCTCACCGGGCATGCCGCGATCTCACACTCACAACTTGAAGACTCAACCGGCCTCGGCATGTCCAGTGTGCCGCACAGTGGATTCATGCTCCAGAAGATGACTGCAGTAAGTGCCCGTGAAGCACAGGCCTAGTGCATCGCAGCCCTATGCATTGGTGCCAACTGGAAATTTAAAGGGAATACTAGTACAGGCAACTTCGCCAATAATGACATTCGGCGGGGCATCAGAAAAGTGTCCTTATTCGCGAAGTGTCCTTATAACCGAAGTCCCATTTGAATGTATGTGAACCCATATTTTGTATAGTATGATATGCATATCAAAATCAAGCTCTTTTCTTGCTCTATGTCAATGTGTACTTTATTTTCATATTGCAGTTGAAAGGAACTAAAAATTCAATATGCAAGGGAAATCAATTGAAAAATATGCCTTTTGAGCCATCTACAGGGCCAGAGACATGTACATGTATGATGATTACTGTACAATCATGTACAACTACATGTACATTGTATACATACATGTATAGGTGTGCTGGTAAATCCAACAATTTTGAAGCCAACATAAAAAAGGAAGAAAAAGCCCCCCCCCCCCCCCCTTGGCTGCATTTTCTTGCATGTGTGCAATAATATCCATCACCGGTGCACCATAGCATAGGTTCTGGTACTTCTGCATGACAGGTACATGTACTTGACTGACAGGTACTTGAAATAGCTGTCAAAAGCCCAGAAAGTCGTTATTCAAGCAGTGAATATGACCACGGGCACTAAAAGCATGTCGCTATACGCGAATTGTCGTTATTCAGATAGTCGTTATATCCGAAGCTAAATGTATATAGTTAGATGGGACTTTGCTCTGGGCATGGAAATTCGGTCGTTATTTGCGAATTGTCGTTATATCCGCAGTCGTTATTAGCGAAGTTGACTGTACTGTAGTAGGGAACAAAGAATCGTATAGAGTACTCGAGTACTCACTCATGAGCTAGTATGATGTTTAGTGATTGTGTTCGATAGGAGATCGTTACGTGCATGTGTGTATGCCTGGTATACGCACGGTTATTACATGTCCGAAGCTAAATGTATATAGTTAGATGGGACTTTGCTCTGGGCATGGAAATTCGGTCGTTATTTGCGAATTGTCGTTATATCCGCAGTCGTTATTAGCGAAGTTGACTGTACTGTAGTAGGGAACAAAGAATCGTATAGAGTACTCGAGTACTCACTCATGAGCTAGTATGATGTTTAGTGATTGTGTTCGATAGGAGATCGTTACGTGCATGTGTGTATGCCTGGTATACGCACGGTTATTACATGACTGGAAAAAAGCGCAAGTGCAAACCGCAGACACTATCCGTACTGTTTAGAGTACGGTACTGTACAACACTACGAGTGCAAGTTAGTTAGTAAGTTGCGCCGAGTCAACCAGTACAGTACCTGTAGAGACTTCCATGCAACACTATGATAACAGTAGCTTTTGATTTTCTTTGTCCTGCAATTATTTCCCAGTTATTTGCAGTTTCAAATGTCCCCTGTACATAACTGTGCACTTGTTCATATTTATAGCTGCAGTTAGGCCAATACGAACTTAGAAGTTGCGACTTCGGTGGTAATAGTCATGAAGTTGATTGTTCCAAGTAGGAACACACGCTTCTTGCCGAACTTACACTTGACTGACTCACGACTGCCACCCGGAGCACACGAGGAGCACGTCGCACCTTCCACTCGGCAAACCTGCAAGAAAGCACCACTCCCTCCCAACTCCATGAGCGACTCTGACTCACGCTGCTACCTGTAGCTTCACGAGGTGTTTGTCGCGCTGGAAAAAAAGCGTCTCTGTAAGTTTGTATCCCTGGTGATGGTTTGGCCTGGAGAGCAGTATATAAGTGGTGCTTTTCAGGCACAATCTTCCTCAGCCTACTCAAGCTCAACTGATGAGGGGTGAATTCCCCGAAACACCGTGTATTGAGCAGGGAGTGGTGCTTTCTTGCAGGTTTGCCGAGTGGAAGGTGCGACGTGCTCCTCGTGTGCTCCGGATGGCAGTCGTGAGTCAGTCAAGTGTCAAGTTCGGCAAGAAGCGTGTGTTCCTAGTTGGAACAATCAAATTCATGACTATTACCGCCGAAGTCGCAACTTCTAAGTTCGTATTGTTGTCCCTCACGCGGACGTGCGACTAGTTGTTGGAGGTGACAGCGTTGCGAATAGCTATACTGGCTCTCAACGTCTGTTTATCACAACTCCATGAGCGACTCTGACTCACGCTGCTACCTGGAGCTTCACGCGGTGTTTGTCGCGCTGGAAACAAAGCGTCTCTGTAAGTTTGTATCCCTGGTGATGGTTTGGCCTGGAGAGCAGTATATAAGTGGTGCTTTTCAGGCACAATCTTCCTCAGCCTACTCAAGCTCAACTGATGAGGGGTGAATTCCCCGAAACACCGTGTATTGAGCAGGGAGTGGTGCTTTCTTGCAGGTTTGCCGAGTGGAAGGTGCGACGTGCTCCTCGTGTGCTCCGGATGGCAGTCGTGAGTCAGTCAAGTGTCAAGTTCGGCAAGAAGCGTGTGTTCCTAGTTGGAACAATCAACTTCATGACTATTACTGCCGAAGTCGCAACTTCTAAGTTCGTATTGTTGTCCCTCACGCGGACGTGCGACTAGTTGTTGGAGGTGACAGCGTTGCGAATAGCTATACTGGCTCTCAACGTCTGTTTATCACAACTCCATGAGCGACTCTGACTCACGCTGCTACCTGGAGCTTCACGAGGTGTTTGTCGCGCTGGAAACAAAGCGTCTCTGTAAGTTTGTATCCCTGGTGATGGTTTGGCCTGGAGAGCAGTATATAAGTGGTGCTTTTCAGGCACAATCTTCCGCAGCCTACTCAAGCTCAACTGATGAGGGGTGAATTCCCCGAAACACCGTGTATTGAGCAGGGAGTGGTGCTTTCTTGCAGGTATGCCGAGTGGAAGGTGCGACGTGCTCCTCGTGTGCTCCGGATGGCAGTCGTGAGTCAGTCAAGTGTCAAGTTCGGCAAGAAGTTAGGCCAATGTTCCCAAAACGGAACATATGTTTCCCTTAAAGAGTACTCGATAGCTCATTCGATAGCACAAATACCCGTTCGTTAGTTAAAGAGTAATCGCTTGTTCCCTGCGGAATAGTCTGTCGGATCTACTCTCACCGGTCATGAATGTCTATCGTTTCGGACATCACGTGATGACAGTAATATTCGAGTTCCTGCCTACCCACCTTTGGAATTCTGTTGGCAAAGGCCAGATTCAGGAAGCGGTACGAGTCCTGGCCGGACACCGTGAACGTGGCAAACGACGAGAGGTCAATCACACCGACGTTCTCCCGCACCAGACGGCTCTCCCTGCCGACCGGCTCAAACCAGTTGGTGCGGTGGAAGCTGGGTTGGTAGCCGGGCGTGTCACCAGGTCGCTCAAACCATAGAGGAACCTGGCCCCACAAAGGTGGAAGAGAGGCACACAGAGGTAGAACAACAGCAACGTTACACAGCTGCACATTTGGACCATTGAATGGGGAGCAGAGGGAGGGGGGGGGGGGGGGGGAAGGGGTATACTTTCTGGCATTTTTCTCTGAAAATCAGTGCCACCCGCAGCTGAAGTCCTTGTACAATCCTATTGTCGTATTGAGTACAGTACAGTACAGTACTATTAAAACTTGAAGCAGATTTAAAATACCACTGTGGAATATGTGCCATTCCTTTTTTTGTGTGTGCGGGGGGGGGGGGGGCTGAGCCGTTCCCATGTGATTTCTTCATAAGCCGTTCCCTTGTGATTTCTGCATAAGCCGTTCCCATGTGATTTCTTCATAAGCCGTTCCCACGTGATTTCTTCATAAGCCGTTCCCACGCGATTTCTTCATAACCCGGTCCCACGCGATTTCTTCATAACCCGGTCCCATGTGATTTCTTCATAAGCCGTTCCCTTGTGATTTCTTCATAAGCCGTTCCCTTGTGATTTCTTCATAAGCCGTTCCCATGTGATTTCTTCATAAGCCGTTCCCACGTGATTTCTTCATAAGCCGTTCCCACGCGATTTCTTCATAAGCCGTTCCCACGCGATTTCTTCATAACCCGGTCCCACGCGATTTCTTCATAACCCGGTCCCACGCGATTTCTTCATAACCCGGTCCCATGTGATTTCTTCATAAGCCGTTCCCATGTGATTTCTTCATAAGCCGTTCCCACGTGATTTCTTCATAAGCCGTTCCCACGCGATTTCTTCATAACCCGGTCCCACGCGATTTCTTCATAACCCGGTCCCATGTGATTTCTTCATAAGCCGTTCCCTTGTGATTTCTTCATAAGCCGTTCCCTTGTGATTTCTTCATAAGCCGTTCCCATGTGATTTCTTCATAAGCCGTTCCCACGTGATTTCTTCATAAGCCGTTCCCACGCGATTTCTTCATAAGCCGTTCCCACGCGATTTCTTCATAACCCGGTCCCACGCGATTTCTTCATAACCCGGTCCCACGCGATTTCTTCATAACCCGGTCCCATGTGATTTCTTCATAAGCCGTTCCCATGTGATTTCTTCATAAGCCGTTCCCTTGTGATTTCTTCATAAGCCGTTCCCATGTGATTTCTTCATAAGCCGTTCCCACGCGATTTCTTCATAAGCCGTTCCCACGCGATTTCTTCATAACCCGGTCCCACGCGATTTCTTCATAACCCGGTCCCATGTGATTTCTTCATAAGCCGTTCCCTTGTGATTTCTTCATAAGCCGTTCCCTTGTGATTTCTTCATAAGCCGTTCCCATGTGATTTCTTCATAAGCCGTTCCCACGTGATTTCTTCATAAGCCGTTCCCACGCGATTTCTTCATAAGCCGTTCCCACGCGATTTCTTCATAACCCGGTCCCACGCGATTTCTTCATAACCCGGTCCCACGCGATTTCTTCATAACCCGGTCCCATGTGATTTCTTCATAAGCCGTTCCCATGTGATTTCTTCATAAGCCGTTCCCATGTGATTTCTTCATAAGCCGTTCCCATGTGATTTCTTCATAAGCCGTTCCCATGTGATTTCTTCATAAGCCGTTCCCACGTGATTTCTTCATAAGCCGTTCCCACGTGATTTCTTCATAAGCCGTTCCCACGTGATTTCTTCATAACCCGTTCCCATGTGATTTCTTCATAACCCGGTCCCACGCGATTTCTTCATAACCCGGTCCCACGCGATTTCTTCATAAGCCGTTCCCATGTGATTTCTTCATAACCCGTTCCCATGTGATTTCTTCATAAGCCGTTCCCATGTGATTTCTTCATAAGCCGTTCCCATGTGATTTCTTCATAAGCCGTTCCCATGTGATTTCTTCATAAGCCGTTCCCACGTGATTTCTTCATAAGCCGTTCCCACGTGATTTCTTCATAAGCCGTTCCCACGTGATTTCTTCATAACCCGTTCCCATGTGATTTCTTCATAACCCGTTCCCATGTGATTTCTTCATAACCCGTTCCCATGTGATTTCTTCATAACCCGTTCCCATGTGATTTCTTCTTCCTTTCTCTTTGCAAAATAAATGCGCGCCGGATATTAATTTTGTTGGTTCAGTTACAGTATGGTCGAGATGTTCGAGGTCGAGTAGCTCAAATGCAAACAAAACCCGCGGTGTTTATCCCAATAGCAATAGAGCAGCACTACAGTAAAGTGTGTAACTAAAGACCACCGTGACTACAGCATAGCGACCAGCCTAGTACTACAGACCACTTTGCCGGGCGCGGACGGTCTCACATTCATATACGGTTGTGCGGTGCAAACCTCTAACTAAGGACCACCAGCCACTAAAGACCGCTTTCTCTGGCCCCAAGGGGTGGTCACTAGTCACAGGTTTTACTGTTTATGCAGCAATGACCCTGGACACGGTGTACCTGTCACAATGGGTAGAGCATTCCAGCGTTGCAGCCGGCAACGCAATCGACATCACCACTGTACCTCAAATCCTGCCTTGAAGCCGAAGTGAGCGCCACGTTTCTGCAGCGATGCGTAAAGAGGACCCGCACGCTTCGTCGGCCTGCCGCCAAAGCGTTCCTCCTTAACATAGGCATACGAGTTGTTCATCCTATACGTCTCTCTCATCTTGTTCATGAAGTATGTGGGATCGTCGCTCCAGTTGCCGTAGCGAGCCGGATCAGTTTCTGTCAGGTCATATGGCGGATAGCCATTCCAGATCCAATCGGCAAGATACTTGCCCAGGCCTCCGCCGTGGATAATGCCGTAGCCGTGGATAATGCCGTAGCCGAAGCCAACAGCCAGCCACATACCCGGCTGACCAGGCTTGGGTCCAACCATCGGCATGCCTGTGCAATACCATAGGTATTGCAAACACATGCAAATGCACACACACACACACACATACATTCAATTATTATTATTATCAGCCTTTTCACGTTGACTTCACCAGGCAAGCTTGGGTAATTTTCGCTTAGGCCTAATGGAATGAAGAATGAGGAGCGAGATCATGTCAAGGGAGGCAGAAATCATACTGCACTCTCCGCACCAAGATACTTCTACCTAGACAGTTATATACATGCAAGGCCGTCACAGCCGGGGAGGCTCAGGCCGCCCCACTTTTTCGGCCGTTTTTTTTTTTTTTTTGGAGCACATTACAACAATGCACAATGATCGCAGCTTAGCGCAAACGTGACAAATCCTTGTCCCCGGTCGTGGTTTGTTGCAGAAAAAGTCTTTCATTGCAGTTGCACTGAAATGGCACCAAATGCCTGGAAATGCTTGCAATTGGCTTCAATTTTTGAATTTTTTTCCCGAGAGAGGGTAATATTTGTCCCCTATCGTAGCGTCTTCTTCGTTTGCTGCAGAATCAAAAAGACTTTCATTGTAGTTACTGTACACTGAAATGGTACCAATTACCCGGAAATGCTTGCAATTAGCTTCAATTTTTGAAAATTTCCCCCGAGGGAGGACCCCCGGACCCCCTTCCATGGCCGCCCCACCTCCAAAGTCGGTGCGACGGGCCTGACATGTAATTCTTAAAGTGATCACACCGCAGGGCAAACTGTCCGTGGAAGTGCAGCATTGGTGAAGCCACAGTACCAATCTATACGTACTAACCATCTCTAATGATAAGCCATGCACACCACACTTACCGTCAGGAGCAAAAGTAATGGGCCCTGCCACTGTACGAATGATGGGAGCCTTGCCGAACGCCGGGAATCGGTTCACAGCCATCTCCAAATTAGGCCCGATCCTGTCCAGGTCGTTCTCGAACAGTTCCTGGCCAAATCCGGGTGTGACACGGTCCAGCAACCAGTTCTCCTCTAGTTTCATGCGCTCAGGGCGTTCATACGGACCCACGAGCAGCGCGTCGCGCTCCTAATACAGGATGCCGGGTAACCACACAACAATAAAACCGTCATTAAAGTATGCATTATTGAATGGCTGAATGATATCGTTCGCAATTCTATATAGTCATTGCCAAAAACATCCGGCCAATCCCGGTACACAGGGACACAGTGGTATGGTATGCATTCACGGCAGTGCTTCATGGTGGCACAGATACAGTAGTATGCATGCACTACTGTGCCAGCTCTGCACTGACTCAGTGAGTGTATGCAGGGACATGGTCAATGCATGCACTACTGTGCCAGCTCTGCACTGACTCCGTGAGTGTATGCAGGGACATGGTCAATGCATGCATTACTGTGCCAGTTCTGCACTGACTCAGTGAGTGTATGCAGGGACATGGTCAATGCATGCATTACTGTGCCAGCTCTGCACTGACTCAGTGAGTGTATGCAGGGACATGGTCAATGCATGCAGGGCCGTAGCAGGCGGTCCGGCAGGTCCGGCAGCTGCCGGACCAATATTCTACCAAAAAGAAAAAGAAAGAAAAAAGTGGAAGCGCACACATGTGCGCAGCTCAGGATGTACATACATGTATGTCCAGCCATGACTGTGTACAATACGTAGAGGTAGTACAGAGCATGTCTTGTACCATGGCAGGAGGAATGGCAGGAGGTCATACAGTACACACGGTACAGGACAACACTCACGTACCAAAGATATTCCATTGCAATGTCCTTTCTTCTCCTCCAAAGGTCTATTTTTGGTTCTTTTATCACATGCATTTAGATACTGTTGCTATGCCTTCATAGGCTTCAACAAGTAAAGTTCTGTTTGGACAGACACAACATGCTGATGCCCTTTTCCCTGACTCATGCAGAACTTTCCAGTAGTTCTCTGCAGCAGCCGTCGCACTCGGTGCCACGACAATCGTCGACGCAGGCCACACAGCAGCAGCTGTCCACCGTGCTTTCAAGTTCCGTACAGCAGCCGCCGCACGCAGCGCCGCAGCAGCCGCTGTACACAGCGTTTTTAAGTTCCGCACAGCAACCGCTGCAGCTGCCCCCGCACGCAGCGCCGCCGCAGCAGCCGCCGCACGCAGCGCCGCACGCAGCGCCGCAGCAGCCGCTGTACACAGCGTTTTTAAGTTCCGCACAGCAACCGCTGCAGCTGCCGCCGCACGCAGCGCCGCAGCAGCCGTCGCACGCAGCGCCACAGCTGCCGTCGCACGCAGCACCACAGCAACCGTCGTACGCATTGTCGACGCCAGACCAGACTCGGAGCGGCTTCCGACCATATAGTCAAAACCCGACGCTGTCATCGCAGTCAGCACGTTTACCCGTTACGCCGCAATTGTCGCCACCTGCACTGACTCCCTCACCTGACAGTTCCTCAGGTCAAAGTCCACACAGCGCGGCACCATCTGATGTCTATCGCCATTTGAAGAAGATCACCATCCCAACTTTCAGTGGCGACAAGAAGGCGTACGACACCTGGCGTACGGCATTCATGGTGTGCGTGGATCAGCAGCCAATATCAGCCGAGTTGAAGCTCCTTCAACTCCGCCAGTGCCTCACGGGCCCGCCGCTGAAGAGCATTGAGGCATTTGGCTACTCAGCGTCCGCGTACTCAGCCGCAATAAGTCGCCTAGAACACAAGTACGGTGGCCTTCGTCGTAAGACGGCCGTCCACATGACCGCACTCTCCCAGTTTACGCCCATTCGGGATCGGGGCACTGCCGCAGAGTTTGAGCGCTTTGCTGACTTGCTGCAAGTCGCTATCATCAACCTGCAGGATGTTGGGCGACATGGCGAATTGGCCGCAGGGACATTCTGCACCCAAGTGCAGCAGAAATTGGGCCCGGAGCTGCTGACCAACTATAACAGATGGCGATGTGACACAGGGGCTGAGGAGTCCGTACCCCACCTACTGCAGTGGGTGCTGCGCGAAGCAGACTTCCGCACGGAGGCGGATGAGACGCTGCACAGCATCGCCAACATGACACTGGGCTCCCGGTCACCGCCATCCGCCAAGCCTTCCAGGTTTGGACCAGCTACGGCGTCTGCGTTAGCAGTGTTGTCCACCAACCCTTGTGCTTACTGCTCTCAAGATCACGCTGCCGCACAGTGCTCCGTTATTACTTCACTCGCGAGAAGGAAGGAAATAGTGAAACAGGACGGGCGTTGCTTCGTGTGCCTCAAGCAGCATCACTTGGCCCGCAACTGCCAGTCAACGTTAAAGTGCGCCAAGTGCAGCCGGCGACATCATGTCAGCATCTGCGATGGCACGCTAGCGCTTGCTGGCAAGGACAAGTCGTTTGGCACGGCCACCAGGTCCGGTCAGCGACGTGCGTCGCCAGCCAAGGACCTCTCGACTGAAGCGGGCACATCCGCAGCTGTGGGCACGGTCGGCAATGGTGGAGCCGTGCTGCTCCAGACGGCTAACGCTACAGTCTGCTCCCCAGCAGACCCGACCCGCACCGCCACGGTCAAAGTCGTTATGGATGGCGGCAGCCAGAGATCCTTCGTGGCGTACGATGTGACCAAGCAGCTGGGTCTACCAACCCTTCAGGATGAGTGGATCTGCCTGAATCCGTTTGGTTCGCGCGAGGGCAGTGCTGCCAGCTGTGTGCAGATCGTCCGTCTCCGCGTTCAATGTTCCGACGGCGGGGTGATCGACTTGGACTGTGTTGTATCCAACACTATGTGCCCACCCGTCCACAACCAGCATCCGCATCTAGCCGCCCAGCAGCACGCGGCGCTCGAGGGTTTACCCCTGGCGGATGACAGCGCAGGCACCATCCAGATTGACGTCCTCATCGGTGCAGACTTTTACTGGAAGATTGCCACCGGTGATGTGCGGCGGAATGAGGATGGGCCGACAGCGATAGGCACACGGCTCGGTTGGGTCCTGTCAGGGCCATCAGCCATTCCCTCGTCCAGCCACACCATGGTCCACCCAGCCTCACATGCTAGCTGCAACATTGTCCCATCGGAGGTCGACGTCGATAAGCAGCTTCTCCATGCCGTCCAGAAGTTCTGGACCTTGGAGTCCCTCGGAATAACGACCAACGAGCCCGAGGTGATGGAGACATTTCTGCACACCATCCAGCATGATGGACGCCGGTACGTGGTCAATCTTCCATGGAGGGAGATGCACCGGATGCTACCGGACAACCACCAGCTGTGTGAACGCCGACTACAGTCTACCCTGAAGAAGCTACGGCGGCTACCGCAAGTACGAAAGGAGTATGACGCAGTGATGAAGCAGCAGCTGGAGCTTGGGATTGTCGAGCTTGTGCCATCAACCGAGAGCGATGCGCCGGGCAACACACATTATCTGCCGCACCATCCCGTGATCCGAGAGGACAAGAGCACCACGAAAGTCCGCGTGGTGTATGACGCCTCGGCCAAGGCGGGCACCGCGCCATCCCTCAATGAGTGTCTCCACACCGGGCCTCCTCTCATGGAGCACATTCCAGACATTCTGATGCGTTTCCGGGTTAACAAGATCGCGGTGACGGCGGACATTGAAAAGGCATTCCTGATGGTCGGCATTGCCAAGGAAGACAGAGACGTCCTGCGATTTTTATGGGTTGATGATGTCAACAGCGACCATCCCAACACCTTGACATACCGCTTCACCAGAGTGGTATTCGGTGTGTCATCCAGCCCATTCCTCCTGAATGCCACCATACACCACCACATGGATCAGTATGCTGCCGACGATCCGCAACACGTCGAGCAGCTCATCAAGTCGCTGTACGTGGACGATGTCGCTGGTGGTGATACCGATGAAGAAGCAGCATACACCTTCTACGTGAAATCGAAGGTGCGTCTCGCTGAGGCAGGCTTCAACCTGCGCAAGTTTGCTTCCAACTCAGAGCAATTGATGGCTCGAGCACACGGCGACGAAAGCGATGCGGGCTCCAGCGCAACAGACCGTACCACAGTAACCCAAGATGTGCAGTCGTACGCCAAGAGCACGCTGAACACCGACGCCAGCCTTCGCCAGCAGCACGAGAAGGTCCTGGGCCTCCCGTGGAATCGCAAGGCAGACACGCTGGTCTTAGATGTCCGTGCTGTATTCGCCGAAGTGGCTGTTGACACCATCACCAAGCGCCAAGCACTGTCAGCATCATCCCGGATATTCGACCCACTCGGCTTCATCACGCCAGTGACGGTGGCACTCAAGATGTTTATCCAGGAACTGTGCAAAGCCAAACTGGAATGGGACCAGCCGCTAGTGGGAGAGCAGCTGGCAACTTGGCGTACGCTCGTCACTGGTCTCGCCACGATGGAGCCAGTCAGCCTTCCCCGGTGGTATTTCCATGGCGCCAGTTCCCAAGCAACAGTTTCGCTTCATGGATTCTGCGATGCATCCGTCAAGGCGTTCGCAGCAGTAGTGTACCTGGTCAGCCACGGGAAAGGAGACACGCAAGTCCAACTAGTTGCAGCACGCAGCCGAGTTACACCCGTCGCTAAACAGTCCATCCCGCGCTTGGAGCTCATGGCGGCGCTAGTCCTGGCCCGACTCGTGTCGTCGGTGCTATCGGCATTGACTGGCGCAGTTAACATCGAGGAGGTCCGCTGTTGGACGGATTCGCAAGTCGCGCTAAGTTGGATTATCGGAGAGCAGCACGAGTGGAAGCAGTTCGTGGAGAACCGTGCGCAATCCATCCGACGTCTTGTCCCGTCATCAGCTTGGCAGTATTGCCCAACTGACTCCAACCCTGCAGATCTGCCGTCACGGGGAGTGAAGCCGAACCAGCTGGAGCAGACCATCTGGTACTCTGGACCGTCGTGGCTCGCCACTGCGAAGTGCAACCCCGACGGAGCTAGTCCTCCTCCTACACGAGCAGTAGAAGCGATGTCCGAACTGAAGAAGGGCCAGCCGACAGCTGCCCTGCTCACCGGGTCAAAGGCACCAGAGGTCGACATCGGGCAGATTGTCGACATCAGCCGCTTCAGCGACGTCGACAAGCTACTACGAGTCACGGTTCTAGCGCTGAAGTTTGTCAGTCGCTTGCAACAGAAGCCTGACCCCGAAGTTCACTCGGCAATGGCGTATGCGCAGTCGCTCTGGCTGAAGGATGTGCAGCGGTCGGTCGTCAGGGACCCCAAGTTCTCAAGTTGGCAGAAAGAGTTCGGAATCTTTTGCGACGACTCTGGCATCTTGCGCTGCAAAGGTCGGCTGCAGAAAGCGGCACTCACGTTCGAGCAGAAGCATCCCGCTATCCTGCACACCACACACCGGTACACTGACCTGATCGTCATTCGCTGCCACCGCCGAGTCGCTCACAATGGCGTGAAAGAGACACTCACGGAGCTGAGGTCTGCCTACTGGGTCGTCCATGGTCGCCAGTACATTCGGAGCCTGTTGCTAGCGTGCCGTGTCTGCAAGCGTCTCGAGAGCGTGGCGTACGTGCCTCCAGCAGCTCCGCCACTGCCAGAATTCCGGACGACAATCGACGCGCCATTCACCTACACTGGCGTCGACTTCGCGGGTCCGCTGTACATCAAAGAGCAGAGTGCTGTGAAGAAGGTGTACATCGCGCTGTTCACCTGTGGCGTTACCCGAGCGATTCATCTGGATCTCGTGCCAGATCTCTCCGCTGAGACGTTTCTGCGCTGTTTCCATCGATTCACAGCCAGATTCGGCATCCCGAAGGAGATGAAGTCGGACAACGCCAAGACGTTCAAGTCCACGGCCAATACCTTGTGCGCGCTGTTCGAACTCGATGAGGTGTCCTCTCAGCTCGACAGCAGGTCTGTGAAATGGTCATTCAACCTCGAGAAAGCCCCCTGGTGGGGTGGCTTTTTCGAGCGGCTGGTCAAGTCCGTCAAGCGCTGCCTCAAGAAGATACTGCAGCAAGCCACAGTCACTTACGAAGAGCTTCTGACCGTGCTCATCGAGATAGAAGCGGTCTTGAACAGTCGCCCATTATCGTTTGTGTCAACCGAAGATCTGGATGAGCCGCTTACGCCGTCACATCTGATGTACGGTCGGCGCATACTGTCCACGCCCATGGTGGACCCGGAAGATACAGAGGTTGCTACAGTACAGCGTGACTCACTATTGAAACGCCTCGTCTATGTCAAGTCTCTGATTGACCACTTCTGGTCGCGCTGGACATCGGAGTACCTGCTGGAGCTGAGGAACTCGCATCGCACCGGGAACGCTCGTCGTGGCAGTGACATCCGGGTTGGTGACGTTGTTGTCATCCACGAGCAAGGCGTGCAGCGAGGTATGTGGAGACTCGGCCTAGTTGAGGAGCTCCTGCCGAGCAGTGATGGCAGTGTGCGCGGCGCTACTGTCAAGTGCTCAGCCAATGATGGTCGTCCGTCACGCTTACGTCGCCCGATTCAGCGTCTCTACCCGGTCGAGGTTAGCTCCCGGGCCCAGACTGCTGCTGATGATGTCGGCGCAGAGCAGTTGCCTGCCGCTACTCCAGCTGTTGCTGGTGTGGAGTCGTCCTCGGCGGCCCCCGCTCGCCCGATCCGTGCAGCAGCTCGGCGTGCGCAAGAGTTGCGACACCGTCTCATTGATGCTGGCCGTGTGTAGGTGGAGCTGGACACCATCATGAGCTAGATTAAACTTGTTACTGGATCATGCACAAGTCTCTTTTAAGTTATTTGTGCACCGCAGCAGTCTAATTTGAGTTTCCTTGTTTCTTTCTTTCCTTCGTTTGTCTGGGTGACCTTACACTGATTGCAATATCACGTATGAGTTGAGGCATGCATGGTTCTGATCGCCTCAACTGGGGGGAGTGTGAGATATTGCATACGATCGCCAGACAGCCTCGTTCTCTCGCTCTCTCTCTCTCTCACTATCTCTCTCTCTCTTTTAATCTTCCTTTCTCCATTCTTGATTATCTCATTCTTGATTATCACCAACTCCTCTCGCGCATTTACCTGAGCTTACAGTCTTCTCCTTGTATCTTCGTGTTTTCCCGCACTATCGCCTTTCGCCGTTGGAAAGCGTACGGTAGCTTGATTTGCTGGCGGTTTGCTTCACTGTCTTTTGTTCTTTGAGTTTTCTCCTTCGAGACAAGAGAGACATATTTTTCCTTACAATGAATCTTCGAGACTGATTCCAGAAATTGTAAACATCCTTCTTCCTTTTCTCGCCCTATGTCACTCTGCATGGTCCCGATTACATACGTCATGTATATGTTGTACATGTTCCGGCATACTAGTATGTATGAGTGTGGGCTCGGGGGGGGGGGGGGGGGGGGGGGAGCATCGAGGTCGGATCTTGCCGGATCAACCAAAATGGGACTGCTACGGGCCTGGCATGTGCAGTGCACTACATCACAGTAGTGCCTGTAGTGCATGCGGCCCATGTACAGCCAGCATGGCCCTAGCAGGATGTGTTTGGGCGACGACTGTAGATCACTGAAAGGAGCCGGTAGTTTTTAGTGTTGTGTTGTTATCCTGTGACACAGAGCATCACACAGCGAGGGCCGAAGTTCAACCTGTTGACTTTCAATGATTAAGCCACTGGTCCAAACTGCACACAACGTCTACATCTACATCTGCATCATCCGAGTCGGCACACGCTACGGAAGTCCGAACGGTCCGGCGATTGCAATTCCGAGTTTCACGCTGAGCACTCATCAGGCAGCACTTGCTGTGTTAACAAGCTGTGGCTGCTGCTGGGCATTGAGCATTGTTTGAGCATTGTTTGAGCAGTGGAAGTTGCCCACTGTATCTACTGGTACATCCCTTCATGTAAATACATGATGGCTAAACAGAGGATCAGCTAATCACCGATACAAATCTAAACCATACATGACATGCAGCTGTGTAGCCATAGCCAGTACTGTCCGGAGTGGGGGGGGGGGGTTAGCTGCACTTTAAACGCATCATTGAAAAACCTCAAAAGTGTCACTGTGGCTTAGACTCCTAATGTTGAATGTGACATGATCTGCGCTACACTGAGCCTTCCATGTTTATAATGCATGCCATGATATATGGTGACATGCGATTACTTTTCATGTACTGCAATCCATTATCGCACTAGCACAAAGCTGCTATTATGTTGTCAGATCAGAGTGAAGGACAAACTAGGAAACTTTGCTAGAACTTCAGTCGTGGTTCCCAACTTTTCACCATTGGTAAGGTTTTGTACGTACCAGTAGCCATTTTAAAAGTCAGGATGACCAAGAATTAGAAGTCAGATATGCGGTTTATATTCCGAATGTCAACAAAAGGAGGATCTTCGGCCCGAAACTTGGGGAGTGCAGCTTAGACCCCGGTGCGGGTAACTCTTTGGAAAGTATGTTTTTGTACTGTGTAGCGATATACAATCCTCAGTACTGTGTAGCAATATACACGTAGTGCACTGCGTAACGTGTGCTGTGTGTGCACAATGCAGCAATGCCAAGTTGGCCGCGGCATGCTATGCACTGGGCGTCGTTTTTTTTTAGTTCTTGTCACAGTGTGAGAAATCCCATGATGAGAAACAGCACATTTCTGGCCACTCTTCGTATGGCACACGGTGGCACTATACATTACACTTCGGGGATATCATCTAGTAGCATCGGATTTTGATTGGAACTTCACACTGCAGTTTGGATAAGAAGAACTAGTGCTATTGCAACCAACCTATACCTGTCTTGTCATTAGGTGTTCATACAGATTAAGATTTGACTGTACAAAAACTGCTTCAGGCAACAATCAGGATCATAGTAGTTCTTTGCTAGATAGTAGATAGGCTGCAAAGCGTAGAAATCACTCACCATACGTATGTAATAGGAGCCGTGCAGATCTCGCACCACTGGCATTTCCTTCTTCAGCGCCTGCACCTCCGCGAGCGTGTCCGTGATGCAGTACTGGTGATGGCCTGGTATCAACGGCAGCTTGGCACCCGTGCCCTTGCGTCCATGCTGGAGCAAGGCGTCGAGCTCGCGGCCCCAGAATCCGGCGGCGTTGACGACGTGGTAGCACTCGATGGAGCCGTTCGGTGTTGTGACCTTCCACCTGTTACCACTGCCAGCCATGCTCTCCATGTCAGTTACCTAACACACACACACACACACACACACACACACACACACACACACACACACACACACACACACACACACACACACACACACACACACACACACACACACACACACACACACACACCTGGTCCTGGTCCTGGTATACACTGCCATGTAGGTCACGTGTTTCTCGTTGAGCGAGACGGAGACGAGAGGAGACATGAGCGTTGGTGACGGGATAAGTCGTTTCGCCTTTTGAAACGCCTCCGGCAATTCTGACATTGCAATTGGAACTTGTCCCTTTCATCAGCAGTTGGGCGCCTGGTGGATCGGTTGCAGTTGTGGATAGCAAAGCCCCGGATCGACTTACAGCAGCGTTCACAAATGGGACAGTGAGCGGTACAGCACGGTTTCCGAATACATAGGCGTACAGGTGAAGAGCTTGTGGCATTGGCAACATTCGGGGCAGAATTGGACTGGACACAGCGATGGACTGCAATGCCACCCGCACTCCGAAACCATCGGTGACACTGGGAGCACTGGCGGCTGTTGGCTTGCTGCTGGACTGGTTTACGCCGTTCCATGATGCACTTGTGGCGGGCGATATCTTGCTGCCGAGCAAATGCACGCCGGCACACCTCGCAGACTATCTCCCGAGCCGGTTTCTGAGCTGGTTGTATTGCTCGATAAGCTTGCCGCCACTCAGATCGTTCCTGCGCTGTGTCAAACCATGACTCGTCGGCGATGTTTATTCGTCGCAGGTCGACCCTAATTGCGTCTCGCCATCGTTTCCGCGGGCCACACGCTGGGCGTGGTGGCAGCAATGTGCCAAACAACAACATCCGCGGCATCCGCTCCTCAGGCATGCGTACCACGTGCCCAAGCCATTCCAGTCTTCTCTGCATGAGGCGGTCGGGAATATCCAGTGGGTTTGCTGCATTCCATGTTTTCAGAATGGTGTCCTTGGCTATCTTCAAGTCCCACACATCCCGCTGTGCAACACTCATGATGGAAAGAAGCGACCGGTAGTAGAAGGTCGTGATCCGTTGCACATCACTTTGCAGCGGTACCCACGTCTCCGCACAATAGAGCAGTAAGGACAGAACACAGGCCTCGAAAACCAGACGCTTGGTGCGCAGAGAGAGATTGTGGTCATTGAAGACAGCATGACGGAGCGCTCCAAAAGCACGGGAGGCAGATGAAACACGGGTCGATACATCTTTGTGAGATCGGCCAGAATCATGGATAACAGCACCCAAGTATCGGAACTCACGCACACATTCCAATGTGCCATTCTTCACAGGAAGAGGAAGTCGGTCATCATCCGTGATACCATAGCCAACCGCCATAAATTTGGTCTTGTCCAGATTGACGGTCAGACCAAATGCAGACGAGACATCGATGAACATATCCAGAGCAAGAGCAGCAGCAGTACGGGTAGTGGCAAACAGTGCAGAGTCGTCAGCGAACTGGCAGTCGTTGATGGTAGTCTGATCGTCAGTACGCTTTCTCTTGAAATAAAGCGAGCCCCCAGGATTGAATGCCAACGGGACGCCGATACCAGGCACATGCTCGACCACTCTGGACCATCTCTGGAAAACAGCCCACATGAATATGTTGAATAAGACTGGTGCCATACAACAGCCCTGCCGCAAACCACTCTTCACTGCAATGGGTTGGATGGGTGTTGACCCGATGGAGAGAGTAGCTGACATGGAGGTGTGAAACGACTTGATGATGTTTACGATGTTACTAGGGACCCCTGCCTTCGCGAGAATCAGCCACATGCATTCACGGTTTACTGAGTCGTACGCCTTACGTAAATCAACAAAGACAACGTATCCCGGGCAGCGATGTTCGTACAACTTCTCCAGGACTTGGCGAACTGCAAACACCATGTCTGTGCAAGATCGACCCTTACGAAAGCCGCACTGGGAGTCGGGTAGAATATTCTCCGCAATAATCTGTAATCTGGACTGAAGTACTCGAGCAGCAACTTTCCCAACAACATCCAGGAGTGATATGCCACGCCAATTATCACACAATGAGAGGTTACCTTTCTTTGGGATTGGCACAAGGTTGCAGTCTACCCATTCCTGAGGAACAGCCTCGTCATCCCAGACATGGTGCAACAGATCCAACAGTGCCTCCATAAAACTCTCACCACCCGCTTTGACCAACTCAGGCAGGATAGCTGAGGCGCCAGCGGCCTTGCCGTTGCTGAGTTGTCGAATAGCTCGCGCCACCTCTGCTGCATCCGGCTTGCCAGCGATGTTCTGGTTGATAGGCTGCTGGTCTATTTCGTCAATGGCACATGGATCAAATGTGCTAGGGATGTTGAGTACGCCATCGAAATGTTGGTACCATCGTCCACCTTGTTCCTCCACAGATTTGCAGATGTTGCCATTTGCATCCCTAATAGCGGTAGTAGACACAGGGCGTAATCCCTGCTTGGCAGCCTGCATATCCTTAACACATGCCCACACCCGTGAGGAACTGAACCGTGCACCATCAAGAGATTTGGCTTTGTTGGTGAACCAGGAGTTCTTGGCAGAGCGGACAGCAGCTCTTGCCTTACTCCTGGCAGCCTTGAACCTGTTCCACGTGTCATCAGACCTGCCACTTGAAATCCATTCTTGATATCGCTGATTCCTTTCATTCAACAAGGGTTCGAGGGTATCTTTGCTCTCAGTAAACCAATCTGGTTGACGACGTTTCTGAAAACCGAGGGTCTCCTCTGCAGACTCGGTGACCGCGGTGCGCAACCTCGACCATTTGCATTCAACGGTGGTATGTTCATTCGGCTGTTGCAGACTGTTTGTGAGGCATTCACGATAGACATCAGCAACTCGTGTGATGTTTCCAGATGAGTCAGTGCTGTGGACATCCTTCAAACGTGCAACATCAAACCGCTTACATTTCTTCGTTTGCACACAACGCGAGCGGCGCTGCAGACGGCCTACTACAAAACGCGCAGCCACCAGGTTGTGGTCGCTCCCACATTCCGCACTTCTTATAACTTGAGCATCAATACATTGGTGGTAGTCAGCTTGTGACGTGATGACAAAATCAATACAATGAAATCTCTTTGACCTTGGATGTTGCCAGGTCCACTTCCTATCCTCTGTCTTGCAGAACCATGTGTTACACACCATCGCCTGAATAGTTGCAAGAAAATCCAACAGCTCACGTCCTGCAGAGTTCATCTCACCCACTCCATGTGGGCCCCGTACACGTGACCACTCATCAGCGTCAGCATGCGTACGGGATCCAACTCTGGCGTTGAAGTCACCCAACAGAATAAACTTTTCTGTGCCCATCCGTGGCAAAGTCGCTTGCAAGTCCGCAAAGAACTGTTCCTTGGCAATTCGCTTGCTGGCGAACGTCGGAGCATATGCGGAGATGACAGTATACCATACCGGTGAACACCCATGAATATCAAACTTCAATCGCGCTGACACAATCCGAGAGCTGCGGGCGTCGTATTGACAACCGCCGTCACGCCACGCACACACACACACACACACACACACACACACACACACACACACACACACACACACACACACACACACACACACACACACACACACACACACACACACACACACACACACACACACACACACACACACACACACACACACACACACACACACACACACACACACACACACACACACACACACACACACACACACACACACACACACACACACACACACACACACACACACACGCACACACACACACACACACCATCACACCATCACAGTAATGCACAGCCATACACTCCAGTAGAGGCTGGTGCTGTGCATTGAAATGGACTTGGGAGAAATGCCAAGCAGTACACTCGGTCGACTCTGTGCATCACAGAACATCTGCCTACACCATCATGTTCTAAGACAGAGGCATTGCACGATTTTCACCGCCAAGAACTAATATTCGGATCAAAACCGCAATTTACAATAAATTGTCAAGAACGATGACAACGTCGATGATGACGACGACAATAACGGCAACAGCGACAGCAACAGCAACAGAAACAACAACAACAACACCACCACCACCACCACCACCACCACCAACAACAACAACAACAACAACAGCAGCAGCAGCAGCAGCAGCAACAGCACCAGCAGCACCACCCGCAGCACCAGCAGCGGCGGCAACAGCTGGAGCTCCAACAGAACAATCCGAGCTACAAGCATTCAAGTGCTCTGGAGACTTGCCACCAATCATTATTTTGAATCAGAGAGCCTTGTGACTTGTATCATAGAGAAACACTGCAATTCATCACAGTGGCTGGGCGAGCCCAGGTTTTCCAAACTTCATTTAGACCTGCCAAAATGAAGGGAGAAAATCTCCATGTAACGTGAACGGGGTACACTTTGGTACCTTAAGAGTCTAGACCTACCAGAGCTCGTCATAGTCCATGCAAAACAAAGATGTTTAAAAATATTAATTAAATTAACAACGCTTCTCTCAGAATTTTACGATGATGCTCCCAGAATTATATTAATTACTGCATAGTCATCGTGCTGTCAGTATCAATGTAGCGAACTTCCAGAATTAACATTACTCACAGAATTTAACAACTCTACTCTCAAAATTAATGATGCTACTTTCAGAATCAACAACGCTACTCCCATAAATAAGCTACACTACTTTAAGAGACCATACCAGCCATACATACCTCTGTGTGCGTGAAGATCTTTGCACCGTGTTGCTTGGCACCAGCACCCAACGCCATGATCACAGAGTAAGGATCAATGTAGCCATCGTGTGGATTGAAAAAGCCACCGATGATGCCGTCGGGATTGATCAGCGGGCACTTCTCCACCACCTCGGCCACGTCCAGGATCCTTGCAGGCGCTGGATACCAACTCGCCCTGCTCAGGTGCTGTCGGAACTCATCCATGCGCGTGCCTGTTTCGGCAAGTCGCAACGAACCACAGCGATGCATGCCGACAGCCTAAACACACACCCGTGTAGGGCAAGGGAAATGGATAATTAATGGATAATTACTCATGCAGTATCTTATGTGTATTATGCTGAACGTGATGAGAGAGTCAGGACAACGGAACACACATCACTTGACAAGAGGCTTGTTGAAGCTCACAAAGGCACCCGAACAGAGACCCATGTGCTAATACGTAGCTACGTCCCTGTTCCATCCTCGTCGCTAGCTCGTCAGATCTGCCTCGTGTTGGGGGGGGGGGGGGGGGGGGGGTAAATGCGACAGCGGAGAGACGATTACTCTCACTATTGAGCTCATTGAAACGAGAGGTCTCTAAAACTTGCTAGACCTACGGCTATGATCAGAACAGAATGCTAGTATGGACTCCCATTGCTTTTCATTGCTACGCACAGTGCAACTCTCTGCTGCCAGAGCATCCACATCAGGGCAGTTCACAAAGCAAAAGGCATTTCTAAACCTGCAGCTGTGACTACAGTACTGTTGGGCGCCGAAGAACGGAGCGCCGAAGAACGGAGTGCCGAAGAACGGCCAGGCTAGAATTTCGTCAAGCACAGCATACCAATGTATACACGCTGACTCAACTGCCCATAGACTATAATACATGGAAATAAGAACGGTCTAGGCTAGGAGGCTGACACCCCAGTTCTTTGGCCACCGACAGTACTGTGGTGTCTCTTAGCCCATAGCCTGGTGTACCCTAGTTTGTAACACCGTCTGTATACGTTACCTGGCCTGTTTCCTTCTCCAGTTGCGTGTAGAGTGTATGGCTGTCATAGTGCACACGTCGCACGTTCCCGCCAGGATTGAAGGTGGTGGTGAGGCCAGCCTGTCAACACAGCGCAGTCACGGCAATGATTAGCAAGAACTTAACTCGGAGGAGTGCGCAACCATATCACAGATAGATGTGCACACACACGCACGCACGCACGCGCACACACACACACACACACGCACACACACACACATACACACACACACACACACACACACACACATACATACATACATGTACATGCACGACACACACACATAACGTTACACACACAAACAAGCAAACAAACACACATAAACACTTATACTTGTATTTGCTCACTGCCAAAACTGGTCACGTGGGTCTCTCCGGGAGAGGGGAGAGAGACTCAAAAGGAATATCGGAAAGATGACTCAATTGGCTTTTGAATCGCCCAACGGCTGACACTCCCCGAAATCCCCAAACTATAGGTGGACCTGGAAATGATCCCACTTATGGGCTCGTTACACCTCAGTAAGTGGGTGATGACAAGGTGCAGAAAAAGCACTGACGGCATCAGGATATCCGTCCCGGGATCCAACTGCAGGTACCCCTGCCCCCAGTGAAGGTAGTAATTGCTACTAGTGACGGTGGGTGGCTAAATCAGAGTGGATCTGATACTTCGAAGTAGAAGCTTCATTGGCACCATTGATTGCACAAAAGTTAATCTAGCCAGAAGCAGTCCATGGTTAACAGGTATGTATACTTCAAATAGACAGTATTATCAACCCTGAAACCAACAAAGGTGGCAAGTACAACAATACACCTTCAAGCAGCCGAGCCCGTTGGCAACAGACCCAACACTATCTGGCAAGTAGTATGTATAAAGCCGGTTCTGGGTAATTTTTCACCTTTGACCTTTGGGCCAAATAAGGCACACTGTGTCGGTCGTGCTTGGTCTGGCCCCGGGACTCCCCCAGGGTTTGACCTTTGACCTTTGGGTTAAATAAGGCACACTGCGCTTGGTCTGGACCCGGGGCTCCCCAGAGTTTGACCCTGACATGCCATGTCATGTCATCCAACCCCACCTCCGGAGCTCCCCATGCAATTTTTCGAAAATGGTCATGCTCACACACACGTCACAAAGGTTGATTCTTGATAGGTTGAGACTACTTCACATCAAGGCCACGATGACCTTTGAGAACAAGGCTGTGTCTCAAACAAGGCCAAAGGTCACGCCACGGGGAGGTGACGACCTTGGAGAACACGATGTGTTTCGAAAGCGGAAAGACGTCCCCGTCATGGTGAGTCTTTTTTGTTCGGGTTTGGAATCTTTCGACTGTGATATCAGATTGAGATGTGAATCCCTTTCTTCTATCGAAAGGTCGATGTGATGGAGATTTTTTCTAGCTTTCCGCTCATATAATTCTTACTCTCATAGTACTTGATTTTCATATATTTTCAGTGGTGGAAATACGTGAAGCACACGGACCATGGATGCACACACCATGGAGTGTGCTTTGACGTCACAGTGGATTATAGGATACACAATGGACCACACAAACTCACCCGCGCGCATCACATACACTGTGCAATGACATCACAGTGAACTGCACGATCGGTGGATGCTTTACATATAAGGAATTCCGGGAATTGGACTTCTCCGTTCCTGATTGGTCGATTCTTTCGTTTTTCAAATCAAGCTTCCTGATTGGATAATTCTTTACGGCGGGAATTGATTTGATTGAATACTATTTCCGAAATTGGACTATTCCATCGAGAAGTGAAATAAAAGACCCAACACTTCAGATCAGTTCTTCATTCGGGCAAATAGCCCTGAGATAGGAAGATGGAGCCTCCTCGAAAGAGACCCAGGATCGACTTTGAACCAGTTCATTCCCTGCGACTGATTAGATCATTCGTACACAGACCGGAAGATGCTGTTGATGTGTTGGAGTACTTTTCTACTAGTACCTATGCTGTCGAGGAGGTACTCATGCAGGCCCTTGATGAATTTGGGCAATTCAAGTTCTCTCGTCGTTGAAGTCATTATGAGGAAGGTCAACCCCGCTACGGGAGAAGTTGTTCAGCATTCCTTCTTCTTCCGTTCTCGTACAAGATCGCTTCTCACAACGAATGCCATTCCATCGACGGTAGCACGGATGCTTGACACTATCAACGAGCAGGTATGTGTATGCGTGTAATTCTTTTAATATGTTACTCGTGTGTTGCATTTTTATTTATTTTATTTATTTTTAAATTATAGATCGAGCGGTTTGTGCAACACTCTTCTGGTTGGATCATCGATCGTGTACATGCTCTCGGTATTGAACTATCCAAGTATCAACCCATTCGTGGTTCCACCTATATACAACTCCCTTCGGAGTTGAGGAATAAGAAGGCCATCATCAATGTAATCAACCGCGATCAAAAGTGCATGCTGTAAGTTGGTGTTTCTTTCAATGTCGTGAATTCTACAGTGATACTATCCTGTTTTTATGTAGAAAATAATGTCTTTTATGCGTTTTACCTGTGTGTATAATGTTTAAAATGTCTTTTTATTTATTTTTTAATATTTATTTTGTTCACCTCTATTAGAAGAACCTATGTGCGTTGTTGTCGTTGATGATTGTGCAGATGGGCCATTCTTGCAGCTAAGTTCTCCCACACGAGCTCTCGTTCCAATGCAGTCTCATCGTACGTCAAACACGTCAACGCTATCAAAGTGGACGGCATAGAGTTTCCAGCAAAGGTGGCGGACATCGAGCGCATTGAGAAGATGAATCCTGGTTTATTTATCAATGCGTTCGGTTACGAGAGCAAGTCCCTCTACCCTCTACGCGTTTCCGATCAACCGCAATCTGCAATCAACCTGCTGCTGTTCGGTGATGGTACCACCCAACACTGGGTGTGGATTAAGAATATGAGTCGACTGCTCACCACGGGTGCTGCTCATCGGCACTACATTTGTTTCCGGTGTCTCCATTTGTGTCGTTCGCAAGAGACTCTGGACAGACATCTGCTTTACTGCAAGGAACATCCGATGGCACGAGTGGTGATGGGCAAGCCAGGTGCAAAAATCTGCTTCAAGAACTACCAGAAGCGTCTTCCTGCACCATACGTCATATATGCCGACTGCGAGGCATTGATAGAACCCATGACGGAACCAGAGAAGATTGGAAGTTCAACGGAACAACGCAATCGCCATGTTGCTTGTTCTGCAGCCTACATTGTTGTGAGGTCAGACGGTGTAGTGACCAACCGATTCGAGTATAGAGGTGAAGATGCAATGATGCACTTCCTGCTTGCTCTCGAAGAAGAGGAGGAGAGGATATGCGATGACCTCAAAGACCCAGCAGTGATGATCATCAATGCCGTGCAGGAAGCCGAGTTCGATGCCGCAACAAAGTGTTGGATCTGTGACAGACCACTCAACGACGATAGAGTTCGCGATCACTGTCATGTAACAGGTGCATACCGCGGACCAGCACACAACAGATGCAACCTTATGCTGCGTATCATCCCATATAAACCAAGATACCAGTATTCTTCCACAACTTGAAGGGTTACGACTCGCATCACATCATCTCTCAATTGGGAAGAACGTCATGCGATGAGAAGACGTACGAGGATAAGAATGGAAAAGAGAGGGTGAGTGCTATCGTAATCATTTCAGATGGTGTTTAAAACTTTTAGTATTAAGCCACTGTCGAACATTCTCTTTTCCATGAATATGGATATGTGTTAGCGAGATAAAAAATAAATAAATAAAAATGGTGTGATGATGTCATCTTCCACTAACTGATTATTTTGTTTCTTCCTCTTCTCTTTGTCAACGTGTGCTTGCAGACGAGGAAGCTCGGTGCTATCACCATTATCCCGACCAACAGCGAGAAATACATCACCTTCGGATGGCGTCATTATCAGTTCGTTGACAGCCTAGCATTCCTGAACGCATCGTTGGAACGGCTTGTGAACGTCACCCCTGCAGATAAGTTCAAGATCCTGAGCGACACCTTTCCAAGCCCGTTAGAATGTGATCTGGTTCGACAGAAGGGAATCTACCCATACGAGCACATGAAGACGTTTGAAAGCTTCCAGGAACTCGAGCTACCATCAAAAGAAGCCTTCCATTCATCCCTGACGGGGAAGGATATAACGGATGCAGAGTATGCGCATGCTCAACGAGTCTGGTCTACATTCGGATGTGAAGACATGGGCGATTACCATGACCTTTACCTGAAGACTGACGTTCTCCTGTTGGCCGATGTTTTCGAGAACTTTCGTAAAACAGCGTACGACACTTATGGGTTGGATCCTGCAAACTATCTTACACTGCCTGGACTTGCCTGGGACGCACTCCTGAAGCTCACCAAGGTCTCGCTGGATGAGATCAGTGACATCGACGTCTACAACTTCATCGAGCATGGGAAGAGGGGTGGTATCAGCATGGCATCCAACAGATGGACAGTCGCCAACAATCACTACCTGCAGGATCATGATGCAAGTCAACCCAGCACGTACATCACGTACCTGGATGCCAACAATCTCTACGGATGGTCTATGATGCAACCACTGCCTGTTGGGGGATTCAACTTCCTAAACCCGACAGAGCAGTTGATTGACGACATACTACAACATCCAGCAGAAGCACCGAGAGGCTATATGGTTGAGTGTGACCTCAGGATTCCAGAGATGTTACACGACTATTTCAATGACTATCCATTGGCTCCGGATCGCTTCACAGTCAGCCGGGACATGCTGTCACCATATCAAAGGGAGCTGGCGGACAAGTTGAATGTATGTGCGGGTCATCCCTTTGTTGATGATGATGATGATGATGATGATGATGTTGTTGTTGTTGTTGTTGTTGCTGTTGTTGCTGTTGTTGCTGTTGTTGCTGTTGTTGCTGTTGTTGCTGTTGTTGCTGTTGTTGCTGTTGTTGCTGTTGTTGACAAGTTGAATGTATGTGCGGGTCATCCCTTTGTTGATGATGATGATGATGATGATGTTGTTGTTGTTGTTGTTGTTGTTGCTGTTGTTGCTGTTGTTGTTGTTGTTGCTGTTGTTGCTGTTGTTGCTGTTGTTGCTGTTGTTGCTGTTGTTGCTGTTGTTGCTGTTGTTGCTGTTGTTGCTGTTGTTGTTGCTGTTGTTGCTGTTGTTGCTGTTGTTGCTGTTGTTGCTGTTGTTGCTGTTGCTGTTGCTGTTGTTGTCCATGATGATGGTGCTGCTACTGTTGTTGTTGATGTATATGATGGTGTTGCTAATCCCTCACTGTTTCCTTTTTTCTTTTCTTTTTTCTTTTTCCCCCGATTGAATTCCCTGTCATTCAGGTTATCGGATTGGAAGCAACAAAGCGCATTCCCAACCTCCTGCCCAAGAAACACTATGTCCTACACTATAGGAATTTGCAACAGTACGTTTCGCTTGGTGTTGAAGTGACTGATGTGCATCGCGTACTCTCTTTCCGACAAGAACCGTGGATGCGTTCTTATATTGAGAAGAACACTGATCTCCGAAAGATGGCAACATCGGAGTTTGAGAAGGATTTCTTTAAAGTAAGTAGTGTGATTTAAGGATAAAATGTTGTTGTTGAGGAGTCAATCATAGTGTTGCTGTATTATTGAGAATACCTGTCTTCTTGCATATCTTTACCGGCATATATGGAGATTGAGGGCATATCTATTTATATAATATAATACATCTGTTGTTGTTGTTGTTGATGTTGTTGTTGTTGTTGTTGTTGTTGTTGTTGTTGTTGTTGTTGTTGTTGTTGATGTTGTTGATGTTGATGGTGGTGTGTGTGTGTGTGTGTGTGTGTGTGTGTGTGTGTGTGTGTGTGTGTGTGTGTGTGTGTGTGTGTGTGTGTGTGTGTGTGCGGTCTGTTCACGCACAGCTTATAAATAACTCGGTCTACGGTAAGACCATGGAGAACGTAAGGAATCGCATCAACCTGTGTGTGATGAGAGCAACGGAAGAGGAAGCTCGTCTGAAGCGTCGAATCAACAAGCCATCATACATACGAAGCGTTGTCTTTGATAACGATCTTGTATCAGTTGAATGTTCAAGAGAGAAGGTCACGCTATCGAAACCCATCTACGTGGGTGCAGCCATTTTGGACCTGTCCAAACTGCTAATGTACGACTTCTACTATGGAACGCTCAAGCCGCGCTACAACGATAAGTTACACCTACTCTATACCGATACCGATAGTCTGGTGCTCTCCGTGGACACCAATGATCTGTACGCTGACATGAAGCAGGATCTTGATGTTTACGACACATCAAACTATCCCGAGGATCATCCACTGTACACTACTGCGAACAAGAAGGTCGTCGGAAAGTTCAAAGATGAGTTGGGTGGTGAGCCGATCTGTGAGTTTGTGGCACTTCGCAGCAAAATGTACGCCTATGAATGTGCAGGAGGCAGCAGCGGCAAACGAGCCAAGGGTGTACAGCGAGATGTTGTGAAGACAAGCATTACGATCGCTGACTACCGCTCATGTCTCACGGAAGAGACACAAGTCATGAGAACCATGAACGTGTTGCGGAGTCGTAAGCATCGAGTGCATGGCGAAAGGATCCACAAGATAGCTCTCAGCGGCTTCGACAGCAAGAAGTTCATCTTGGAAGATGGTGTTCACACACTGGCTTTTGGGCATAAAGACATTGCCGCACATTCATAATTAGCATCGAGATTTATTGATGGCATACACACACACACACACACACACACACACACACACACACACACACACACACACACACACACACACACATTCACGATCGTTGATCGATAGCTTCTCATGAACTCCATCAGCTTGTACATAGCACTCAATCATTTATTTTTTATTTTTCAATATGAATGACATTGTGAATCATGATCTAAGACTGTTCACATCCTTCTTTGTGAGCCAGGTATTGAACTTATTATCTGTGTAGCCTTTCCATTGCACAAGACGCTGATCCTTGTTGTATTTCAACACCTTATCGAATCTCAAACCGGTCTCTCTGGTGTGTTGCAGTTCTGCTTCGTAAAACGATCCGATGATGTGTTCTCCCATCAGATCACGAATCCTGTAGGTGTGTGGTGATGTTGGTAGGATTTCATCCACCTCGAATACTTCCTCCGTCCAGTTCGCAGTGTAGCCCTTCTCGAAATGACGCTTAGATACGGTTAGGCGCACCTCGTCACCCACTTTGAACTTGGGTTTTGACTGCAGGGGGTCTTGTTGATCTGCATCTTTTGGTATTCTACCGTTCGATGCTTCGTTAGGTGTCATCCCAATGCTTCTATGCTTTGACTGGTTGTAGCGGTCTAGTAGTAGAGGTAGGACGTTGAGGTACGTGTTCGTGGATTTCTCTGTAAAGTGACGCCACATTCTTGCCTTCAGCGTTCTATTGAAGCGCTCGACCACCACCGCTTTACCCTCGTTGTGGGTGCTGTACATGATGATATTATGTTGTGATAACCATCGTTTCATGGGGGCATTATAGAATTCCTTGCCTTCGTCTACCCAGAGTTTTAGCGGTGTCCTTCCGGATGTACTGACAATCTTATCGAACGCATCTCTCACGGCGGTACCCGTCTTCGATTTCAAAGGCATTGCCCAGGCATAGCGGCTGTATAAGTCGATGACTGTTAGCAGGAATTTGATGTTTTTATTGCTTCGGGCAAACCGTTGCATATCGACGAGGTCTGCACTCCATATATGATCAATTGCTCTGCTCTTCACCTTGCGTCTTTTGAAATGCACTCGTCTTGGCTTGTGCAATTCGTTAGCCAGTTTCGTATGGAACGGTGCGGGTTCTGTCTTCTTCTTCCGTCTTCCATCATGAATATTATTGCCTTTTGCACTTTGTTGTCCCACAAGGCTCCAGCACCTTCCAGGACACCTGAACTGAGAACCAGTTTATCGTTTTCCAGTTTTTCATCCTCATCGAAGACTCTTCGGAAAATTCGAAGTGCTTCATCCAGACCATATTTGGAAAATAACTTTCCCATCAATATGGCATACCATCCACATACTGCTGTGCTTCTGTCTTGAACGGCTTGGGTGTTGGTGATGATCTTACAGTCTGCATAGGCTTCTTTAAAGAAATCGCACAGTGCAGGTTCAGTGTAATCTTTCTCCATAGTGTATAGACTGCGTCCGAAACTGTCAAAAACCAGGATCACGTTTTGCTCGCGACACACGGTCAACCAATGATGTCCACCTTCCGGTGCATCGTACACCGGTAGAACGTTGTCGGTGTTGACGATACAAAAGTCTCCATTGTTCAAGGGTGGTAAGAGGTCGTAACTTGTACACCCCACGAACCCTCCAACACCATTCAATCTTCCTTTGATGTCGGCACTGCTGAGAGGGTAGTCCATTCTTGATCATAGCCTGAAAATTTTCGCACGTGATCACATTGAACGTCCACTCAGGATATCCTTGATGATACGAGTGATCCTGCTTTTATCCTTCAGAACCTCTTGAATGAATGATGCATCGTCCACCATCACCTTTTGTGCTCTAACCATGAAATGCTCGGGATGGATCAATTTTGCTTCAGTTGTTCTACCATACGTAGAAGTCATGTCGTTGAGATCTTGAAACTTGAGCTGTGATCCTGGTACAGCTAGCACTAGGGTGGCTAGTTCATGAATCTTTCGTTCTGATCGAAGGAATCCATCGACATGTTTGTGGATTCCCACCGCACCCGCTATGGTTGCAAACGGGTACCTGGACATGTAGATGCGATTCGTCTCGTTGACCAGAGTAGTGTAGTCGTTCATCGTCTGCGTCTTCAGGGCATCCGCAGCCGCTTCCACCCGACTCCTGAACCTCAGTCGATCTTCATCGTAGAGTTGCAGCAGTTGTGATCGGCTTGTGAAATAGTTGCTCTTCAAAAAGGTTGCCGGTATATTTGTATGTCGGAGGAAACTGTCCAGGATTTGTAGGATCCATCGGTCAAATTCGTGGTCTTGTAATAGATTGAAAGGCACTGATGTTAAAGGTGCCTTTCTCTTCTTCCTGACATCTGCAACGGAATCGCGAACTTGATCGGTAGTGGAATCATAGTTGAGTATGTTGGATGCAATCACATTTCTCACAGACGGGTAACTGATGTGATCGGGATTGTTTTTGAAGTGGGTGTCATATAGACGCTTTACTCGCGGATCGGCTTGCAGTTCCAACAGGGTGGAGGTGCTCAAACTGTGATCTGGTACTTGGGAAAGAACTTTCTTGACGCTTTTCAAGTATGCATTGTAGTTATTACCTCCTTTTTGCCGCATGAGTGGTGGTATACCGAGAACTTCCCACGAATTTGCCCTCTTCTTAATGATGTGTTGAGGATGTTTCGTCATAAACTGCAAGGTTTGCAACCTTTTACGCTTGGGTATCGAGAAGGATCCCTTTCTGGGTCCCACTCTTTGTATACTGCTCGGTAGCCCATTTGAGAATTTCACCGTAAGATACTCCATTCTTATTCATGATTGGAATTTTTTTCAATGTTTCGGCTAACTTTTCGGCTAACTTTCCGGCTAACTTTCCGGCTAACTTTCCGGCTAACTTTCCGGCTAACTTTCCGGCTAACTTTCCGGCTAACTTTTCGGCTAACTTTTCGGCTAACTTTTCGGCTAACTTTTCGGCTAACTTTTTGGCTAACTTTTCAGCTAACTTTTCGGCTAACTCTTCGACTAATATCGTACACACACACACACACACACACACACACACACACATCAACGAGGGATTTATTCAAAAGTCACCTTTAATGCAGTGTCTTCGCAATACGTGTAGTACTGATTAGAAGAGCAATCAATGGTTAGGATAGGCCTGCGGCACGCCGACAATAACTTCTCGTACAATCTAAAGATAATGGATGACTTCGTGCACATACCACCAAACAGAGTATTGAGATAACGTTTAATATTGCTTTTATCGGTGAAGCGAAACAGATACATAAAGTTTGCATTGATCTTCATGTCCTTAATGTTATCAAAGCTCTGAGAGAGAAAGAACACGTTCAACTTATGATGATGGCTGTACATGGTGAAGAACTTGTAGAGACACTCTTGTTTAGGACTCTTTCCCTTTCGGTGAAGACTGTATTAAATTCTAATTGTTCGAACTCTGGTGTAGTGAACTGACACTCGGAAAACAACATGCAGACATGGAACACAACTAAAAATGCAGAGAATGAAACCAGGAAAACGCAAAGGCAAACAACAACCACAACTGTCACTTATCTGGGCAAGAAGCTAACCACCATTCTCTCAAACTTGACAAAACTCTCTCTCTCAAATCGCTGTCCTCAGCGAAACGTGCTCGCGTGCGTGCATTGGCTTACGTGTAGTCTACGTGTACATCAGTGTGCGTGCATGCATATCGAAGTGTACGAGTAGAAAAGAAGAATGATCATGCGCGCATGATGCATCGATGAGTCATACCACCACGTAACCATGGATATAAATAATGGCGACGTGATGGCGACAGCAAAGTTCCGCGTACAAAAGCGCAGGTGCAACAAGGAAAAATCAGAGTGCAGAACAAACAGAAATTCAAATCGAAAGGAGATAAATATTGTGGAGATGAAGCAAATCAGTTTGGTCTGTCAGAGGGTGCTTGCGCCCAGAGACAGGGTGACAGCAAACCCTGTCAGAGAGAGTCAGTGTACAGAATAGGAATACATAGAACGCAGCACGCAATGGAGTTGCTGTGGAGAGCGAGAATGCAAGCAACAACGTAAGTATTATCTATGCAAGTGATTATATCGGCGTATCCGACAAACACGCACAACAAACACTGTATTGTAACAACACACTCGTAAATGATGTTATCCCAACAACACTCATTCTATTTCAGCGCAGTGTCCTGTCCAATCACTCAAAATCACACTCGTAAATCTCGCACACTCCCTCCTTGCAGCATGTGACAGTTCTGTACACAAATCGTAACTACAATACACTAATAGTATCAACGTGCAACATGTGACATGTGATAGTTCTGTACATCACCACCCTCCCTCACGAACAGTGATTGAGTGAGGCAATAGAGATAACATAACTTACTCAGAATCCACCTCTTGCGGAACGAGCTCATACGAACACAGCATACTCAGAATCCACGTCTTGCAGAACGAGCACAATACTAACACTAACACAGCATACTCAGAATCCACCTCTTGCGGAACGAGCTCATACAAACACAGCATACTCAGAATCCACCTCTTGCAGAACGAGCACAGTACTGGTGGCTTACTCAGAATCCACCTCCAGTGGGACGAGCACATTGATTGGTCGGCGGTAGGTCTTGCCGCGGACGAGAATGTCGACCACCCGTACGTTGCCATCTTTGCCTGGGTACACTTGCAGTATTCTTGCGAGCGGCCACTTCCCTCTTGGAGTGCCAGGTTCCAAGAATAGCACTACTTCACCAACACGTACATTGCGGTGCAGATTGCGCCATCGTTGACGCAGGTTGAGCGCTGGGACGAGCTCCTTCAGCCACCTGTCCCAGACGTCCTTACTCAGTCGCTGAACTGCTTTCCAGCGATGTCTTGGATTCACGCGATCAGCTTGATCAGCCAGTTCCTCAAGTGCCAGCGACAGGTCGGCATGGCTGGTGAGGAAATGCTGTGGCGTGAGTGGGGTGAGGTCACTCGGATCTGAGCTTATCGTCGTGAGCGGCCTGGTGTTGAGGAATGCTTCCACAACTATGAACGCCGTACTCAGCTCCTCGTCTGTGCAGTCTCCGTGCTCCAGGATTCCACGCAACGCACGCTTGGCGCACTTCACCATCGACTCAAACACGCCCCCATGATGGGGCGCCTGTGGGGGGTTGAAACGCCACTCGATGTGCTCCGATGCGAGTGCGGCGCTCACTCTGCCGGAATTCAGCTGCTCGACTGCATCCCGCAACTCCTTTTCCGCAGCTACGAAATTTGTGCCGTTGTCCGACACAATCAGAGCCGGTCGACCGCGTCGCTTCACAAATCTACTCAGAGCCAGCAGGAAACCATCAGTGTCGAGGGAGTATGCCATCTCCAGGTGCACTGCTCTTGACTGGAGGCAGGTGAAGACGCACAGATAGCGCTTGGTCTTGACCCTGCCACGACCTTGCTTCGTCAGGAATGGCCCTGCGAAATCCACGCCCGCTCGGTGAAACGCACGTACAGGTTCTGCTGTTCTGAAGCTTGGCAACGGCGCCATCAACTGCTCAGCTGGCTTGGCCCACTGTAACTTGCAGCCAGGGCAGGAACGTCGGTGAGCCTTGACAGCGCCGAGACCACCAACCACCCAGAACTCGCCGTTGAGGTTTGCCAGTAAGTGGTTCTTTCCAGCCACATGCTTGCACTTCACATCCTCATGCGCAATACGTAGAGCCGTAACAGGGTGCTTGCCTGGCAGGATGATGGGTCGCCGGGCTCCACTGGGCAAATGATGAGCGGTTTTCAGGCGCCCGTTCATGCGGAGAAGCCCTGGCTTCGCGTCTCCATCCCACTCTGGCATCAGATGGCTAAGTGCATGCGCCTTGGGCAATGGTTGACCGCTGCGCTGGGCCTTGATGACGTCACTGTAAGAGTCCTGCTGAGCGTTGGCAAACCAGTGGAATTCAGCATTGCGAACTTCGCTCACTGAGAGCTCGGGCACTTCTACTGCTGGCAGGGCGTGCCTTCGCTTCAAGGCCTTGCGAGTCGGACGGCTGCCATCGCGTGCGACACTGATGCTGGATGTAGCGCTGGATGACTGCTGCGCTGTAGGGTCTGCTGGCTGAGCCTGGCGGTGTCGGCAGTTGTCCGCAAAACGTTTGCACCATGCGGTGACCCGCACAAGTCGTAGCCAGCTGCTAAAGTTGACCGGGTTGAGTCGGCTAGTTTGCTGCTCGTCCTCTGCTGGTACCGTGACTAGTGTGGCCTCAATCATCCGCTTCAACTGGCCAGGTAATTCGGCTGTCGGAACAGAGTCTGGAAGCTTGGGCCAGTCATCCTCTGGTGCGCTGGAGAGGAAGGCAGGACCGTTCCACCACAACGTGTCATTGGCCAAGTCCTCTGCTAGTAGGCCACGCGTCGCTTTGTCAGCTGGGTTATTCTTGCCGCTGATGTGGTGCCACTGCTTGACGCTGGTCACTTCCTGGATGAGTGATACTCTGTTGCCGATGTCAACCTTGTACCGCCTGCTGTGGTTGCGGATCCAGCCAAGCACATTCATAGAGTCTGTCCAGAATGTGTGCTGGCTAATAGGTATCCCGATGGCTTGCTCCAGGTGCTGGCTCACGCGGATACCGAGTACCGCACCACGTAGCTCAAGTTGAGGGATGCTCTGTCGACGGATTGGAGCTGGCTTTGCCTTGGCCATTGCCAGAGTTACTCTGACGTTGCCGGTAGTGTCCACTGCACGCACGTATGCTGACGCGGCAATAGCTCGATCAGATGCGTCAACAAAGGTGTGAACCGACAGCTGGCTCTCTGGTGCACCTGGTGCCTTGAAGCTGCGTGGAGCCTGAACTCCTGAGAGACCTGGCAGCTCACCGAACCAGGCTTGCCATTTCTTCGTCTCTGCGCTAGGGAGTCGCTCATCCCAGCCAACACCAAGTAGACACAAGTCCTGGAAAAGGATGCGTGCCCGGATAGTGAATGGCGCGATCTGGCCTCTCGGGTCGAACACAGTCGACAGCCCGCTCAGCACTGAACGCTTCGTTGGGCTCTGCTTGGTCTGCTGGTAGCGGAAGGTGAACGTGTCGGACTGTGAATGCCAGCTGACGCCGAGTGTCTTCACTGTTGTTAGGCAGCTGTGAGCATCTCGCTCACCCAAGTTTAACACCGCTTCCTTGGCACGGTCGGCCTCTGGGATGGACTCCATGACGGCTGCACTGTTCGATAACCACTTCCGCAAGTGGAACCCACCCTGCGCTAGGAGACACTGCGTTTGCTGCTGGGTGTTGCACGCAGCTTCGTCGGATGCAGCCGAGCTCAGCAGGTCGTCCACATACGTGGACTTGTCGATGGCTTCCACCGCTGCTGCAGAGTACCCATCACCAAAGTGTTCCAGGGTCTTCTTGACCGCCTTGCCTGCCAGGTAGGGGGATGCCTTTATGCCGAACACTAGCCGGTTCCACTCAAACACACAGACTTCTCCATCCACCCTCCACAGGAAACGATGGTATTTCCTGTCACTTTCTGCGAGAACGACTTGCGGGAACATTTCAGCGATGTCCGCTACCAGAGCAACTGGCTCCATACAAAAGCGCAGCAGCACAGAGGATACGTCGTTTTGCAGCGCTGGACCGGTCAACATCTCGTCGTTAATCGAGACACCGTTGCACTCTGCCGCTGCGTCAAAGACAATTCTGACTTTCGTGGTACTCTTATCGTCGCGTACCACCGGAAAGTGCGGCAGATACCATTGGTCCTCTCCGTCAGCTTGCTCAGTAGGTACCATGCTGACGTAGCCTTTCTCAATATGACTGTTCATGACCTCGTGATACTGCTTCTTCACTGCTGGTCGCTTGTCCAGTGCTTTCTCCAAGGACCTCAACCGCTGCTCGGCCATGATGCGGTTGGAGGTCAGCTGAGGCTGTGACTGGCTGCTCGCCCATGGAATGGACATCGTGTAGCGCCCGTCTTCATACCGCACAGTGTTGTTGGTGTGTAACTCGGCCTGGCGATCAGCTGGCGATGGCGTCTCGACATTGGATGCTGCCGCTTCCGTGCCCACCTTTTCTGTCTCCCAGAACTTGTGAACGATCTCATCGAGCTTACTTTCTTCTTGTACGCCAGCCTCAGTGCACAGGGCGATGCAGGTATGTTGCAGTGCAGTACTGTTGTTCCCCAAGGGGCCGAAACACACCCAACCGAGTGGTGTGCGCCGGGCAATCAGTCCGCTCTCTGAGTGGCCGCTGCGCTCCTCCAGTGACGTGTGCAGCTCTGCTGCATTCAGACCGATCAGAATGCCCACTGTGGGAGACGGCAACGGCTGGAATTCGATGTTTCCTGCCCACGTGCCGCTGTTCTGGGCCCAGTCCACCGTACTCATTGGCGTTACAGCTGGCAGCACCCACGCACTAAACTGGGCCAGTCTGCCGTCTTGAGTCTGGACACCGACATTGATGTGCGGTCGGGTGCCACTAACTGTCTTCCCTCCGAGTACTGTGGTCTGCAATGACTCTTGAGGACCCGTAAGTCCAAGCTCCTGGGCCACAGACTCGGTGACGTAACTCGTTGATGACGCTGAGTCGAGCAGGGCGGTCACCTGCATCTGGCGGTCCTTGTTGACTAGTGTGGCAGACACGGTCATGAACGCCATTCCACCGGACGCGCGTAGAGTCGCAGCTGGCTCTTGCAGGATGTGCAGTGCCGCACCTGCTGACGGCACGCTGGCTGTTGGCGATGCTGTGTGCTGCCTGGCTGCCTGTGTCGAACTGCTGACCGCTGTGTGTCTGGCCTTGGCGTCAGTAGTAGAGATATTAATGTGTGGCTTGTCCGATTTCCAAACATGTAACAAACTGTTATGTTTTCGTCCACACGCATCACATGGCTTAGCAGAGCAGTCATTTGAACGATGCCCTGTCTGTAGGCAATTCGTACAAACGCTGTACAGGGGCTTGACCGCTCCCCACCTCTCGCGCACCGACATCTTGCGCAGCTCAGCACATACAGCAAGGGCATGATGCCCCTGGCACACCGGGCACACCGTTGTTCGTGGCTCTGGTGCCGAGGCCGACGTTGTTCTGCTGCTAGCTGCTGGAATGGTGGCCATGGTGTGGTGGCCTTGCGTACGCCCTGTAGCCGCTTTCTCCGGCTTTTTGACCGTCAAGACGTCCCCAATGCGAGCATCGACCTGGCGCATACGATGCACTCTATCCAGCAGCCATCTGGACAGGTCATCCACGTTACCAGTGGCGTCGTCATAACGCTCAATGTAGCGCAGCAGAAGGTTGCGGGGCAGTTTCTGTGTAACCGTTACGTACATCTCTCTTCCCGGCATGATGTGGCCCGCCTGCATGTTTAGCAGCACGTTGCGGAGCTTGATGGCGAGCGTCTGCAGAGCGGTGGTGTCTTTGTCGTGCTGAATGCGTGGCAGTGCATACAGCTCTTTCTGCTGGCGCTCGAGCTCGCGCTGGCTGCCACCATACCACGCATCCAGCTCAGCCATTGCGGACTGGTACGCACCCTCGCCGTCCAGCAAGTCCGCTATCAGATCTTCTGCTGCTCCACCGGCCACTGCTTCGCGAAGACGAGCCATCTTGTAGTGGTCGGACACATATGGGTCCTCGTCCACCAGACGCAAAAAACGCTGCTGCCACTTCATGTAGCTGCTCTCTTCCCCATTAAACTTTGGCAGCTCCAACGGTTTTATTTGTGCCTGGCGAATGCCCTGGCGCCAACCGTCTGGTATGCCGTCTGCCCATTTTTGCACGCGGGCCATGTCGGGTGGGAGCGTCTGATGTTCGACGATTCGACGAGGCTGTGGTCTGTACGTCTGCTGCGGTTGTGACTGTTGTGGTGGCGGCTGCGGCTGAGGCATGCTCAGTGCACCCGCAACGGTTACAGGTAGCTGATTGAGCACTGGTTGCTGCCGCACTAGGTACGAGGCAGCTGCTACTGGTTGGTGCACTGAAGCGTGGTGATGGTGCACGGCTCGCTTTCCGTGCTGCACTGCCATTGTGTGCTGCACTGCAGCTCCTGGATGCCGCACAGCTGAGTGCCAGATTGGCCTTGGCTGCTGAGCCTGACTGAATGACACTGCGGAATCGTCGGAGGCCTCAGACGTGCCAGCTGACTGCCTTGCGGCGAACATTCTCCAGTCCATGTTCCGCGCGCCATCCACTGCTGCTGTATGTTCAGTCAGGCTATCATATCCCCGGGTTTCGGCACCAGCTTGCACTGGTGGCTTGACAACACGACCCTGGTCCACACGACTCAATGATACGCACTTTGCGGCCGGGACGACACGAGTGTTGCCACATCTTTGCAAGGCATCGTCAAACTTGGCAAGTGCCTCCGCAGTCAAGCCATGCCCTCGCCGCCTCGGGGAACTCCTCTGGGACAGCTGCTCCGTTTTTATTGCTTCCTCTAACGCCAACTTTTTGGCCCAAATGTCCTTGCGGAGTTCAATCTCCCTTTTCTTTACATCTAACTCCATGGTGGCGAGCTCCTCCGCCGCTTCCAGCTCTGTAGCTTTCAGTTCGACCTTGAGCTGGGAACCGCTACTGGCCCTGGACGGGACAGCGGACACCGAGCTCCTTTTATCCGCAGCCACGGCGAGTTCGGGCTCCTCGTGTCCATATCTCAATGGTGGCACACCCTTGGTTGAGCGTTGGCTCGTACGCGGAGCTGACGCCGAGGACATGATGCTAACTTTACGTTCCACAGCACTATAACTTTACTACAATGTCTACATACTACTACACTCTACAGAACAAGCTCAGTCCGAGATCCGGCTCGAAGGACCAGTTGTTTAGGACTCTTTCCCTTTCGGTGAAGACTGTATTAAATTCTAATTGTTCGAACTCTGGTGTAGTGAACTGACACTCGGAAAACAACATGCAGACATGGAACACAACTAAAAATGCAGAGAATGAAACCAGGAAAACGCAAAGGCAAACAACAACCACAACTGTCACTAATCTGGGCAAGAAGCTAACCACCATTCTCTCAAACTTGACAAAACTCTCTCTCTCAAATCGCTGTCCTCAGCGAAACGTGCTCGCGTGCGTGCATTGGCTTACGTGTAGTCTACGTGTACATCAGTGTGCGTGCATGCATATCGAAGTGTACGAGTAGAAAAGAAGAATGATCATGCGCGCATGATGCATCGATGAGTCATACCACCACGTAACCATGGATATAAATAATGGCGACGTGATGGCGACAGCAAAGTTCCGCGTACAAAAGCGCAGGTGCAACAAGGAAAAATCAGAGTGCAGAACAAACAGAAATTCAAATCGAAAGGAGATAAATATTGTGGAGATGAAGCAAATCAGTTTGGTCTGTCAGAGGGTGCTTGCGCCCAGAGACAGGGTGACAGCAAACCCTGTCAGAGAGAGTCAGTGTACAGAATAGGAATACATAGAACGCAGCACGCAATGGAGTTGCTGTGGAGAGCGAGAATGCAAGCAACAACGTAAGTATTATCTATGCAAGTGATTATATCGGCGTATCCGACAAACACGCACAACAAACACTGTATTGTAACAACACACTCGTAAATGATGTTATCCCAACAACACTCATTCTATTTCAGCGCAGTGTCCTGTCCAATCACTCAAAATCACACTCGTAAATCTCGCACACTCCCTCCTTGCAGCATGTGACAGTTCTGTACACAAATCGTAACTACAATACACTAATAGTATCAACGTGCAACATGTGACATGTGATAGTTCTGTACACTCTCTTTGACTACCGTGCTTCAAACCCATCACTCTGATGTCATCAATGATCACATACGTATTAGGCTGGAGATTCATGTCTTCGATGCACTCGGGCATGGTGCTGTAATGCTTAAAGGATTTGAGGCTTGGGAGACGATACTGATCGGCCGGCGTGTTGGAGATGACCACCATACGCTCAGGTTGTATGCGTTTCAGGAGTTTGATGAGAAAGTAGGATTTACCCATGTTGCTCTGTCCCAGAAACAATACGTTTTGTCCCCAGGATTTCAGGGCAGGAATGATTTCAGTGAACCAATCCTTAGACTCGAATTGAAGACCAGGAACGTGCAGCTTGTGTCGAGCAGTGGCCGTGGTTGGAACATCATCGTTCCTTACAGTACTAGCCTTTTTCTTCCTCTCGGTTTCCTGTCCAAGGAGCGAGATGAAGTCCATGATCAGATGTTGTAGGATGGACCGATGTGAGCGGAACTCAGAGAAGACGGTCCTGCACTGTTAATGTTCTGTCGAATTTTTTGAGCAAATGGAGTTTCAGGACGGGTCAATGATCTCCGTGGTGCAGACAGCAATGAGGAAGCTTCGTTCAGGGCACGATGTCCTAATTGCTTGAACAAGGTCCTTCCTTGTTTCTTTATTCCTCGTGCCCTGCGGCCTTTGGAGCGAATTTGACGAGCTGGCTTCTTGGTTTTTCGAGGTGCACGTTGTCGAATTTTCTTCGGAGCGTGACGACGACGACGACTTTTAGTGCGCTTCATGGTACCTGTTGAGCTTCCCTTCCTCACTCCTCTACCGAATATTTTATCCATTTCGTTGTCACCTAGTGATGCCATGGTACCCATGGCCAAGGGAGCAGCCAGATTCGTTAGGAGTGGTATGGCCTTGGCGGCTAATCCTGGTGGAATGGCTAGACCACCTCGGTGCATGGACGGATTGTAAGCCGTTTTCATTTGTGCTTCCACGATGTCTCCGGACTCTCCTCTCCCCAAAAGCATGGGAAGAAGTGTCATTCCTGCCATGGCAGCCAAGGGTCCAAGTCCACCGCGTTGCATGTCATCTTGTTTTGTCATGGGTTCCGCCATCTGTTTGTCCATCTCCTCGGGTCCAGCACCAATAAGGTTTTTCCAGAAGCTCTTTTTCCAGAAGAAACCACCGTGTTGTCGACTGGACGATTTCAAATCACCACCGTAGACACGATGTCTGGTCTCTAGGTCACCACCTTCCATGATGCCCTTTTAGTACTAGATCGGAATTAATTTATACAACTTCGGCTTTGATGCCTTCGTCTTTGCTCATGGTGTACAAGTACTTATCCATGCAGAGAAGGTTGACTTTGATCGAGGCACCATTTTCGCTAGGTCTTCTCAACGGAGCGTTTGTCACGTCGGTAAATTGATAGTCGATGGACAGATTTCCTCTCGATCTTGGATTGTCTGTCGTCCGATCCAGATTCAAGTTGATAGGTACCATAAAGTAGTGATTGCAGTAATCTGCAGCGGTGATGGGGATTTGCGTTCCATACGTCTTGCCGAAAAAGTCTTGAACCAGATTGTAGCCACGCAGGTAGGAGGATTTGTTGTAATCGTAGAAGTATTGTCCTTCCGTATTACGACTCACATCCCACTGGAACTTGAGCGGGTTGTCAAAGAGCGTCTCGTCGTTGACAGTGACACGAAGTTGACTGAGATTTGCGTGAATCATGGCCAGTCTGTTCGAAGAATGCGATGCTTGACCTCCAGCCAATGTTGGTTGTGTACCATGAGTCAAATCCGTGAAGAACAGGATCATTCTGCGTGGTATGTCTGCATTGTGAAGCAATTCCAGTGTACCAGCATCATCTGAAATGCTCTTTTGTATGAGACGAGGACACCACGTGTGGAAATAGAGTTGTTTGGGAAGGCGTACACGATCGGTGAGATTGGGTTCCATGCGATAGGTAGTGTACACAAAGTCCAATTGGAGTAGATCGATGTCAATATCACCGACACTCAGAGCACTGTTGGCACCACCGCCTTGATCGCTAAGCATGATGTATCTGGAAAGCTCGGATTGGGGCAGATCAAAGCGAAGCTTCACCTGTGTACCCGGGGGTAACCAAGCATCGTCCTGATTGAAAAACGGTAGGAAGGGTCTCAGCTTGTATTGAAACCGTCCAACAGCTGCCCGAAGTGCTTTTTCCTGTACCGTGTTGGAGAAGCCTTCGTTGGTCACAAGCTCGACGGTGGGTGCACGCTTGGGTGTGAAATTAGCGTCGAAATCCGGTGCTCGTGCTGCATCAGCGTGTACAGCGTTTGTTTCGAAGGCATAGCCATGCTTACGCTTCACACCAAGTTGATAGGGCGATAAATCCACACCTCTCAATGCTCTTTGCGGATCCAGTTTCTGTAGACCGTAGAGATCCGAGTCAACGTACTGAAGGCGCTCGCTGCTGCTTTCCATTAGACTGAGGATATGCTGAACCATTTGCATGTCGGCAACTTTACTCGATTGCGTGACCTCGGTTCCATTGATCTCCACTCGAATGTTCTTGAACCATGAAAAGGCTGGTGACGTGGTGCACACCCATCGTGTGTAGTCTCCAGGTTGATTATCGAGATTGTTTTTGACACTATAGCGCATTTTCACGATGAAATAGCTCTCCCCCAGAGCAATGAAATTCGGTGACGAGATGTCCAGCTCATTGTTCAGGGATGGTGGTGATCGATCTGCTGAGGAAAAGAGTCGTACTCCCCCGCGTCTACCCTCAAGCAACGAGAGTTTCTTCTCCGTCCTGTCGAGGATGTTCTTCTGAACGATCTTCGTGTTGGTCAGGAGTCCCGTGAAGGACTCCGGAGCTTGTGGTGAGTATATCTCCTGTGCCATTCTTGCGAGTCACATTATAATAGGGGCGAATTTTTTTCAACGATCCAATATCTAGTGTCTTGCGAAAGTCGTTCATCATCGCTATCAATCGTTGATGCTCCTCGTTAGTGAGCTTCCCATCCTCCAGAGTGATGCCCAATTCCAACATGAACACGTCTTCTGCTCTCTCCATCTGCTGCAGTTGTTCGATACACGTGATAAGTTGACGTTTGGTGTCGAGAACGTGTTTGCCTATGCATGCCATGATCACGCCGATAATCGTGCTACTGATGGCGATGATTCGAATGCGATGTTCTCCAGATACGGCACCACTCCCTTGAAGAATGTTGAGAATGGTTTGACTGAGTATGAGAAAGGACAAGATTGCGGTGTTGTAAATCACGTACTTCTCCAGGCAACGCACTTTTTCGCTCTCCAATTCCTTTCGTTTTGCTATATCCTCCACCATGTCTCGCACGTGACGGACACGAACATCTGGAAGATCCATCTAAGACGTGTTGGTGATCCGAAGATCAAGGTAGACGGGATATCCTGAAGTGATGTGTTCACCGGTGTTGAATTTCAACCAAAACGAAATGCTAGTCACGTTTTCGTGTGGAAGCAGCATTCGCTTGTCTTCTTTTCCAAACACGTAGTTATTCAAACCGTTGAGGGTTTGAATGAGAAAGGTCTTCAACACCCTCGAATCAGTGTTGTCTTCGTACTCCACAGCAGGTCCGATTAAGTCGGCGTAGAGCAGGACAAGTCGTCTGTCTTTTGTCAGATCCACAGCGAACGGGAAAGTGTGAGATCCCTCGATCGTGTATGGCTTGAGAATAGTGCCCACACCCAGCACCAATCCGGGTGAGTCCTTCTTCAACAAGCACCTTTTAGTCCTGGGTATCGAGACACTTATGCGGCTGGTGTGACGAGAGTAGGAAAACACAATGTCTCCGTGTCCCGATCGTTTCAGAGTGGTATTGATTATAGACACCAAATCGTCTACATCGCTGTATGTTCCCGTCTTCATGGACAGTCTATCCTCTTCTTCTTCACCATGTACCACATAGAGTTTGTTCGTTGCCTCGTCTATGTTCTCAAAGTGTACTTCAAACTGAGC